GAAACCGACGAGCTTCATCATCGGTTTTTCTGCTAGAAACGGCTTGCCGCTGCCATTCCACTCGGTAGTAAATTCATTGTTCGCAAGTGATTTTTCAACCGAGCCGCGTGACGCGTCGACGAGCTTTAGAGTCAAACAATTTCCAATCGTCTCGATCATCTTTCTAGCAAAATTCAACGTTACCAGTCGAGCCACCATCCTTTGAAAGCTCCTCGCCTCTGTGTCGTCTGCAAAACAGTAGAAGTAGAATCGACGAAACGCACGCGAAAGCTCGACTTTGGGAGTTGAGCAAACAACTAAAGCAGCTTTAACCGATCTAACTGTCGCTCGCGTCCGACTGACAAAGCGAACGTTCGACATCCGCCCTTGACGTATGCGCACGACACAACTCTCGACTCTTCTGTCGTGTGAATCATAGAATTCCCCGAAAAGCATTTACGCGTCGCCCAGTCGTGACCCACGATGACTAAACCCATCAAAGCTCACGCTTTGGTCTTAGCCGAACGCGAATCGGCGGCCACGGCTGACCGGGAAGAACCTTCCAGCGAACGCATGTCCCGAATTACGGCCGTCGGCCGTGCGCGCGTGACTCCGACGCGAGCGCCGCACGCGGAATAGAGACACGGCTACGTTCGCCCTTGGCAGCGAGATCCCCGTCGGTTTGATAAGCTTTCAAATCCTCTTGCGATTTCAATTGCTAACGAGAGCCGCCTGCTGGATTTCACCGGTTTCCCGCGCACGGATCGCACATTCGAGACACTCTTCTTCGCGGTAATTATCCCAGATATACCAGATTTCAATGCAACGTTGCACGAGTCGTGATTCTTTAGTTGTGCTACGTGGTTTTCAAGCCGAAACCTAATAGCTTCCCCTGCATGACGATGAAATTCTTGATAAGGTTTTCAGTTGTCCTAGTTGGCTTTTGATCACTTTGCATTTTGTCGTCTTTGATGAATGGCTCGATTTTACGACAAATTTATTCGGCAAAAGTTACTTTTTCATTGTTCGATATGAATTTATGCTTCTCTACGCTGCATCACCTCCAGGTTATATTTTGAACTAAAAATCTGAATTTCAATAAAATATAACAATGCAACGCCAGCGATATTTTCAAGTAATAGAATGAAAATAAAGAATCCATTCGACGATCCCCGTATTCTTACGCGCCGAAACCAAAATTATTAGATTTTATCTAATAATTTTCCAAAAGTGTTACGACTAACAAGATAAATAGTGTTCGAAGCCACTAGAAATGAATGGCAGTCGGCCAAATAAAAAAACTTGAATTACAAGCTTTGAAGCGGCACGCGCGGGTGCTTATGTTTCCGGACTCGAAAAGAAAAAAGAATACAGACCCACACCGGCAACAAAAGAGAGTCATTAGCCATTCAAGTCTCTCGACACAACGAACGAAAAAAGGAAGGGACGAGGCAGAAGAATCCGAGGCAATCGCCGAAGGAACACCTACGCCTTTCACACGCTTACAAAGGCGTTAAGCAGCTCCTCGAGCACACGACGATCCGAGCGCGCGGCGTTTTTTTGATTAATAGAGGCGCTCGCGGAAATGCGCGCAAGTCATCGGATGATCGGGTGAAAGCGGAGAGAGATAGAGACGGAGATGCTCAAAAGAGCGCGCTCGCTCTGATTGATCGTCCCGAAGAGTTTGTTGGATGCAAAATGACGGCCACTTGAAAAATGAGCGTCACGCGTACGCCGGCGCTCGCGCGCGCGCGCGCGCACGGAAATGCTTTTTAATTTTACGACGCGCGGCTTTTTGATCTGCCATTGAGCGCCGCGCGAAGGCTCCGCGTGGCTATTACGTCGTGGATGCTCTCTTCTCTCGCCCTCCCCCTTCCCGTCGAGGACGGCGCGGCTTTTCCATTCGGGCTACTAGATAACTCGAACTAATTTTGCGCGAGGGACACCGTATCTTTATCCTCCTTTCGCCGAGCTGTCCATCGACTCCTGTTATCAATTGTTATACACTGCCGTCGAATTCGTTGACGTTTCGTCGATGCGACAGCTCCAGCTCCAGCGCGCCGTTGTACATATACTTTTCATCGGTCGCCGAAGCTATTCATCGTTGCGCGTACATTATGCATTCATCTCCGCGCAACTCCTGCGCGTCACTCTCGTAGATACATTTCATTAGCGTACCTCGCTCCGAAAGTAAATAAACAACATCCCTTTGAATTTCCGCCAACGTCATAGCAGCGTCGCACTGTTTTCTTCCGCGCTCGTCGGCAGCGTTCACGAGGGATAAAGACAGCGAGGAGGATACCTCCGCCAAAGTAACAGAGCAATCAATCTCGCGCGACGTAGGCCCATTCTTATCGCGCTTCATTTTTCTCCGGCGCGCGCGCGCGCGCCCTCCTCGTACTCCGCAACACGCAGCGTCCGCCTCTCTGCCGAATCTACGGCGCGAGGTAGGGCTCGTTAGAGCTCTCGCGCGTCGTTAATATTAATGCTCGAGGGGGAAGGAGGGCGGGGAGTTTAAGAACCGCCAGAAGTTTGCGCTTTCGGATTCAGTCGAATTTCACGACGAATGGTTTTTGGAAACGAGGAAAGTCGGCGTCGACTGTCATTCACGAAGCTACAGACATCGACTCGTACTTGGCCGTTCAGACATAGCCGTATGCGAGAATGCGTGGGCATCTTGTCTTTCGTGCAACGGGTCAAACGTTACGCGGTACACCCGCCAGTCTCCGCGAAGTCGAACCCGTCTCTCTCTCTCTCTCTCTCTCTCTCTGCTTAATTGTGACACCGTTCCAGTCGATCGATGCTCGCGCACACTTTTTTCTCCCAGCCTAATTAACTCTGCTTCATCTGCCTCCGTATTACTCTAATTTTTTTTTTTCTGCTTCCTTCCCCGGCAAATGAGCCGTTAACGGACGATGCAAAAGCTCGCGCGCAAGCTGCATGCAAATGAGCGCAAACTGCCTCCTATTCCCGCGTATTTCAATTAGGGAGCGGCGAGAAGAGGAAAAAGTTACGGAGGATAAAAGTTTCGTTCGATATCAGACGCGCGTGGAGGCGAGATACTTTTATTTATTTAATTCATTCTTCTTTTTTGGCGAATAAACGTTCGATATGGGCGACGTGAAAAGTCCGACAACGAGTCGCGCTATAACGTTAGGTGCGATTCGCGCGCAGTCGCCGCGAGTATTTTTACAATTTTCTCGCGCGCCACCGCCGGGAGAAGGAAGCCGAGGAAAGTAGTGGAAGGTCCACATCAATCAAGATTAATTAAAGTCTCGTCGAGCAGTGAATTTCAGCGAGTTAAAGCCTCGCCAGAAGGAAGTGTCAGAAAAGCTGGAGCCGCTAATTCAATTCCAAGGCGCGCAGCAAGCAGCTCGGACGCGACAGCCGCGTTCTTTGCCCCTGGCTTTTTACGAACTCCTAATGGCCGCTCTAAATTTTTTGGCCAAAGCGTGGACGCACTTTGGATTTGCCGGAGAACAGGAGAGGGAAAGGGGGGAAAAAGGTGAAAAGAAAAGGAAGAAGCGGTCGTTGGCACCTCCCTCGAAGAGGATGCACCTTGCCGCGTCTTCCCTCTAATGCTGAAGATCCGCTCGAGAGAGAGAGAAGGAGCCACGCAATAAACGTGCCAAACTGCTTGGCTACCAACTTCACTTAGCGCGCGAGCAGCTCGAAACTGGCCATAAAGTCCGAGCCGACGGTGCAATTGCCATTCGAGCCGTTGAAGGAGAGAAGATATCTCCGTTCTCGCGCAGATCGAAGTTGAGAGGAAAGTTTTTCGGTCGCACGGCCGTTACCGGAATTAACGCTGTAGATCGAGCGAAGGGTGGTGGCCAAAGTGCATTCTAAATTTTCACGTTATAACGGAAGAGCAACGCGGCTCCAACTCTTTTTTTTTTTCCCTCCTCGCGCAAAGTTTATTCGTAATCTCGCGGGGAATCACGAGAGGATCCCTTCTAACTTTTATACGACATTCCGGCTTCGGGGATTCATATCGCAGTTATACGTTTATGACCGTAGGGTCGTTAAAAAATCTCGAAATTGACGTAATAGAAATAAAATTCTCGAAACTTGGCAGGTTCGCGTGTCGCCGCCCGTTTCGCGCCGAAATTCCGTCTTGACGCTATTATACATAATTGAAAAGCCACTCCGCCGCGAGTGGCGGCTCTTCGCAGCGCGCACTACGGCAAATTGACACGAAGGGGCCCCGTTTCGAGGGCAAGGAGAGAGCAGGGAGAGTGCTTTATTGTTTCTCTTTTTAAGCCTCGCGAGCTGGTAACGAGCCGCAATAAAAGGATAGTCGACTCGGGGACAATCGATTCTCGAGCTTTGGATTCGAAATTCATATCGGCATGGCGATCGTCGTTAGAAAGCAGCTTTAGACATTCGCTGGGAAATAATTATCGTCGATTAATTAACGCGCTAACGGCGTTATTCTAGTCTGAAAAATAAAAGCAAATGCTCTCTCGGATGTCACAAACAGCGTCGCAGTCGACACCGATAAAAGCCAACATTGTAAACATCCACGCGGCGTGGAATGCCGTCGTCACACGCGCGCAAACAAGAACAATCTCCCTCGCGAAAAGTCAACAAAGCACGTCGTTTTCATGCTCGTCGGAAAAAAACGTCGTCTGGCAGCTACAACAAAAAAAAAACCGAAAAAACGAAAAAACGAAAAAAAAAGAAAAGAAAAAATAGACGATAAAGTCGCGCGCGCGAAAGGGCGTCTTCGCGGAAGGTCGATATCAAAAGTCCACGGAGCGTCAAATTGCACGGCTTTGTGGTCCTTCGCTGTAATTCTCGCCAAAGAAGGATTATTATCGCCTGGGTAGTTACTGCGTGCGGCTTGACGTTGCCGTGGAAAAACCGTCGGGTTTCTTTTTCTAACTCCTTCGAAGCCGCTGATTCCGCGACAAATCGACGCGTCAAAAAGCACAACCGTTTCCAATGCGATTTGATTTATTACACCGAACGCAGGCGTCACGTATTAATCCTTCTCTCGTTTGGTTTTGCTTGCGCAGATACGCCAAGACAGTGGTCGATTCGAGTTTAATCTCGCAGCGATACAATCCGGAATTCACGCCGCTGCTGAGTGCATCTGCAGTGGGCGGTGGTGGATCAAACCTTGGCAATAAAGGCTACACGAACGCGAATACCAGTGTGCTTATCGACCAGCTGAGACACATCAATCAGGTGAGTCGTCGTTCTCGTTTTATCCAGCCTCTATCCTCGATGATATTTTTTAATCGATTGCACCGTCTTCGCCGACGAAAGATGCCGGCAACGACAGGCTCGACTAGTGCGCATTGTGACTAGAGCGCGGACCAACAGTCGTCCCGCGAGAGAAATATAGAGGAAAAAGTGCGAAGCTCATCGCGCGGCTAATCGAGCGGCCAAACCGCTGACCGTGATAGCTGTACATTTATTTATACGCGTGTAACGAACGGCCATCCAAGCTCGCAAGTTTGTTTTTTCCTTCCGCGGGATCTCTCCGCTGTATCTTTCACTTTTCGAAGCCGATGGATTTCCCGCCGACCGATTCGGCGATCTTTCTTCGCTGCCGGTGCGGACAGAGAGCGCGAGCGCGCTTCCGACAGCGATCTGAGAAACGAGCGCGCGCGCGAAAAAGCAGCTCGACGAAACCGGCCCGCGGATGAAGATGAGATCTCTCCTTTATGTCTCGCCGTGCCCGTTACGGTCCACATGGGAAGGATTCAAAGCCACTTGTGCTTTGATAGCATCGGCTCTCTTCTCGTTGAATTTATCTCTTCATTCGAGAGAGCGAGGCGGCCGACCGACGCCTCCTCTTTTTCTCTTTCGAGCTGTGAATTTTTTTCTCTGATTAGTCGCGGGAGGTGCGAAGATGAATGACTCGTGTTTGCTTTTCGATTTCTTTACCCGCGTTTTACGCGTAGAATCGCATTTATGCACTTTCCAAGATACGTTACGCTTTCAAATGCAAGCTATTCTCGTTTTTCCAACTTGACGCTTGGGAAATACGTTCGTTACCTTGACGTGGGTTCGAAGGCAAAGTTACATGTCATCTCTTTTCCTTTTTTGGTTTTTTCATCTTGTTTTTGTCTTTCTTTCTTTCTTTGCTAAATCTCACGCTGAGCCACTGCAACCTATCATGCATCAGATCAAATATCCCGTTTGCCTTTTTTAATGCGCTCGTTTCCAATAAGCGCTCGGGAATTCACGAAGCTGGCGTAAATAAATTGGACGTTCGAAGCCAGTCGCATTCGATACACGTAGTAACAGCGCGCGGTCCCGCGCGTGTCGAAATCCCAGCAGTCAATTATGCGAACCACGCGCGCGCGGCTGTACAGCATGTTGAACCGAAAGCTCCGCTCGCCGTCACACTTTGCATGTGGTTTAACGCGCCCTTATGGTCACTTTACCGTTCCACCCTCCGCGCGATGCCGAATGCCATTTCAGTGCTTTAACAACCCTCGTATTCCATTCGAGGGCCTTGAGACACGTGCAATATCGCATTTTAATCCCTTGTTTACACGAGTGTTTTGCTCAAAGCTCCCGTGAGGATAATTTACGCACGTATTAAAGCTTTATAACGACAGCCTCGTGTCTCTAATTTGCATGTCGGCGGATCGAGGGGATGTCCTCGTTGTCGACGAATGGGGGATCATACTGAATGTCGTTCAGATTTATGATGTTACTTTGAAATTCCAGCCAAAATAAATCGTGCAAGCTAGCAAGTAGTTTGATTAACGTTTTGCTTCCAGATGGTGCAGTCGCAGCTTATGTTAGCACCGGACACGAGTGCGCTACTGGCTGACGAAGCTCTGGAAGGCTCAGGTAGCGGCGATAGTCCCGTGTGGCGAGGTGGCAGACCTATTGGCCCCGACGACACATCAAGTGACGACGAGGACGATGAAGATCGCGGTGATGATGATGGATCAGGATCCGGCTCTGGACCCTCGGTCGATGGTATGATTTCGATTGATCCTTTGAATTTTCAACCTAAACCTTATAAAGAGAATACTGCCGGAAGGAAAATAATTCAAAAGTTAAATTACTGTATTCTTCGGCAAAGATTTATGAGAGAGAGAGAGAGAGAGAGAGAGAGAGAGAGAGAGAGAGAGAGAGAGAGAGAGAGAGAGAGATCCTTTTTAAGAGTATGCGAATCCTAGCACAAGTTTCGTAATTTTATTCAAGTTTTTTTTCATCGGACTTGCACGTTTCTTTGCTTGCCGAGATAATCATCTCAAGCGTGATGAAATAATGCATACGAAACGTTCTAATCGTTGACACGCAATTTGTTTGATTCTCTAGGAGACAACTCCCTTTCCCGAAGTGACGTTGACGATACACAACCAGGCGGCACCGACACGGCATCAACAATACTCGGCATCCCACTGTCGACGTTACTTTTGAGCTGCATCTTCATCTATTACGGCGTGTGAACAGTCTGAGGAAGAATCGATTTTGTCGACGAAAAAGAGCGCCAAGGCCAAGGCTCGTGAGACTTCGAGAGGGAGGCGCACGACGACGATATTGACGACGACAAAGGAAAAAAAAAGACGCTGTGTTTATATAATAATTGACGTGATGTCATCCGTTTTTTTTAGCCCACTTTTTCTCTCTGTGTATCTATCCTATTATACAGATCCAATGTGATGCGTTCTCTCCTTCTTATTTTATGACGCGTCTTCTCCTTCTCTCTCTCTCTCTCTCTCTCTCTCTCTCTCTCTCTCTCTCTCTTTTATAATTAATTTAATTTTACGCTCGAGTTCTTTTCATTCTCTCTATCTTCGTTGCGTGACGGCACAAGTGGATGTGCGTACAGCGCGCTTTGTTTTTATAAAACGCGACTTGCGTTCAGATGTGAACTCAACTATTTTCTTCTCGTATGCATAACTACGTCGATGTGCTTTTATATTACGTACGTCCTTGAGATTTTTCGAGTGGTAATTCCACATGAAATTAGGCCAAATCGATCAAACTCATGCAAAGAGCGAATGCGTGTCATAACTATTTACGTCCCACTCGAGAGATCAACCGATCATCAGAATCCTAGACAACCAATACACATGATCTAAAAAAGCTCGCGAGCTTTTTGCTATCTTTGTATATCGGTCATGTCCGCCATACGTGATTATTATCGCCTCGCCCAACGGCGTAGCCAACGATCGTGTAATCGAGGAAAACTGTGTGTATGCGTGTATACGTGTGTATGTCGAGAAGCGCCAATTATTTTAGGGATAAGCGCGAGCTCGTTTAAAGCTCCTTAAAGCGGATTAGCGCGTGATCTTCTCTCCTTCCCTTTTCTAATACGTGAGATTTAGAAGAGAAGTAAAAACCGCGCGTGATGTGATGGAAAAACTGTTGTTTTTTTTGCGAGTTTGGGGGAGAGGATGTTCGCGACGAGAGATGTGTAGGTTTCTTTTTTGTAAATATAAGCTGTGCGCATACGTAAACGAAAGATTGAAAAATTTTATTGTTGATTTGTGATACTTTCATTTGCGAATCCGATTTTTTTACTTGTTGTTGTAATTGACAAAGACAAAGAAAAGAAATCGAGGCATAGAAGATACTTATTTGACATTCGGAAATCAGGTTTCTCGCGTCAGAGATAGCGATCACGTTGGGGCGTCCCGCTGATTCGTTTGTATAAATTTTTTGATTTTGTTTCGCGCGCGTGAGCAGGGAGGATTAGTGCCTTTAAAGAATGCCACTCACACATACACTCTCGGGACGCTCGTCGATCTATTTCGCTTCTCTCCATACCCTCGATCTGCTTCTTGTTTTACTTTATTTCCTTTTTCTTTATACATTTTTCTATATCGCGTGCTGCGACGAGTCGTAGACATTTATATAAGGTAAACGATTTTTATTTATATGTGTGCTTTAAATCCTCTTTCTCTTCATATATGAGTGAGGAATGAGTACAATTGCTTGAGACGAAAAGTATTGTAAATAAGAGAATGTGTGATGTATTTATATATAAATATTATAAATAATAATAATTATTATTATATTATTATTACTACTACAAAGCTAATTAATGCAGCTATAACGTTATAATATATCTGTATCGACCTAAAGGAATGATAATCATGCGACTGTTGTGTATGCGTGTGTGTATGTGTATCAAACCTAATTAAACGTACATCGCATGTGACCATTTTATTTTTTAAATTAACGGAAAACGGCAGCGCGCAACCAAGTGTGAAATTGTATTTGAGATTGCGTGCCGAGCGACTCGGTCGCTGACGCGATCTGACCGCATCTGTGAGTGGCGCTCCGGCCGTATCAACATAACTGAAATAAAACTAACGTGAATAGACATACTTATAAAGCGACAAGTTTTTTTTTGTTTGTCGTTCTCTTAATCATCTCTTTTCCCAACAATAATAATTAATCCTTCTATCTACTACCAACCTTTCACTTTTGTTATACGTGAGCTTTCGACTGTTTTATCTTTACGAGTGAAGAGTCTATGCATTTAACTTAGTCGAGGCTTTTAGAGAAGATTGACGTTCATTTATGAAGCACGCAAGCATAAATCTAATAAGAGAAATAGTTCAGTGTACAGGATGGGATAGGCGGGAGAAAATGTACCGACAAACTAGCACTCACTTGGCGTATGCGACTACAACCGCGCTAATTGCTTCGTGGAACTAAGAAATCTTCCATTGCTCTTTGTGCTCAGAACTAATATGCACTTTTTCTCTGCTTATCGAGATATTGCGTGATAATTTTATACTCCTTTGCAGTACTCAGATTGAAGATAACACGAACAGTGCGTCCGCGGAAATAATTAACAGCATACTTTTATTACCCTCTGGTCAGAGTGATTGTCGGCCCGACGAAAATTCCTTGGGGAACTTATACAGAGAGGGATCAAAGCGTCTATGTGGGATAAAAGTAGCAGGTCATCGGCTCGTTAAGAATCGACGATGTCAGCGAGCACGCAAAGAGCTCGGATGTCGTCTGGGATAATTTTAGAGTCGAGTGAGAGGTGAGAACCGCGTTATCGTCTTGGGTTTCGAAAATAAGAAAAGCTTTGTCATATCTGTCACGAGAGCTTCGCTCGAAAAAAGAAATAAGTTGCAGGTTGCGTTGCGTGTGCTAATCGACGAATTAGCCCCGCGTATTAAGTCAAGCACGCGTGCATACGTGCACGCTATGTTCGTTAGTGGCATAGTTTGGCCGTTACACGACGTTTGACGAAATTCCGATGTTGATATGTGTGATGACTTTTGATATGTATTATTTTTTGCTTACACAAAGCTGTACTCGGCCTAAAAGCTTTAATTTAACATAAAAAAAGGAAGATGTTTATTGCCACGAGAATTCATAAAGAGAATTTCAGTATGCAATATTCGTTTTTTACCGAACATCGTTCCACACTTGAATATAAAAGAATAAATTATTCTAAACTTGATTGTGACATCTGTGCGAGATGTAAATATTGATCGGCTTTCGTGCACGGTGAATCATAATGAGTTTCATGCGAATGCTATTTCAAGCAAATTGCACAATTGTAAGGAATTTGTCGTGTTAGCGATGACCAATTTTGCTGAAAAAAAATTAAAGCCAACAAATATGAAAGTCGATAATTAAGCTTTTTCACTAGATTTGACAATTTCCAAAAGTATATTAATGTGTTCATCTTTTTGATAATCGAACATGCACATTTTTAGAAGTAGAAATTCGCAGCACAATATCTTTTGTTATACGTAATATACAGTATAGTTGGAATAAATAACAAATAAGAAAGTACCTTACACCGATACATGTTATTGATAAATAATCTCACAATGTAAAATTTGAATTAAAAAAAATACATTCAATATTTCCATCAACCCAACTGATATGACGAACAACAAAATATCAGCGCTTTCGCTGCTCATGATATTTATTGAGCTGCATCGAAACTACATAAAGCATGGCAAACTCCGCTTCAAAACATACTAACTCGTTGAGAATTCAGCCAAGCCTCATTGTATCGAATTCTCGCAGCAGCAACTCTCTCTCACGACGACAAAAGGTCTAACTTGTGTGCATGTGTCTCGATTAGCTAAACTCGCACATGTCGCTTCAAACAAGCCCCTTTCCGTGAAAGTGTATACGTGTGTGCATGTGAGTGTGTGTGTGTGAATTATTGAGGCGTATATATCCTTTGTTTTCGCTCTCTGCGCACCGTCATCTTCATCATGTCAAGGGTTGTCGTTTAATTGGGACGTTTATAGTACTACAGATCGAATTTAGTATAACGTTGTTGTAGCGAGCGGCCGATTCTCGATTGCATGCGTCACGACAAATGAAAGGATTTACGCGTCTGAGCGTTACATAACAAGTTTGACGTTTTTCATGAAAAATAACATCTTTCTGGCAGGCAACACACGTACGAATAACTTCTTTGATTTTGCTGCAAGCTTTTGAAAGTGCAAACGTTAGTTTGATAGAGTCGCTGCAAAGTGACGTAACTTGTCTATGTGTATATATATATAACGTATATAAATTATATGAACGCCTCATCAATATAATAATTTTATATGTTATTATTTATATTAGACTTATTCGCGCGTAAGATTAGTAAAGTTATATAATATATATACGAGAGTTTGCATGGATGTCGCATATATGATAACAATTATATTAGATCCATTCTTTCTCATCGTATTACACTGTTAAAAAAATGAACTGTTTGGAAAATTGTCCAATTGAAGATTATTACAGAAAACAAAAACGAGATATTGTACGTATGTATTCAATGAAACGGAATCGTTTGTAATGTATATGGATAAATTTATAAGGATATAAAGATTATAAACGAAATTTTAAAGAATATAAGTGGACAAATTCATTAATTATAATAAATGTTATATGAGAATATAAGTGGAATTATTAAAATTATAAAATTATTATCAGTTAATAATCGCTGCTAGGCAGCTCTAATATTTCGACCACTGTAAAGAAATGAAAACTGTTTATGGATGAGCGATTAATAAAATATAATATAATACTGTGATTTGTGTTTGGGGTATTTTTCATTTCATTCTACTAAATATATAAATGTCACAAAATTTTATTTCAATAAAAAATTTGTTCATTTATATAAGTTATACGAAACTTTTCATAAAATTACATGTTGATTACTTAAGATTTATGATTAAAAATATTAAAGCTTTTCATTTGTATTTCAGTATTATGAAATCGAGTTTTTATTGCTCTTTTTTATAAACGTACCTGGCATGGATGACATTTTCTATCTTTTTTAGAAATGCCCTTTAATACAATTATTAAGTAGCAACATTTGTAAGCTTTCAAAATAAATATCATTTATGAGTATAAAAGGTTACCAAACTACTGTCGTACAAATGGAGTCTCTTAAATTCAGTTCTTGTGCGATTCGTTGTATAAAGAAAATTATTAATATTAATCAAAAACTATCATAAATTCCAAATCTTATTTGAAAGAATAAATTTAAAGAATAGTAATCACAAGAAAATATAGCCTCTGCAAGTTTTTTTTTCAGATTAATTAATATAACTGGAAGACATTATCGGTTATCAGTTCATTATCGGTTATGAACGCTTCATGCTACTTCTACATGCAAACATGTACGTATATTCAAGTGGAATAATTCGATTTCAAGTATATAGAATTTTTTTCACTTCGACGTATTTCTTTTTAGAATTATAATGCATTCTTTATAATATGTATACATCTCTGCTAGACAAACTAGATAGAAATTAAAAAGCATTATTTCTCTTAAATATATATACAATTAGACAACAAAACAAATAAACAAAGCCAAGGTATTTCAAACTACAATAATACTAATCAGGTCGGACGTAAGCTCATAAAATAAGTAAATAATTTGATCACTACAATATCACACGCTTCTAAAGATACTCGGTTGAATAAGCTCGCGAGAATAGAATAAGACTACCGTATTATCAATTATACGTCTTAGTCTAACTATTCGTGATCATCACACGAGAAATTTTTCAAGTAGATTGATGAGGTTTTCAATGCCGTCGAGGTAATTGTTGTCGAGTTGGCAGTTCTCGGCAGGGTATACGTGGGCAAAGTCTATCATGTAGACCCTCACCCAATTCTGCTTCTCTGTGGAATTGCTACTCAATTCCGACAATATCGCTGCGTAGTCTTCCTTCATCTGAATGATGTCGGCGTCGAAGTTATTTGAGTACGAGTGTGTTCTACAGAGTTTGTGTACCGTTAGGTCGGGTATTCTCTTTGGTGCTTTTATTTCTATGGAGCTGCAATGAAAAAGAAGTTCAGTATATTTTTAAAATTTATTCTACACTATATTATTTTATCAAAAGGATCATTTTTGTTACGTACAAATTAAAATCAAAAGAAATTATCGTACCGGATTTCGAGAAAAAACATACTTGGTAAAATTTAACACAAAAGTGTGAAAGAAATTCTTAAATAACAGTCGGATTATTCAGTCTATCTCTCTCTCTCTCTCTCTCTCTCTCTCTCTCTCTCTCTCTCTCTCTCTCTCTCTCTCTCTCTCTCTCTCTCTCTCTGTCTGTCCCAGACAATAGTCTATAAAACGCCTACTCAATTCTTTTGTATTGACTAGATTTCCATATAGTTTACATTCAAGGCGTTGACAATTATCAAAGCTGTGTAAATTACAGGTATTTATATTTCAAACAAATAATGAAATCATAGTTGAGCGTCCAAGTTCATCGTTTCATTTATCTTCGATTTGAAATTGATTATTCTTTTTCCTTTCATTTATTGCCAACGAATGTTTTTGATAGCCGAACGGATAAGATTACGAACAATACTAACTAATCAAAACCTCGTATTATCTTCCAATTGTTTCAGTAATATAACAGTTGAGCTAAATAATACTATTTTATCGTTATAGAATGTAAAAAAAGTAGAAAAAAATACCTAAAAGATTCTTGAACGAATTCGACGTTATTTTTCTCCGGTATATTCTCACAATTCTGCAAACTTATGCTCCTTTTTAGTCCTCTTATCCTATCAAGGGCTTTGTTCAATTTAGGACTCCTTGAAGGCGAATCCATTTTCGGAGAACCTGGTCTGACAGCCAGGTGACTGCCACTACCAGACTTTTTTAGAACTTCGGGTTTCGGTGAGCTTGGTCTAACTGCCAGATGACTGCCGCTACCAGCTTTATGCAAAACGTCGAGCTTAGGTGAATCTGGCCTTGGATACTGGAATATCGTCTGTGCGGTCGGCGAGCTCAGTGGCGACGGCGTGGAAACTCTGTCTAATCGGTTGAGCGACCCTAAACTCCTTCCAATACCGACGAAAGGTTTCACTCTTAAAACTGGCGTGCGGAGAAAGGACTCGGCGTGACTGTTGTTCAGGTGGCGATGCAGGTAGTGTCGCAGTCGTTTGGCGTCGTAAGCGATCAAAAGAGAACTGGAGTAGATGTGGTAGCGACGTTGCTCGCGGAATATCGCTAAAATTTTCCAAAGGATGGATAGCAAGCGGACCAGTAGATCCCGACTGGGCGGGTAATCCCGACTGCCGTTCAGGAACATCTCCAGAGCTGAAAACGATGTGGTTTCGGCGATGCATTATCACGGCAAAGTAAATATTCTCGGGGAAATGCATTGCGAAAAATGACGTAAGTAAGTGCATCGTCAACAAATTATTAAAGTCACATTTGACAGGATTAAGCGCACAACTACTAAGGTGCGCGATGATTCGATAAATAATAATGTACCTTCGACCAGAGTTTGGGAGTTGAGCTGCTTTCCATAATTCTTATCGAACTTGTGTAATTCGCCGGACGGCAAGCGGTAAACTTGAAAGCCAGGTATGCAAAAGCCATAATTATTTTTGACAACGGCGTATTTGTCCTCCTCGGTGATTCGCTTCTCGGCAGTGGCTTCCGGATCCCACGTGCGTTTGCCAATCTTCACGTCCATCACGCACGGCTCCGACATGCCGTCCGTTATGTCTTGAAGCTCCAGGAACTTCACTTCTGCAACCACGATTTCCGTGTAAATTTCATGCCCATCGCATTGCACCGTTGCGAGATCAACGAGTACCGAATCGAATAACGATACCAACGTCTATCAAAAATCTTCATCTCCTTTGCGCCATAATAAGCTGGCGCGTATCTCCTCAGCTCGATGTCAGTAGGATTGCCAGAGACCTGCAGGTTCTCGTAGAAATCGATCTCGCGTTTACCCAATATCGGCTTGATCACTGGTTTGAACACATGACCGTTCGGACCACGCAGCATGCCTGCAGCAGGCAGCGCAATATTTCGCGTCATTTCGCAGTCGGTGAGCTTCGTCGCGGCTCGCTGCCGATAAAATTCGTCGTGAGCACGCGCGCGAATCGGAAAGTCACGAGCGCTTATCTCTCTTGCGCGCGCACGCGTTCGTAATTCCTTGGCAAGAAATAAAAGAAATGAAGAAAAAAAAAAAAAATCGATAATAAGCCGATCGAAGCCGAGCCAAAGCTTCGTTGCAACGGAACGTCGTTACAATTGTTGCGTCACTACAGCGACGAATATTTACGACTTGCACGCGACAGCCGACGAAAGAAAAACTCGTCCGTGTCTTTTTTGACGAGGACGTCGGAAGGAAATAACGCGAGACAGAAAAAGTCGCGGAAACGTGCGGCTTGCCGAAATCGAAAAACCGCGACTGAGACGTGCGGGGCGGGCGTCGCGCTGCGATCATTCTCTCGCCGCTCGCATATATATGTCCATTTTTTTCCTCTCTGACTAAAAAAATATAATAAGAGAACGATTGCTCACCAACTTTATTCTTCTCGTGGTCAAAGCAGTGACCAGCGAGTTGAATGTCGAGAAAGGCAGTGCCGTCGGGTAGCTGAACGTTGTACATCGCATCCGATGTGGCAGACTCGCCGTAGCCGCTGTCGTTGTCGCCCATGACGACGACGATGCGATTATCAGCAGCGATTTCTAATGGATATGGCGAGAGAAAATCAACGACACAATGAGAGTTGATTTAATCAAGGTGACAATCTCAGCATTGTCCTTTACCTACTGCGTTGTCGTTTTTCTTGTTCACTATAGGCATATCGATTGCAGGAATATAGTATACGATGAAAGAGACGTTGAAAAGCTCGCGATGAAATGAACAACGCAGGTGAAATATCTAATCTACCTATGATTGCAATGTATGTAGATACACACAGAATGTATACGTCTTACTTAATACATCTTTTATCTGTCTTACACGTGTCTATAGCTTATAGCTGTGCTCTCTCTCTCTCTCTCTCTCTCTCTCTCTCTCTCTCTCTCTCTCTCTCTCTCTCTCTCTCTCTCTCTCTCTCTCTCTCTGTACCAGTTTACTTTAGATTGAGATTCGTAGCCAATATTGCGTGTATCTTTTTTCTTCCATCCAACTTTTTAGCACCTCCTCGACTTTGTTTTTTCTTTTCGTTTATGAAAACAAGGCGGAAATTTATGATCCGTTCTTTAAGTGTCGTTTCGTGTGTGACTGTGATTCACCTTTGGAATATTAAACGAAAACGCCGACGGAACACGTATTGAAGACACACGCGCTTTAGTTTATATAAGCAGGGTAAATTTGATGCTGCGCAATCCCTGTGAAAATTTTCACGTGTTGCCACATTGAAAAGCTGTTCGACCTTTATCATCCGCTGGAAAAGTCTTTATGCGAGCTTGTAAAAGACACGATCATAAAGTAGGTGTACAATATATATCAGGCGAGTGTAATCACGTTATTTATTGCTATTTCTTTCGTAAAGTAATACTTGTAATATTCGTGTTAATCCACTTAGAAAAAAAAAGATAAAAAAAGAAAATGAAATCGATATCAATGTCGCGCTATACCTACGTTTCCGGTTGCGCGTTGAGAAAAACGTTACTTATTACAGTTGTTTATAACAATGACAAAAAGCCACGGAGCAGCGAAAACGTAAAATAGCTCGCTTGCATGTTCAAAACAGAAAGCGCTCGCGGGTAATACAAGTATCCAACTGCACGATGGTATATCTTGCGGGCGATTTGTAATTCAAATTTTTGTACTTCGTACAAGCGCCATCTAGGAACGCAACCACGTGAGAAGTCAGGCAGACGAGATAATAACAAACATGCTGATATTCGATGTGTATATAAGTATACGCTGCTTCGTTATTAAAATGGGAGAGAAAGAAATCCGTATTGCCTCGTGATTTGCGTTGCTTACAGCATAGTTGAACTTCATTTTGCAAATTTGATAATAAGTGAATTGATAAAAGGGCAAGTGGATGAAAACATTGAGTATACGATTTTTTTAGAAGTAATAATTAGCCGAAGAATCTGACGTCTCATTCATATAGAATAATTTTTTTATTTTATGTAACACGCGCCGATTCTTTATAGATAAACGATTAAATGCAACTCACGTGAATTTCGTCCCTTTACGACAAAGTGACATAACCTCAGCTTGCCGTCCCTAGACTCCCTTGAAGGCCCTTTTCTTTTATATTTCTAGAAAATATCAAAATAGAAAAAAATTTTCACTGTTATTTCAAAGTGGACGCGTTAACTCCTAAGCGCGCGCAAGATCGAACTGGGCGATACTGTGTGTGGCCGTCCGCTACAAACGGCAACTACTTATACTGTACACAATAATAAAAGCGTGCACGAGTGTAGAGTAAAGGTGTACAATACGGAAACTCACGGAGCCTCCGCGCATACTCCGAAATTTATCATTTACTTCTTATATATTTTTGTCAATAGAATTATCGCGCAAATTGGTTACTGCCGGAAAAACTGAATTGTTCTGCGTGTTAGGTATTGAATTGATGGAGCAAGTGTTAATAGCGAGTACCGAATTTTTAGCTGTTTATATTTTTATGCAACTATTATTTATAAAGTAACAATTTTTGGGAGAAAAAGAATTTGATTTACATTATTTTTATCGCTCATTGTTATTCTCGGATTCTTAGTGAACATTATTTTCAAATTAAAACCACTGGCATTGATAAGTTGGTGATATCTGTAATTAGTAAGAGTCTAGATAATGACTGCGAGGAACACGTTAATTTTTCTGATTTTGAAAATGAATTATGATGTTTGAATGTATGCACAACAGATAGCAGCACCTCTAAGGTAATCAAAATTGAAATTATTTTCCCGCCGCAAAAGTACAAAAGCATGTTCAGACTGGCACGCCAACCTCACTTTTATCTTTTGTTGGCTACGCGGATATTGTCAGATATTGTTATTTTGACGTCTTTAGTAATGCGTACGTTTTTCTTTTTATTTATTATGAACATTCAATTGAAAACAATGAATTTGGAAACAAAGATGTTATAGGTAATAATTGAGGAAGATCAATAGTAAATAGCATCATTAAGATTAAAGCAGAGATTGTCAGTTACAGCTTCATTGTTTTTTTACAAGAACTGTCACCTTGGATTGATTTTTATTTTCACGCAATCGTTAATTTCTTTTACGAAGTAATAACTGTACAGTAAGTATCGAAAAACATTGTTGAATAACGTTAAACTTGATTGAAATATCTAATAATAATTAGTTATTAATTGTTGAAATTATTATGTACAATTGAGTAATATAACTATAAATTTTTAAGTCTAAAGATTAAATAACTATTTCCATTAACATTTTCATACACTGTTCATACTTTTTAATAGTAATATCATATCTGTTACATTGACATCTATTTTTATCATATATCGATTGATGAAAAAGATATAAGTATTAAAAATGGAGTATTAAAATTAGTAAATTATGATAAAGTAAACAGTACATCTTTTATTTGGTTGAATTATTTTTTAATTTTTGTACAAAATGTAGGAATAACTTCATATAGCCTGTTATACAAAAAATATGAAGGGGCAGTTTCTTTATGATTTAAAAAAAAAATGTTGTAAACATTGGGAATAAGCATAAATTAAACCTTAATGTTAATTATAAGACAGACATGTACAGTCATTAAGCAGTCCATTTCATGCATCTAGTATCAAGATGTGTTCCAAGACACTTGACTGAGCAGTATCTTGCTCCGCATGGTAGACATGTGTAGTCACTAGGAAATCCACACACTGCACAAAAATGTCTATCAGGGTAACAAGAAGGTGGAGCTTGAGCTGTTGTATAATTTGGTCCTGTAGGATTATAATTCAAATCTTCTTCAACTAGTTGGGCAAAATTTTTTCTAAATCTCAATTTGAAATATTCTGCAGATCTTGTTTTCCTTTTACGAGTTACATTCTTAGTGTCATCAAATTTTGGAATTTTTTTATTCATCACTAGAAAAGAAAATATATAATATTCATTAAAAATTTTATATATAATTTTTGTAATATTATTGATTAAAACTAAAGCTCACCCAAATCAGCATGAGGATCTTCATGAAAATTATCTTGCTCCAATGCTTCCAGAGCCTTCCGTTGTCTGCGATTCCTCGCTTCTTCATCAAGAATTCGTTTTTGAATTGCATCTTTAATCCTCCCTGATTCTCTACCAGTCATTTTTTTATGTAATTCTTTTAGACGATTTTACAAATACTGAATAATTTGAGTTTGCTTTCTATTATTCTTTCTCAGTCAATGGGAACGAAATGCGATCCATCAGATCATCTATTTTTGCTTGAAGAATGTCAATAATATCATTTGAAATAAACAAATGTCTTTCATCTAAATCATGAATAATAAACTTTCTGCCTAAAGCCTGAGTGTCATCTAAATGTAGAAGGAATTGTTTCATAGCTTCATCACTAAAAAATGAATATTTTTATAAATATTCAATTTTACAATAATAAGTTATATTCATTTATTAGATTTACAATGTCAAAGAGAAAAAGAACAACAGCAGATGAAAAACGTTCATTGATGTTACACTTTTTCCATGAAAAAAAGGACTTCTACACTTTAAAAGAATTGGAAACATTAGTACCAAAAGAATGTGGGTTAGCAGCACAAGTTGTGAAAGATGTTCTTCAAACTTTAGTTGATGAAGGGTTGGTACATTCAGATAAAATTGGAACAGCAGTCTACTTTTGGTCATTTCCAGGGTAAGTTGTTATCAAATGTAATAATATCTATAGACTACATTATATATTCTTATTTAACGTTACTTCCATTTAAAATCACTTTTTAGAGAAAAAATACCAGCAATAGAGAAAGAAATAGCAGAAACAGGAAAGAAGATTTTAATGCTTGAAACAAAGTTAGGGAAATTAAAATGTGATATTGAAATTGAAGAAGTAAACAATTTTTATTTATAGTTGATTCTTTTTACAATTCATAATTATACATTATTTTTTCTTGCAGGCTAATCAAACGGATTATGAAAAAACGAAAGCATTGATAACAGAAATAGATACATTAAAAACTAACGAAGGGGAATTGAAAAAACAAATTATAAAATTTAGTGATGCTGATCCAGAAGTTATTGCTCAAATCGCTAAAAAAGCAAAAGTAATGAAAGAAGGAGCAAATACATGGACAGACAATATTTATGCCCTCAAAACTTGGTGTAGAGATAAATTTAACATAGAGGAAGCTGCACTGAACAAACAGTTCAAAATCCCTGAAGATCTTGATTACTTACCATAATCATTAGAAAATAAGAAGGTATATAGACTTTATGTGTAAACAAAGATAAAAGAAGAGTAAAAAAACCTACCATTCTACTAAAATACCTTTCTGAACATTCACCATCGCGGAAGTTGGCGGTATTCAATGATTAGTTGCGTTCATGAAATTGTAGGTTATATCTTCAACCATAAAATTATACTAGATACACCCCTACTCTCCAAATTTAAGAATGTTGGTCGTTTTCGTATTGCTATTAGTACGTCTTTAGCCTTTTGTATTTGTATGAAAATATTTATTATTAATTATATTTTGTACATATTATGAAAGAGTAAAGCAGATACAATTTAGAAGTATCTGTAAACGTGTAAATAGTTTATTAAAAAAATCGTATTTTGTATCATTTTTTTCATAAAATAAACTATTGTAAATTGTGAAAAATGTTCAAGATCTAGATTATTTGCCAAAAGAATACCCAATTTGCAAAATCTGTTATACCTACTTATAATAAATCAAAGTAATCCCTATTCGGGTTACGTGGCACGTGACTTGGCTAGTTTGAATTTTAGATAGTATGAAAATAAATCGGTGAAGATAAAACGAGAAAATGAATGGCAGTATAACAATTTAAAAGAAACTCAAATAATTTAAGTTTAAAGAGGACTTAGGCTTAACATTTAAGTCTATGTATATATATATATTATCTATTTTCTTCCAGTGGATAAGTATTACTATGTTTTGTCTTCTCTCTCACCAGTTGAAGTGAATATGAAAACATTTGAAAATCTCTTCGAAAATTAAGGATTTTTGTCTAAAGCTATTGGTTTCAAAATTTCTTAACCACGAGAACTACACAGAAGTTCGGTATGTAGTTTTATGCTGAATATTTGCACGATCATAGGTAACCTACCTTGCTCATGACGATACATGATGTAATCAGTATCAATACGTCACAAAACAAAATTTAGTTTATGTCTCTTAATGTTAGTACAAAATGAACATCTGAAAATTCGTCACGTTTGTTATTTAACCATCAACAACAAATTTTAGGCGTATTTATTTGAAATTTCCGTAGTACTCGAGCTCAAGATATTAAAAAAATTATCATTTGAAAAGTGATCCCTCAGTTAGTTCAAATTCCAATCACCAGAAGCAGAAACAGTCTGTCGCTCTCCGCCAAAATTCGCATTCGCTATCTATTATTGCATTGCGTCAACTCGTGAAATACCTTGATATTGGTTCTGGTGGCGGCAGCAGCAGGCAGCGACGTCAGCGACAGTTTGCTAGCCACGGACGCATCGATCGAGCAACGGGGCGCCTTATTCACGGTCGGACTACAGTCGAGTCACGTTCAGCAGTTCGTACTCGCCTCTGTAAAAGCACCAAAGAAGGTGAGTAATTTGTGTCAATCAAATATTAATCAACGAACGTTTAGCAGTCCTAACCATTGTTAAAAATATCATATTGGAAAAGTACGAGATTTTTTAATTCATGGTGTCGAGTTTCAATATTCGAGACAACACGTGTTGCACTCGCCAAGGCTTCACTCATGTGATCTGTCGTCTGGCGGGTCGAATGATTTCTTCGCTATTTTCGAGTGGAAAATTGAATGATCGATGTTTGTCTATATGCGTTACGTAACGTCCTATACTATTGTGCTCTTGATACGTTTTTTGCTGCTGATAACGCCTTTGTCCACGAGATTCTTGCTGTATTCGATATACATCAGGAGCCTTTTGTAAAATTCATAAGATGATTAACCTTCTCGTTATGGACTGTGCTCCTTAGAAAAATTTTTCGAGATAAATGCTGTGCTGATCGCGTTGCTCGTTGGCAATCTGCCAAAACTTTGCGCGCGTTGTAACAAAAAGTATATAGCGACAAGGGCATGACAGGGTCAATAATTTCATGAAATTTAGTCGATTTCTTTAGATGGTGATATAAATCGAGTAATAAATTGTAGGCGTCGCGAAGGGAATGATGCGCAAGCGCAGCCCTGCAACTCACTCTAGAATCTTCGTATCTGTTAACTAGTTTTTTCACTGGTGCAAATTAGATTAAGGTCATTGTCGAATGCATGTCAACCTTGCTTAGATGTTTGTAAATCTATTAGTTGCATCCTTCGAGTATGTTTTTTAATACCACTCTGAGAGAGGTACAAGCACACGTTTTTTTGGACTCGAAGTGGACAAAAATAGGACGGGATAAGCATTAAAAAATCGATAGAAGAGCAATTGCAACTTCGGACTTGATGTAACTTTAACTAAATTTACTTGTCTTCTTCGGAAAACTTCATAAGATGCGATTTATACATTTTTCTTCTTTATTTAAATTCTGCGATAAGTCTTCTTCTTTATTTAAGTCTGCGATTTATACATTTTTCTTCTTTATTTAAATTTGTCTACTAATTTTGTTGCGTTGAAAAAAATTAACATTACAAGTGCACTAAACTGCCTGACGTCAGACGAGGAATCTCGTACTTGCATCACTTGGTCTAAAAATATATGAAAAAATGCAAGTAGCGAGACACAATAATATAAGTAGATTTATTTGAGGATAAAAATTATTGGGCATCATAGGTTTGGCAGCAGTTGGTCGCTTTAAAATAGAGTATGATTTTGATGGTCAACGTATTTTTCATTAATACGCTGCGGGTAAATAGGTATTGCACAATAAAATTACATAAAATTTTATGTCGCAATGTGGGACAATAGAGACAATTTCATTAGATTTGTCTCTTACCGAAATTCAAATATTTTTGATAAAATTTATGAAAAAAATGATAAATTAAAACTTTTTCTAAAACAATTTTGTTGAGAATCTTAATTTTTTTTTCGTTCTGTTTAGTCGTTACTTAAACAAAACTTTCCATTCATCATTCATCAAAGTATTTAATTGTCAGTTAATTTTTTCAACTGTCACGCGTGTTGCGGAACTGTTTCTCTCAACATTGTCTTTTTTTAACTCGAGTGCGACCGAATAATAGAATTTTGTTAGCCAAGAACCGTAAGTGTGACGTAACGGCTCGCGAATCGCAAGGTCAAAGTCGGCATTCCACGTGTACGATAAAGAAGAGCTGTTCGGAGGCAAAGTCTAATTGTTTGCTAGAGTGGAAAAAAAACGTTAATTGTCATATCGCTCGTGATAATGTCGTTGTCGTAACATTACTTTGGAATACCATGTAGGTTTTAATCGTTGATTTTATTGTTACAGTTTTACAGACATGGGTGTCCCAGCTGGTGATGTTGAAAAGGGAAAGAAGGTAATAAATAGTTCTTTAGTACATTTACGAGATTTTAGTTGTTGATGTAGTTTACGATGAACGAATCATTGCAATTATCAGCATTTCACCTGCCATTGATTTCATACGTGTGTAAGTTTGTAAGTCCACGTAGTACACATGCAAATCATGCTTAATTAGATCAACATGATCAATTAATAATGATTCAAGTGGCATCATTATAAATAGTATCATTTATGATTATTTTAGTAATATCGATTTGTATGAAAATGTTTAATCAGTTATAAATATATTATTGGCTTTTAGTTAATTAAAAATAACTATGTCAATACAATGTAAAAAAAACTCAAAATACTACTTTTCAAAAAAATATAAATTTGCAATATTTTCAAATCTATTTTTACTAATTTTATTTTTAATTGATAATTGCTAGAACTTTTATTTTTGCTTTCGTCTTTCTACAAGTATATGGTTATGTTGGCATTTGTAAATAAATATTTAACGAAAAACATGTACTTAATGTCTGTATTTCATTTTTCAGATCTTTGTTCAGAGATGTGCACAATGCCACACTGTAGAAGCTGGTGGCAAACATAAGGTTGGCCCTAATCTCAATGGTTTATTTGGCAGGAAGACTGGTCAGGCTGCTGGTTATGCCTACACAGATGCCAACAAGGCTAAGGGTAAGTAAATTATTTTTAATGGCAACATGTAGTTATAAACAGTGTATGCTGACATACTTATTCACTATCATTCTATTTGTTATAGGAATTACATGGAATGAAGATACTTTGTTCGAGTACCTTGAAAACCCGAAAAAATATATTCCGGGTACAAAAATGGTCTTTGCTGGCTTGAAGAAGCCTCAAGAACGAGGAGATCTCATTGCTTACCTCAAATCGGCATGCAAGTAAGCACGGAAGAGTTTAATTACTACCATCAAGAGATTATTGGGTTAATCAATGGGAGCTTTAGAATAATTATCATCGTGTATCTCATCATTGTAAATCAATACATCTCTACTTCAATGTATGACACCATACAAACCTTGTGTTCCAGCAAGATAAATGAAGCACTTAGTGAAAATTGTTAATATTGTTAAGTAGGCAAAAACATTTCAAAAATGTACATTGACAAATAAGTGGCAAGTACCAGTCACGAAATGTCTTCATTGAGAGTGTCGTGGCGTCGTTGATCCGTACATTGAGAGGCAGAGCCTTAAGATCGGACATTACGTTTATTTATTATCACGCTAGTGACAAAGATTCTGTCGATTTATTCATTTCGTGTGTTCTCTGGATTCAAATACAAATTCAATGAATTAAATCTGAAAACTATGTTAATTTTTTATACCTTAATTTCTTTTCTTCAAGATTAAAAAAATTTTCAGATAATAATAAACAATTGAAGCTAAACAGATGTCTTTAATTTTTAATCTTTTTCAATGGCAATGCATGGAAAGATTTATTATTATTTTTAACAAGAATAAGGGAATAGTATATTAATATAAGTGCGGGAAAGTAGATTCTCGTCTCGTGTGGCGTTTACGCCCGAGCGAAGCGAGGGTGAAAAGGTACACGAGACGAGAAACTCTTTCCCGAACATGTGCCGTACCGTATTTTTTTATACGACGTGTGGAAAATGCGATTTTCAACGCACGTTTTCTGCCGAGCGTGCAGGAAAGACGCACTTTGCGCACAGAGTGTCGAAAAAGAAGATACAATAAACTTAATTATCTCAAATCAAACTAAACTAGTTGTAGAATTTGAAATTTATAAAAGACCCTCTTTAACAATTATGTTTCATTGAAAAAAACCTGATAAAAATATATCATTTGTTACTATGATATGCTAGACATCAAGTCTCAGACTTACCTATGCGTTATATTGTTAAATTTAACCAACAGAGGGGTGTAAGCAGTTGCATTCAAGATTCAAGTTCAAATGAACTTTTGTACTTGCATTCAAGTTTATTTACAATGTTCTGTAATTTACTTTATCTTATTTAGAAAATTAATTTTTATTTTAAACATTCAAGATTGCTTCTAAATGTTACTATAATATTGTAAGTGTAGGTAAACAGTGGTTTACAATCTGATAATTATTTAATATAAAAAGAAGTGAAAAAATTACATTTTTTATTCTCAGAGAATCTAAAAGTGAGTGCCCATGCAAAAGAAAGCAACAAGAAAACAGTGCAGAGGGAAGTTGACCGATTAGTCATTAGCTGCAAAACTCAACAATTTGAAGGAATACATATATATTTTATAATTAATATATATTTTATTGGTTTTAAAAAGTTAATTCAGTAAAGTAATAAAGAAATAGAAAGAAGAGCTAAATAAGAATTCTTTCTTTTAAAGATAGAATATCTGAAAATTTGACTGAAATACGAGGTGTGTTCAAAAAGTAACGAGAATTTTTAAATTTCGCGGGTTTGGAGAGTCCGCTTGTATAAATTTTTTTTATTATGTTGGTACACATGCCTCTGAAGTACGATAAAATTTTCAGCAATATTCATTGCTTACTTTTTAAGTGGCAGCCGCTAACGTTAGACGTGTTTTTCGAGCTCGGCGATTTTCGTTTGTGAAAAAAAATGGATCAAAGAATTTGTATTAAATTTTGCGTAAAAAATGAAATAAAGTGTAGTAAAGTTTGTCAAATGTTAACAAAGGCATATAGTGAGTTTGCTATGAGTAAAGCAAGGATTTATGAGTGGTATAAGCGTTTCCAAGATGGTCACGAAAACGTTGAAGATGACGAACGACCCGGACGCCCAAGCACATCAACAACCGATGAAAACGTGAAAAAAGTGAAAGAAATGGTTATGAACGATCGCCGAATCACAATCAGAGAAGTCGCTGATGATGTTGGCATATCAGTTGGCTCATGCCATCAAATTTTTTCGAATGTTTTGGGTATGAAACGCGTGGCAGCAAAATTCGTTCCAAAATTGTTGAATTTCGAACAAAAACAGCGGCGAATGGAAGTTGCTCAGGAGTCGCTAAATGAAGTCAATAACGATGCAGAACTACTAAAACGTGTTATAACAGGTGACGAAACATGGGTTTACGGATATGATGTCGAAACTAAGGTTCAATCGTCCCAGTGGAGGCATTCTGGATCGCCAAGACCGAAAAAGGCTCGACAAGTGCGGTCGAATGTGAAGGTTATGCTCACTGTGTTCTTCGATTTTAATGGCATAGTGCATTATGAATTCTTGCCACAAGGTCAAACAATCAATAAGCAGTACTACCTACAAGTTCAACGTCGTTTGCGTGAAGCAATCCAAAAAAAACGCCCGGATTTGTGGCAAAACAATTCATGGCTTTTGCACCACGATAATGCGCCTGCTCACACTTCATTGCTTGTTCGTGAATTTTTGGCCAAAAACGAAACTGTAACGATGCCTCAGCCTCCATATTCGCCAGATATGGCTCCATGTGACTTTTTTCTATTTCCAAAAATAAAGAGAACATTAAAAGGCCGTCGTTTTACAAGCATAGATGACATTAAAAGCGAATCGCTGAAAGAGCTAAAAGCTATTACAAAGATCGAGTTTCAAAAGTGTTTCGAGGATTGGAAAAAGCGTTGGCATAAGTGTATTATATCCGAAGGGGACTACTTTGAAGGCGACAACATTAATGTAGATGAATAAATAAATATTTTTTTCATAAAACGAAAATTCTCGTTATTTTTTGAACACACCTCGTAAAAAGTATAAGTTCACTCGCACAAGCATCTAATAATGTGGCGATGATACTTGCTGTATGTGTTTCTTCTGCCAATGCTGTAAAGGAACAAAAGTAATTCTAATACAATTACAATATTTTTCTTTGTAGATGTAATAGAAAAAGATCGCAGATACCTGCTGCCATTTATTTATAGCTCCTCTTTTTCTCTGTCTCATTTTGTCTCTTTCTCTCTCTCTCTCGGTCTCTCATTTTGTATCTCTCTGTCTTTCTGTCTTTTTCTCTGCCTTTCTGTATCTCTCTCTGTCTTTCTGCCTGTCTCTCTATATGTCTTTCTGTCGCTTTCTCTCTGTCTTTCTGTCTCTTTCTCTTTCTCTCATAGAAATCAACTTGTTGATCTTCCACCCCACTTTTTGCTGGCTGAGCAAAGTTCCAACAGTGGCCGCCAGGATCGTTTCAACAAAAACTACAAGCATTTGGCCGGGCATGCTTTTAGCAATCTTTTAACTTTTAGAATCTCAGTTTGAAGTGTAAGATGAATGTAGATTGTATAGGCATGTCTCCATGATTGTAAGCAACGCGCAACGTACAAGCGTCTATTCGTTGATGTAGGCGTTGCCAAGCGTGACGTTGACGTATTTTTTAGTTTTTTCATTTTATTTTTATTTGATTAAATGGCTAACAATAAAACAATTTTACTGCAATTAGTATTAATTGTATTGCTTGCTTGTTTTGTAGAAAAAGGTATACTATTAGTGTTATTTTTTAGGATGTCAAGTTACAAACAAAAATATCAATCATAATAAAGTATATTTTATTATTTTGGCTAAATATTTTAAAAGAATAAAAAATTATTTCGATAATAATCAATTTTTTAATTCAAAGTTGATATAAAAAGTTTTGCCAAGTGTTTTTATTGATATACTGCCGAAATTCATTAACCTTACGTTTTTCAAAAATCGTAATTGCTTTTATCAAAATTATTACTTGCAGGATTTTCAATTAAATGTTGGGTGTGCCGATCTGATTCTGATCCAAAATGTTCAGATCCATTTGATAACACAACAATTCCAATTACTGATTGCAGTAAAGAAAGAGAATTAGAACATTTACCTGGAATCAGACCAACAATGTGCAGAAAAGTTCGTCAAAAAGGTATTTATCACCACATCTAATTTACCAAAAACGTGTCACTTAAGTAATAATATTTATAACTTATTAATCTATAAATAACTGTTTTTGTATTGAAGGATATTTTTGAAAGTCTCCCACCAATATCTATAGATATAAAGTCAATGCAGAAATTTATTCGCGATTTCCTACTTATTGTTTGCCTACAATATTATTCAATCAAAAAAATTATATTCCATAAATATTCATAACTAGAGTGCGACTTATCTATCTTTTAATGTTTTGAACAGTGGTTTCTTCATAAAAAAATTAAAATCCATAACTGTCATTTATGTTTACATTCACGATAAAAAAAAATTTTGTCGCGCTTGAAACCAAGCTGATCTGAGGAACATAATCGAATTTTTTATTTTTTTATGAAAAATACACTGCTTAAAACATTTTAACATTGATTAGCCGCAATCTAGGTGTAAATATTTCTCGATGATAATTTTTGTCGAGCATTTTCGATTTATATTTTAAGCAAACGATGAGAGGAAGTCGTGACGAAATTTTTCTGTAGATATCGATGTGGCGGCCTTGAATAGTCTACAATGAGGAAATGTTTAAATAACTTAGGAGGTTTATGTTTATTTTGAAAATAAGTTAATAATACAGATAATATTAGTACATAGAGAACTGTCAATTATTAATCCATTACTAACATCATCTTTTATATTTGTAGTTAATGGAGTTTGGAGATACTTTCGAAGTTGTGCATACTTAGGTGAACCCGGTATTCAAGGAGATGAAAGATTTTGCTTGATGAGGACAGGTACATATAACATCTTTATGGAATATTGTACGTGCAATAGTAAAGATGGATGTAATTCAGCACCAGGAATTCAACTTGATATATATCTTTTACTCACTAGATTTATTACAGCTATTTTGACTTTCTCATTTTCTAGATTTTGATGTATTTTCTTATTACAATCAGTAAATTTTCTGATTGAATCATTATGCTTCACCAGATTAACTGAACTTTATAATGAATACTTAGGATTTGTATACAATTTTTTAATTTAATTTACGTGTTATTTTAGTACAAAGATCTGAAATCAAAATATTTTTAAAATATTTTGTACTTTATTTTGTACTCAATTTTTTACATGAAAGAGAAACATAACTGCTGACAAGTCCGTCCACAATAACTTAGATTAGTCTAAGATTAACCTATATAAATTATTATATATATCATAAACATATTATTATATATCATAAAGATGGTCGATTTTTTAAGGCTTTTGGCCAAATTAAGATTCAAAAATGTTGTACATAAAGTAGTACATTACGATTCAAAAGTACTCGTAAATGCCACACGAGTCGAAAATTTCTTTCCAAACATGTACGGCCTTCTTTTATACGACGTGGGAAAGTTCGATTATAAGCTTAGGTTTTTGACCAAGTGTGCGGGAAGGTCGCACTGCGCATGGAATGTTGAAAATTTATAAAATTTTGTATAAGATTCTTTTTATAATTTTTATTAAAGTTTTATATAAAAAATATTTACAAAAATATTGAACTTATATACTTGGATTTATTGTATTATTACAGAAATTCTCAAAATATAAAATTAACATTGTCGATATATTATATAAATTTTAATTTCCATTAAAATCAAAATATTTTGTCTGATTTACGCATAAAAGCAATTTTCTATTGAAAGTACGAGTGATCATCATCAAACCATATTTTTGATAAAAATAAAAACATTACTGTAAAACAAAAAATTATTGTTATTTTGTTATCATATAATAATTGCAATAAATAAAAGTGCTTACATAATAGTAAAAACATTAAAAAACCTCGACAAAAACTTACGTTAAAACAATACCTTTCAAAAATGAGTGCTAACGTGATATACTTGTTAGTACATTTGATAATATAGTATTCCATACAAAAATCTTATAGATATTACAATATAAACCACTTCTGATTTAAATACTTGAGACTTAATTTTTACATTTGTACATTTTATTTTAATTTGTTAATTTTCATGTAAAACTTCTGCTATTGTTCAATGTAGTGATAATAACGATTTAACAATTAAATTAAATATACATACAGTGCTTATAATAATGGACGGTTGCATTCAACTCTGAATCGCAGATGAAAGCCATGAGTTTTGGTTTTTCGATCGCGAGCGTTATAAAAATATTTGTAGTCCACATTTCCCGCAAGACTACGATAGCTTGTTCCGAATATTCTTTATTCAAAGTGTTGCCATTTAATGATTGATTGTCCTGGCTTCGCCATTGCTTGTTTCCACTGCTCACTGTAAGTACCGCCAACTTCTGGTCCAATGACAAAGTGACCGACAGTAATTTTTTTTCCTAAAACAAATAAAAAATATAGACATCGTTTTTAACAAATCGTCATTTTACAAACAAAAATTTATGAACATAGTTAAAAGAAACACGCACCAATCTTGTTTTTCGAGACAAACTTAATGACAAAACTGACGTCCTTCAAAGCCCCCTCGTAAGGATTTTCAGCAGCAATCTGGGCGATCTCTGGATCGAACTTCATCGAGACGCAGGGCGTGAATCGTTCGCTCTTCCAAAAATGCGTCATACGGCCGTTGTCAACCACTGACATTTTTATATACATCTGACCTTTCAGTGCCTCATGCTCGTGCATCGATTGTAACGAGCAACGTAGCCGTGTGAGACTTAGCACCAGTCGCCCGTTGCTCATGTCCTTTTTGTCGGTTTTCTCTTGCAATAGGGATATTTCTACTTGGCCTTTTTTGTTTTCTCGCTGTAGATAAAACAAACGTACGTTCGATTACTGAATGAATTATCAATCTTGAATAAGCTGTTGCAAAATTTTTTAAAACACGAAAATCGTTTCAATGTAAAATATTCAATTGGTGCGCCAAATATATAATGCCGCATCGACAAATTCTGCGCGAGTGCAATGTCAAAACCGTGAGAAACGTGTTTCTCATATCATCAACTGTGGCACGTTGTTTTATCAATTGTCTCAATTAGATTCAAGACCCCAACGTTGCATTTTGGAATTACGTCAGCTTGTCACGCGTCGGGTAATCAGCGGAATTCATTGTTGAAGACGTGCCGCTACTCCAACTCTGAATAAAGAACATAAATTGCCGTGCACTTATTGTTACCAAAATTTAAAGGAACATGCTTACAAGCAAATTGATTGCTATAATCGATACGTTCTTAGTCATTCGGAATGAGCAGTATCGTAATTATTTTTAAATTGTCAACAGAGTAGAACAATGATTTTCGCATTAGTTTCCACGATCAGCAATTAACGTTTAGTCGTCTGATAAAGCCTAGCGTAAAAATGAAGGCAGCGGCGAGGTTTGAATATAGCCGTGGCATAGTGGCTCACGTTGATTTTTGCGTTAATCGACCGCCTTGTGCGGACAATGACACAATTGACATCACTAACCCGCTCTTCAGCTCCGGAAATGCCGCTGGAGATGGGCTTGAGGATCCTCCACATGTCGCCGGTCGACACGTCCTGCGGATGCTTGGCTTTGGCCGGTTTACTCGTGAAGTTGCGCGGATCGAGCGGAATGGTCGTTGCGCCGATCGTTCGTCTCTTCTCGAATGCCTTCCTTTCTGGCACACTGGTCTCGCCTATCTTATCCGAGCTTTTGCCAAAGAATTGATTTAGTAGCTTGCAGCTGCCCCTCGACTGCTGCTGCCGATCCGTTGCTTTGCTCATTGCGCCGCTTTCGTTGTCCGCACCCTTCTTGCCATTCTTCTTGTCTTTACCTGCGGCCGATTCGTCTTTTCATGAATTTGGAGCATTTATGTCTGTATATGTATCGATCGCTCAATGTATCGTCGTTCGATTTTGTAGCAACTTGTTCAGTTTTCACAATTTTGATAATTCTGGTGAGTAGTAACAAGCTTAAAATAAACATTTTTACATAGTCTTACAGATGCCAACGACGATACTCGTATGCGTAATAATGAGTTCATTTGAGTACTGATAAGCGCATGGGTATTGACCAGAGCGACAAATCGCTAGAAATATGATCAGCCTACCTTTATCTATGTCGTTTTCCTTCTTGTCAGTAGCTATTAGCGGTTTGTCTTCGAGTATCGCATAAAGCGTTGCGATAATGAACTTCGAGCCGCTTATCTCTTCCTCGGTAACTTTTGTCTTGCCGAACTTCACTTTGGTCTCTTTTCGCAATGGGAACACGAACTCCTCGTTCCACTGTGGCCATGATTCGTTTCGCGTTGTCGTCTCGAACTTTTCCTTACCCGGGAAAAGTTTCACCTGCAAAGATTATCGTTTATTTTGACTCGTCAGAGCGAGTTGTTGCTAAGACGATTCGACGATTAATTGTTTTCATCCATAAAATCAAATTCACAGATACGATTTGCATGATTTTAATAATATAATGATTCAACCTCTGATGATCTACATCTAGGCTTTAATGTAGTCGTCTATTTCTAAGAATGTCATTGGAATTTTATCGGAATAACTTATAACGTCATTAAAGAGTTGTTGACAAAAACACGTCAAACATATTTCCGAGCTTAATGAAAAAAAAAAAACACTTTAACGTAGCTTTATCACGAATACGCGAAATTAAATAGTTGTCTATAAAGGAATCGTCTATTATCGCTCAATCGCATACACTTGTTAGCTAACAACAATGACGACATTTTACGTACTTTGACGATGTAACTATTGACTCGAGTGAAGCCAAAGTTGTTAGGCAAATGCCTCGCACCAAGAATGGTAACCCTTAGGCACTTTTCGTTGGGCGAATGAATGACTCTGATGCCGATTTCGGGCTCGATGGTCGTTGCCGTACGCTCGAGTGGCGCCGAAACAGTCTTTAAACTCGAATCCAAGAAAGTCTTGATCCTCGCTATGGCCATGCTTTCAGCTGTGCGCTCGACTCCCTTATCTGATAAGCACGGTTCTGTTCATTGGCACGACCTCGTCATAGACTTTCTACGCACCACCCGCGCGCTGCGTCTATACTTTGACTGTGAACATCGAAAAATCACATTGGTTAATTGTTGCACGCCATTTTCTTTGAGAAGGGAGAGGGGGGGGGGGGCGATTAGTAGTAGAAGCGCCTAGACCGTTTCAAATAATTCCGCATAAAAAATTAATAGAACGCCTGAGTCGGCGATGTCAATTGAATTCAAAATAAATTTAGCACTTTCGTGAGCAAGTTGACGATTAAATAAAGAAATTTTTGCGAAAAAAGAGACGAGTCACAATGAACGAAAATCGTCGACCGAGAAACACAACAATAACCCAGCCTCAAGTTAATGAACAACGTTTTTTCTTTTCACGCATCCAATTAAACTTGCAATTGGCGCGAATTCGCAGCTGCAATTTAAAGAACGAAAGTCCACAGCTGCTCGGCCCAAAGCTTTACGCGACTCGTGGGGAAGAAACGCCCGCAAAACGAGCGCGGCGTACGCGAAACACTCGGACGCATTCTATAGACCGGCGCGCGATGTGCAATTACAAATTGAATAATTTACTCGGCGAGTTGTTCGAAGAGTGGGTTTCGTATAGCCGTGGATTGATTTCGATTGCAGGGCAAGCTCGGCTCTTGACGGAGCTTACCAAACTAGAATATTATTTCAATACGGTCGCTCGGCTCAATTCGTCAGAGACGACGAGAACGTCAAGAAAAAATCGTAGAAATCGAGCATTTTGGAAGGAGCTCGCGCGAAGCGAAATAACCGGAGCGCAAGCCCAGCTATAAAGCGCAATCGCGGACTCGACGATCGAGAAGATTCACGCCAATCGATGGCGCACCACGCAGTTGACGCGGACGCGCATCGATCGCCACTCGTGTCAACGGGCAAGCGGCAAAACGTCGTTTCACCTTGCCGGCGTCTCTTCTTTTTTTTTTCAATTTTCACGCGTCGGCCTTGCCGCGACTTTCAACTCGCGCGCTAATATGGGCGAGGACGGTCCCGTTAGGCAGCTAAACGTCGGGCTTTACCGCTGCGCGCCGGCGCATTATTATACGCCGTTCCGCGCCTGCATTCCATGCCCGATTGCCTCGGAGCAGCTAAACAGATTCTCAACGACGGCTCTTACGGCGGATCGCTGTGCGACTTGTGCTCGCGGAGTCCGCATTGCGATGGATTTGGTTTGTCCGTTACTACATAGTTGCTCCTTTCGAACGCCTCGAACGATTCGCGTTTTCGCTCGTAAATATCTCTACGTCGACTACGACCAAGCAGATATAATTATTAGTACGACGAAGGTGACGTGATTTTTTTTTTTCTATTACCATGGCCATGAGAGCACATCGCTCCAACGACCAACGCTAATTGCACCCACTTAAAGTCGCCCGTCCAATTGCATTAACTCTGCTTTAATGGAGACGATGAAAATAATTATAGCGCCGGCAAACTAACATCGATTGCGTTACTGCAAGTAACACAAATTATTCTCATATCGAATTGACAATTTCGGTTCGGCTCGTCTCTGCTCACCCAAACTACGTGAATCGGCTCGCCGAAGGCCGTCCAGTCGCGGCGATGCGCTTGCCGACAGGTGTAATTATCCCGTTTGCTTGGCAACCCTCTTACGCGCGTCAAGCTCGCGCTCTGGAGCCCTTCTCGTCCGAATCCAGAGCCTCTTTCGTCGGGCTTCGCACTCGTGCAGCGCCGCGATCGAGATATCGAGCCTTCGCTCCGACAAGTTTGGCGAATCGACGAGTATCTCGTAACGACGCTCGTCGCTGCATTCGCATTGCCACGCGTCAGTCCGAAATCGGCGACACTTGCGTGCGATTCCAACGCGCAGCGGAGCCCATCCGGATCCTCGTTTCGCCAAATTCGCGCGAGTGTCGCGAAAGAAACAGCGCGAGATCGAACGATATTAGCACTACGAATATATCTGCGCCGATAAATACCGCCCTCGAGTACTCGCGCGTCGACGCTCAGTAAGTAAATGAATAAATAAAGCAACGGCATAGCATACGCACGAGGAGCGCGGGAGGCGATACCCCGAGCGTCGTGTCGGATCTCATTAGACGCGGAATCTCGTGGAAGCAGCGGCACGCACGCATGGGCGTGGATATAATTACGCGGGCGCGTGCGTTTCTGGTTTCCTTTTCATCGCGTACGCGACCTCGACTCGAGTGTAATTCACGTTTCGGATTTTTTACAGATCTGACGTAAAGCCAATTAGCCAAGAGCATCGCTCGCTTGTTACTGGAACACGCGCACGATAAACGAGGGAGAGAGAGAGAGAGAGAGAGAGACAGAGATCGTAAATAGCTACATTTCGGATAGTGTAGGTACGCTCGCAAAGGTTTGCGTGATATCTGCACAGCCGAGGTAAATGCAACTGGATCAGCTGTGTTGCGCGAGGCTTGCCTTCGACGGCTACATTAATGAGAAGTAACGAATGTGAACATTTTTAACAGTTCCCTCTTTGCTCTTATGCGAGTATGAATGAATTAATCAAGAATCATCGTTAAAGAAACGGTAGCTACGTGAATTTTTCAAACGTAATCCACTTGTCAACGTAAGTCTTACGGCTTTCTCGCGAAGCAATTGTAAAACATGCGAGTGATTGCTCCGAATGGTATCTCCAAACTGGGAAGGCAAAAGTAACAGCAAGAGACAGAGAATCAATGCTATATTGGATTGTCGTCGGAGCTGCATAGACTATGGCAATCGCCGGTTAATGAGACGAAGATACCATTCCCACCACAAGCAGATCCTCGGGTGATAATTGCAGACGTGAAAAGACGAACAAAGAAACGTTCCATTCGAAGCTATATCGAGGTGTCCCGTTCGCAGGCGAATCCTCGTTATGTCATGGCACGTGGCCCATTCCGGGTGTACAAACGAGACAGGAAGCGCCGTTCACAAGCGGCCCGATCGTCGCACTGCAATTACCAGCTTGCAATCAATTCCGACGACAACCGCGCAAATCCTTCGAATCCTCTGCTCTGCGACTTTTACAGCGCTCTGCTGTCTATTGTCGCGCGCGTGCGAGAGGCGCGAACAAGTATGTATGTATATTGTATATATAGAACCGGTTTGCGTTCTCTCTCTCTCTCTCTCTCTCTCTCACTGCATCTGTACGATTTATAAGCAACCGCTTACCCGTTTTCTTCGTCTCTCCGTAGGAAATAACCGATTATAGTTATCTCTTGCTCGTTCACGCGCAGCGTTGTCAGTGCTGCTGCCTCGTCTACTCCCGGTACATGTAGGTTCTTTTTTTCTTTTTTCTCAAAGAGACTCGAGTATACGTAAGGCTCGATGGATAGGAGATCGTCACGCGTTGTTGGTTATTAAAATTGCACGAAAACTCAAGTCGGCTATCGAGTTTTTGCACAAGTGTTTATGTATTCGAAACTTTTGCGATATGCCGACTTAAAGTTGGTACGATTTTATGTATTCCTCGAGTATTACATCACTTGGAGATGTGATTTAGTTGTCCAGTGACGTCTGACACGACTACTGTTTACAATAATGATATAATATCACAGTCTGACTATTTATACGAGACTTTTTTTTATTATGCAGCTCTTCTAAAAGCACAAAAGAATTTGTTTGTCCATTTTTCCACTAATAAATTTCAGCTGTGTTATAATGCCTCGTACTAACCTTCGTTTGTGAGACCAGCCGGCCATTAAAGCACATACATCGATAATCGAAAAAAAATCAAGGCACGTATACGCAGTCTAGAGTCGATCATCTGTGAGAATGCCTGGTCGAAACGCACGGCGAGCGATGAGCGCGCGGATGTAGAGACACCCGACCCGACTGACTTTGGCGCGCACTCGCTTAATACTGCGATCGCGAGCGAGAAGTCGCGCGAAGGTGAGGCCGCGTATAGCGCGAGATTTCGAACCTGCCAGGCGCGGAATCATCGTCATCGGTGCCCCGCTCTATTCTCTTTCTCTCGGGAGTGTGGATATATCCTTCCAGACCGGTGGTGGGGTTGTTTAGAAACTGGCTTTCTTTCATTGATATGCGCTTGGTGTTTCGGCTTATTGCGCTATAATTCGCCGCTGGAATGGTGTCAGAAAAAAGATAGCTAACTCTATGGTCTCGCAAGTACAAATCATCTTGATGTCACTTTTATTTCTCTGTTACTTTTTGACATTCATTATGGCTCGCGATAGCAAAATAACATTCTTATCATTCACAAGATGAAGATGTTCAGCGTTATTAAAGCGAATACTTGAAAATTAATTTGAATCGTGTTGAAATGAAAGAAAGTTATAAAACGACACAAGGAATTATAGTAAATTTATTTTTCAATTTTGCCATGCAAAACTTACGAGAATATACAATACAAATATTCTTACTAATACCTTAATAACTCAATAGTTTGCACAAGTTTAAATTGCTAATGGCTAACGATAATATTTCCAAATGAATACTGTACTGGAAGGAAGTCAAACGAATTTCCGTCCCGTCTTGCGGATAATATTCGCTGCCTTTTTTCTGCGCAGATCCTGAACTAAAGAGCGCGCTCGGACTGACAATGGATTTTGTTTAACCAGCATCAAGGAATGCGACTCGCGCACTGCATCGTCTGAACAATTGAATTCGCGAGAGCCGACTTGAATGTGTGCGCAATACATCGTTGCATTGCGATCTCGATGCAGTAAGCGACAGGCTGCATTTGAATTTGCAAAATAAAACGCGTTACGATTACGATGTTGGAATTTCGAGGAATGCCACGATGATGCTTCTTTGCTTCGCTATAATTTCAAGGAAAATCAATGATTGGGATCCGCTGTAGCAGCTAAAAGTAGATTTGCTATCGTTCATACATCGGACAAATAAAACCCAATGTTAGATCTCAATGAATACTCAATTTATGAAAAACAGCGACGGAAGAAGCTGACAAGTCGCGCTTATTTAAGCCCCTTACCCTAACTCAATAATTTCTATTAAAGACAGATTAACTTTGTTGAAATTTCAAACATTTAATATTCTTATTTTTTGAGATATCAAGTGCGAATATTAAGTCAAGTTTGGATTCCATACATATTACGAAGTGAAACCTTGAAAATTTATGCAAGTAACTCGTGTTTCAAACAATCTTGCATATAACGACATTTAAATTCGTGATTGCGCTTCTAAGCACATTTAATTATTATACTGTTTGAACGTGACAGTATGCGAGGATACCTTTGCGGGGAGCTAATTATTTATTTGCAATATAAAATTTACACGATAATAATTTTATGTTGTCAAGTATGCGTTCTTTGTATTTTCGAGTTAACATAAATTAAACGTATACAAGAAACAAATTAAAATGTCGATACCTGGCAATAAAATTTAAAGAACTGTGTAGTAGCGTCAATGTTACTTATCGCAGTCTGAAATTAGTAAAATGTACGTTCATAACGTATTTTAACAAAACGTTAACTCAACTTCAAAAATGACTTACATCTGAAACATCGTTTATGACTTTGCTTAAAAAATTCTTCGGTTAAGTTATTTAATCACGCGGATCACCAGTCCATCTTCGGACGAATCTCCGCTACGTGTTGACACTAAGTACTTTGTTATTTTCTAGAAAAAAAAACATTTATTTTCAATAAATGAATTCACTGCTAATGTATATTAAAAAAATCAAAGTGTTAGATGATGTAAAAAGCTTGTTAGGAAATATTATCACGATAAATTCGTGCGCATCACTAAGAAGTTTCTTTTCTACACCATATCATTACATTAAATTCATTATTTATATAAATGGTGCAAACGAACAGACATTTTCTAGTACAATGATAATGACGCAAAAATTAAAAAAATCAATTTTAAATGAAAAATATATACCACTATACTTTCTGCTGTTTTAAGATTCAGTTTATATAGTATAACGTTACCATCAGAACATAATTGTTAATTCATCTATCATTTTTCCAACTTGAAGTATGTACATACAATTAATTGAATAGCATGTCTGATACCATATAAGTTTTAAGAATAATAAGTGGTCATTCAGATATTTTTTCAAACAACATTAGTAAAAATGTTTCTAAAAACACTGCATAATATTTGTCAGAAAAAAAAATTAAAATATATCAATGGTTTAAAAAAGAACAATATTTATTACCTTTTTCTAATTAATATTAGTTAAATGTGCTGTATATAATGGATACGAATATGAATTTTCTTTAACGATAATAACATTGACAGTGATTTTATCGTTCTGGATGAGTTGCTCGAATCCTGCAAAAACGCAACAATAATTACATAAAATTTCCCAACTATATTGCACAACATCAGCAGTCTGCATATGTATAGCAATATATAAACGAACTTTAAAGAGATTTCCAGATTGTTGCAGTAAGGATAATTTATCTTCTAAGTAAAGCGAATTGTAGAAGAGATTATTAATTTTGCCAAGAAGTTTTTCTTATTTTATTCTGCACAGCTGAAGAAATAAGAAATCTTCGTTTCAAATGTTGATTTTCATAAAATTTCAGTGTTACGTATTTGTTAATTATTAAATCAACATCATGTAACATAATGAAATATTTCAGTAAATATCCCTTTTGGTATACAGATATTAGTAGTGTAAAATTATGTGAATTCCAATAAAAACAATAAAAACAGGTTAAATAATTAGAAAAGAAATTTCTTTCATAAGTCGATCGAATACTTACTGTTTCTCTATTTTTGCCATTTTAGCATTAAGAGTTCACTCGCACGTTTAATGTGTGCTCAATATCTGAAGTATAAAGCTGTAAAAATTAATCACTAACTTGAAAGTTGAAAAAATATATTCATCTTTTTATCGTCATAATAATAAGGAATATTTCATTTGATTTCAATTGCCCATTCCCTGGTATATCATCAAAATCAGAATCGTACTCATTGTTATTGTCATAACTGAAATCCAACTTTAATATATTGTTCGAACTCTTTGATCGTTATCATAAAAATTGTCGATCTCAAGCACATTTTCTACCTTATAACTACGTAGAATAGCGAATACTTTTTCAACATCATCAGTGGCATCTAAATTAAAGCCATCTTGTCATTGGTATAGAGAATATATAAAAATAATTCGAAATTATAAACATATAATTGCAAGTATTCCATAGCATAAAGTAAAAGTAATCTATTAAGCTTGATGCGCAATAATTAAAAGGGAGTAATAATTTAAATTTTTACGTTTATATTAACTTATTTAATTCTATTTTCTTTTTAAAATCAATTTCTAAGTATTATTAACATAGAATGAATATATCAAAACTATTCGTTTACAATATAGAAAAGTTGACTTAGGTCGATAATAAATGAGAACTGTTTTTTAGTTTGTGGCTGTAGATAACAAATTTACATTGATGGTATCTTTGATGGAGTGAAATATTTATACTAACCGGTGTAGTAAAATATGTGAAAAAACAACGAAAGACTATTCGTTTAACGAAATATCGTAAACTCTATTAGGATATGTGGCGGTAAAGACAACGTGGAAATAAATTGCACAAATGGCAATAAAACTGCGATTTCTGCTTTTTGTTGATCTAATAATTAGGAATCCCAAAAATACAAAGACGTCAGCATAAGTGCATGTAGCAACTTTTCACTTTCATTATTTTTATAAATAGTTACATTTTCAATATAACTAAACAGTGCACTATTGAATGAGTAATAAACAGTTACATTTTTAATATAATTAAGCAGTATTGAATGAGTAAACTGTCTATGTAAACTGTTGCATTGAACAAAGGCTTTAATTAACAGAAAACAAATTAATTTTGATTGTAGAATGATAAAATGAAATTAAAAACTATCATAAATATTAAATATTTCGTTTACTATCTTATCAAGATAGTACACTATGTGACTTTTACTCAAGTTTATATAAAAATAATCATCATAGGAATAGACATATAGTAAATGTTAATGTTTTTTTGTGTCCATTATTTTATTATTCAAAGTTTCTAAATAACTATCTTTCAATTAATAAGGAAATATATTTCAGTTAATTGTGTGAAATATAAAAAAATAATACATTCAGTTGATCGAAACAATGAATTTCTCGAGACGTGAAGGATTTAAATATAGCTTTTTCTTATGAATGGCTTTGTTATAAATACTATAAAATAAAAGCACATGTACAATTTGAAAATTATCTAATAAACCTCTGGTAATACATTTTGAGTCACCTGAATTTTTTTTCAATCGCATCTTCAATGGCTTGCATATCCATTGAATGTAATATAATTTTTAGTATATAAGTAGTTATTTAAATTTCAATTAAAGATAAATTTACCACTATTTATCATTAGTCGCGTTATAATCGCATAGACGTGAGTTTGAATTAGAAAAATTTGCGATCGATTAGTAAAGTATTGTAAAGAATGAGTGAAAACTATTATATTTTCACAATTCATTAAAACGAAATTTTACATTTACAGTTACAATGAAGTCTTCTTTATAAATATACAAAATGTGATGTGGTTTACATATATTTAGTAATTAATTAACTAAAAGAAGCTACCACATATTTCGATGTTGTGATGACAAATTTTTTGATTTTATACAGTATTTTATATAAAATCATGTAGAAAAGATATATTTATACAATCAAAATAAACTATTTTAATAAATAATCATATTATTATCTTACTTTACTTGATTTTTTTGTTAAAATTAAAAGTAATAAGAAATAATATTGAACAAAAGGTTCAAAATTGATAGTTCATAACAAGAAAAATTGTAATTACAATTGGATCTGACTTAAATAGAACCATTTTTGAATTTTTTTTTCAAATTTCTATTACATATTGTACTATCAATATAATCAACTTTCTCTTCAATTGCTCTTAACTTTGCTCTCAGAAGTTTCATTCTTTCTTTGTGCACTTCAGCTCCTTGGATAAGCTGTTGTCTGTAGACCATCATTTTTTCTTCATGTTCTTGTCTCTTGAACTCAAGTTCTTGAAGGGATTGTTTTTCAAAAATTTTTACAAAGTCAGAATTTGCTTCTAATCTTAATACATCTATTGGACGTTTTTCTGAAGAAGATTGTATATTTGATTGTAAAGATGATGAAAATTTTTCAGATAAAGATTGTACAGAACTGTCATTTATATTATTAATTGATTGTATTGGAAGTGTAGCTTCAAAAATATAGTGCAATTGATCAGTTTTTATCCACTGGCTTGAATAAAATTTAAATATATAAGTAATTACTTGATTTTCAATTAATTAAATTATTTATTGATATGTATTCATGACTTACCCATCGATATTCACATATTGATTCATCATTTCTGATTCACTAGTTGACAGAAGTTCATCCTGCAAAACAAAAGATTCTTTAATGATCAATTATTTAAGAGAACACCCCCTTCAATATATAGTGATATTTATATTTCTCTTTTAATTACAATTACAAAATCCAGATTTTGACATTCTCTTTGATCATTGTTTTTTAATTCATTTGCAGATTCAGATTTATCGTTTTGAATTTTCCAGTTTTTGTACATTTTACGAATGTCTTCCCAGTTGCGATTCATTACATTACCGAGCTCTTGCCATTTTTCTTCATTTTCCGTTGAAAATGCATCCAAAGAATTTTGAGTCACAAATTGCTCTATAAAAATTTTATCTTCAATAGAATACACAGACATTTTAGACAATTAATGTTGATATAATAAATAGCGTATTTTAGTCGGTGTTTCGATGATGGAGACAATCTTTCGATCGAACCTGAATATGCAGATAAAGTTCTAATAAACACTACACAAAAGCAGAAAACAGTTCCAAATTAAAATTATGTCAGAATCACTGGCAATTCTTTTAAAAACTTCGATTCGAATCGACAGTCATATAGCTATACCAAAATCTCTAATATTTTTTGTTTATAACTTTCCATATTCGAATTAAAGATGGTTTTTAATAATTTTAGCAATGTAGCCGGTACAGAGCTTGTTTTTATTTTAGAGCTATTCACGCGGCGTATATTCTGACCTTGCTCGGTCGATATACAGCCGACGGTGGCAGAGCTGTCACCCGATATGGGGGTGCGCCACTGACAAATCACAGAAAGAGAAGAAACGAAGCCGCAAAGCTTAACTGATTGTTGATCATCGATTTAAAGCGTTGTGTTGTGTAGGTGATACACGTTTAATCAAGATATCGAGAAAATATTATAAATAATGATTTTTATTATCAATGATAATGCCGAACTGAAATACTTAAAGACTTATTAATTCGCGTTAATAAATATTCTTCGTAGTTCTTTGCTAACATTGTAACAGTTCAGTGTGACTGCACTTGTTTTTTCTCTGATCTATGTATGGGTTTAGGTGAATACGGCTGATTCTTGGAAAAATATAAAAGGCTTATCTCCGGTATTAGTATATACCGCAAGAGCAGAGCCACGAGTCACATTTTTCGCAATCCTTAGAGCATTGTAAAGACCTAGTCATTCTACTGTTTTGTACTAATGCATTTATTGTACAAAGATAAGGGAAGTGAACAAACGAACGTAAATCTACCGGTTAGTGTTGGAGGTGTTTGAGAAATGTCAAGAATTAAGAGAATCAAACAAGCACTACTTATTAGAAGTTTCGATAGTTTGAATAGTTCGTAGACCAAACAATAATCAATTTTTTATATAAACGATAGATAAGATAACGATAGTAAGTGCTGTAAAATATATACGGTTTATATTATATTCATTTTTCTAGAAGGGAGTAAACTTTGAATATCTAATCTGAAGACATACTTATGTGCAACTTAAATAATGCATTTAACAATTTTCGTTTTAATTATTATCAACTTAACTCTCACGACTAGTAAAGTCGTGAGAAGAAAAGAAGTGAGTATATTATTACTGATAATTTTAAAAGCAAGAATTTGCCAAAATAAGTATTGTTATTTTTAAATATTTGTAATTTTTAGATAAGCTATTGTATAGTCACTCAAGAAGATTTTCCTGATCACTTTGATTTTACTAAACTGACTAATAATACAATAGATTACAAAATTGAACACGAAAAAGATGATTTTTTGACATTACAACTATGTAAACCATTGAAAAATTCTTGCAATAGTTTAAGGGGTTATGCTGTATGCTATTCTAAAAATGGGAAAGAATATGCAATAGGTATGTAATTCATTTTTTTATAATGAAATTGAAAATAGTAATTCTGAAATTCTCATTATTTGTAGGAAAAGAACCCCCTCAAGTTAATAGTGTAAAGTTTGGTGAAACCATTTTTAGATACACTGGTGATCAATGTGATAATAACAATAACTACACAGTCAACATAAAAATGATATGCGATTTTTCAGATAAAAAATCTGATGATATACTTTGGTTTCCGACGGTTAACTATCTTTTTGAAATATTTACAATTTTAATGATCAATTTCATATTTAATAGATATATTTCTTTTAGGAATATAATCAATGTGACTTCAATCTGGAATGGAGAACTAATCATGCTTGTGCCAAGAGATCGCTGAGTAACTGTACTGTGGATTATAAATCTCAACATTATGACCTTAGGTCTTTAATAAATTATGCAAATAATTATGAAGTTAAGATTAATGAGACCTACACAGTTGTTTTAAATGTTTGTCACTCTATATTATACCGACCAAATTCATGTAAATCAGATACTGCTGCATGTTTAGTTATCAATGGTACAGAAATCCCTAGGTAACAAAAATAAATTAATTTAGTAGTGATTTTGAAATAAAACAAAAACAAATATGTGACATAATTCTAATCTCTTAAAAACAGAAATTTAGGTACATTAGCTGGTAATCTAAAATATGACGAAGAAAACAAAACTTTATCATTGACTTATAAAGATGGTGGAGTGTGTAATACTCAGAGTGATAATTATCACATTCAAACAACTATAACATTTATTTGTAATCAAAATGCAATTGTAAGAAAATTTTTTAATATTTTTTTTTTAATTTACCTATACTGTTGGAACATTATTGGTAATTAAAACCTGTCAATATTAAATATTTTTCAGGGTACTTTACCTATTTATGTTGGGGGAATGGAGAATTGTCATTATAAATTCAATTGGATAACTGCTGCAGCATGTAGTGAACAAGTTTTGGAGAAAAAAAGTTTAGAAGAATCACATCAAAGTATTTGTTCAGTAAAAAATCCTGTTACCAATTTTTTGTATAATTTTACTTCATTAATGAACAAAGCATTTTCTGTTCATTCATTTGGAATAACAGAAATATACGAGTTTAGTATTTGTGGTCCTGTAATTAACACTTCTTGTACCAATGGAACAGGTAAAATAGTACAATAAACACTGCTCTATAACTTTTTATTTTTTGTATAACATAAGCTACAAGAAAATGTTTAATAAATATTTATGTGATAAAATATTCAATAAGTGAAATATTTTTCAGGCACATGTAAGATCCGTAACAATATGTCAGGTGGAATGGGCAATTCTAATCTTTTATGGAAAGAGACTGGTCCTTATTTGAATTACACAAATGGTAGTCCATGTGGAAATGGAATTAAAAAAATGTATACAATAATAGAATTTTATTGTAATAACATTGAGAATTATGATATTGATGAAAGACCGGACCTATGTTATAATATAATCAAAGTAACCACAGAGCTTGCATGTTTAGAAAGTCCAGTAAGTATTTATTAATTTTCCTTTTTATTTCTTAAGATTTAATTGTTATTTATTTGTAACTATTTTTTTTTCTTTTATGCAGAAGTCATGTGTCACAGCTGATAAAGAAATCGATTTGAATCCACTAAAACTTCGATCATCTAATTATGAGATTAAGACTGGAGATTCAGATGTTTATATCAACGTATGTCGTCCTCTTGTAAGAGAAGAGGAAACAAATTGTCCAGATGAAGTAGCAATTTGTAAACTAACAAGGAAAAATGGGATTACTTATCCTATTGTGAGTACAATAATATATAAATGTCCATATTAAGAATGCAATTTGAGCGCATAATTTTTAATTTCCAGAGCCTTGGGTTATCTAATAAAAATCCTACTCGCAGCACTGATCGTAGTGCTGTTTTAATATATAATGGTGGCTCCACTTGCGAAGAAGATAAAGGAAAAAAACTTAAATCCAGTATTTCATTTGTATGTGATGTTAAGAAAGAAAAAGTGAGTTTTATTTTGACATGATCTTTTTAGTGAAATCTGAAATTTCGTTAATTTCATGATAAATAATAGTATACATAACCTACGTGTAATATATTTTATTTTCAACACTCCGTGCGAAAGTGCGTTTTTCCCGCATGCTCGGCAAAAAACGTGCGTTAAAAATCGCACTTTCCACACGTTGTATAAAAAAATACGGTACGGCACATGTTCGGGAAAAAGTTTCTCGTCTCGTGTACCATTCCACCCCCGCTTCGCTCGAGCGTAATCTCCACACGAAACAAGAATCTATTTTCCCGCACTTGTATCGTAATGTACTATTTTGACACGCCGTGCGTGAAGTGCGTCTTTCCCGCACTCTCGGTAGAAAACGTGCGTTGAAAATCGCACATTCCACACGTTGTACCAAAAAAATACGGTACGGTACATGTTCGGGAAAAAGTTTCTAAAAAGTAAACGCCACACGAGACAAGAATCTACTTTCCCGCACTTGTACCGTAATGTACTAAATTATTTTTTAAATAATTTTTTCATAAAAATCATTGCTTAATATCAATTACTTTATTATGTAAAATGAAGATGATAAATATAATCTGCATTTTAGGGCATACCGGCTTTTTTGCATTACAAAAACTGTACATACTTTTTCGAGTGGAAAACTGCAGTAGCATGTGGAAAGATAAATGGCCAATTGGACAAAAAAACTTGTTTGATAAGTAATAATCTTGGAGACGTCCAATCTTTATCATTTTTGAAAGAAGTTATGAGTCCTCAATATGTTGTATGTATTATTTTTGTATGGTTTTACACAGTATTTTAATAATTTTCATAAAAGGCTATTAACCTTTTTAAATACACACTGATAACTTTTGAAATTCGTTTCTAAAGGTAAATAAAAGTAAAACTTACAACATTTCTCTCTGTGGATTTAATGATTGCAATGGAGGGTTCATTTGTGCCAATAACGTCATATATGGTACAAATGTAAACATAGTGTTTGATTACACTGTTAATTCCATCCAAATAAATTTCACTCAAGGAACCAAATGTGCTGATGGATCCAAAGCTAAGTCATCTATTACTTTAGTTTGTAACCAACTAAATTCTTTAGCGAAACCAGTAATCATCAGAGTACGTTTTTACATCGTTATGTTTTTTCATGAATACTCGTAAAAATTAATTATTCATATAATTGACTTTTCTACAGGAAGAGCCATGTAACATAGAATTTGAATGGCCTACATCAAAAATATGTCAAAGACAAAATAATAATATGAACAAGACACAACCACAGTCCAGTGAATCTGGTTCTCTGAGTGGTAAGAACTACATATGTAGGCAAATGCTTGTAAAAAATAATCCCAATTTTTAAACGTGTATATTCATTTTTATGTTTAAAAAAGTATATTACAGTTTTCGTTTTAATTAATTGAGGATTGAAAATCTGTGCCGATAATTTTCACTAAATTTGATAATTTTTTCATTACTATCTAGGTGGTCAAATTGTTGGAATCATATTTGCTGTCTTTCTCATTCTGATAGCAATTATTTACAGTACAAGACGCTGGCATCTTGTAGATCTAATTACCCATTCAAGACACTGTGATCACGTAAGATATTCACGGGTATGTTGCAAAAGACGTGATTCAATTCCATATGAACTTTACAAGTAATTTGTATGTTATGGTAATTACCCCTATAACCCTTGTAAAACAATCAACGATACAGCCTGCAGAAAACATTTTGATTGTGAAGCTTTATAAGAAGTATCCTCAGAAATTATTGAAATCTGTTATAAATTTAGATCTTTGTTTTATTTACCGGTTTAGCAATATATTTATTTAGTAGAAAATTAGATGTTTTTTAGCTGTAACAATATCTTCCACTTACTTTAAATACAAGTTATAACGTACACTATTTCTTCATATAATTTATGAAAAGTTCAATTAATCGACAAATAACAGTTATTTAATTAAATTAAAGAAATCAGAAATAAAAATGTTCTAAATCTTATTGGTAAAAGAAAAAAAACTTAGTAGTTTTGAATTAGAAATGTGGAAAGCGCGAATTTGGCGCATATTTTTCGCCGAGCGTGTGGAAAAATTGTACTTTTGGGATGATATGTTAAAAATTGAACTTCTAGCGTGTCGTGTGGAAAGAGTACCTTACGGTACAACTGCGGGAATAGTACGTTACGATACAAGTGCGGGAATAGTACATTACGATACAAGTGCTTCGCTCGGGCGTAAACGCTACACGAGACAAGAATCTACTTTCCCGAACATGTATCGTATAAAAAAATAAGGTACAGCACATGTTCGGGAAAGAGTTATCTCGTCTCGTGTACCTTTCCACCTTCGCTTCGCTCGGGCGTAAACGCTACACGAGACAAGAATCTACTTTCCCGCACTTGTATCGTAATGTACTATTTATATTTTTCTATATAAATTACACATTCTGCTATCATTTTTCTTTGTTATTTTATTGCATAAAATATTGATCATGTCAATGTGTTTTATTAATTTGCATTTAAAAAATTTATGTATTTTCAAAAATAAAAAAATTAAACATTTTATTTTGTGTTTGCTTAATTTCTTTTTTTGAATGGTATATATATGTTATATATGAAAATAGGTTGTATTTTTTAATATGTTACTTATTTGGTTAAAAGTGATTAAAGTTTGTCGTATTACAGGTCAATACCGAAGAAGAAGTTCATCTGCTATTAGATGCTTCTGATCCCAACGTCATTGAAACTGACAGTGATAATGATCTCCTTCAAGCTTAGTCATGTTAAAAGAACGTTACCAAACAGTTTTTATAAAATTTAATATAAATGCGTTTGTGATTTTTTTTTAACTTAATAAGGGAATTACGATTGCGCTTTATACACAAAAATATTATTCAATTATATAAAATTTAAGCACTCGTTCCCACAAATGAAAAAAAAATATTCCTTCAAAGTAGATACACAGATAGCATAGTTATTTATGCATGTTTGGACATGTTTGTAAACATAGCAGTTTTAATTGTAAATGATTTTGATATAACCATGAAAAAAATGCTACTTATTCAGATGTTTGGGCTCTCGCCACATATGCGCATACGCGCACGTACGAGGGCGTACAAATCGCTAAAAATTTTAATAGTGCCAACAACAGAAAGTTACTAATATTCCTCGCATGCCCTAAACGAACACACTTACTCCCGGAACATACGTATCATAACGCTATATTATTGAAGGTTATGATACGTTTGTTCCGGGAGTAAGTGTGTTCGTTTAGGGCATGCGAGGAATATTAGTAACTTTCTGTTGGCACTATCAAAATTTTTAGCGATTCGTACGCGTTTGTACGCCCTCGTACGCGCGCGTATGCGCATATGTGGCGAGGGCCTAAGTAACATGCATAATTTCCAGATCTTATACTTGAAATTTTACTTGAAAGTATTTGTTGTGATTTAGTGCATTTAATAAATGTAAGTTTAAGAATTTGTTTGTAACTTTATAAAATTTTATAGTTATGTATGATTAATAAAACTGCAAGTTTTATTCTCAGCGTAAATTGTTCTTAACTATAAATTACAATAGTTACAAGTATCATTCTACAGTGTTTATTCTTGCAGAGATATGTAAACATAAAATTATCATACAGATTTTATAAAAAGCTATCAAAATAATATTTCGTGTCGAAAAACATTGTGCACAATTTACATTATCACAGTGTATATGATTTATTTTCTTTATACGTAAACTTAAAAGGTACTCGAATCATACAACAACTATTCGTATTTCGAAAAATCTTTCATATGTACAAATAATAATAACCTATACATTTTTTATATTGGATAAATAGAAACCATTAATTGAGGTATACTTGTTAGTCTTTTATAAAAATGGAAAGTAACACGATTATAATAAAAATAGAGATCCAGTCGTGTTTAATCATTTCATTGCAATAATTTTTGTTCTTGTTGGCGGAACAAACGCCTTGGCGCAACACATTAAAATTTTTTTTATACACACACACACACACACACATGCACATATATAGACAAAACACACTATAAAAAAATTTCTTTATATTGTCTCTGATACGTAGTACCATATCTACAGTGTTTTTCAACAAGGATCGGATACTTACAAGAGTAAATAATAAATTTAAAAAATTCCTAATCGTCAATGTGGCGCAATGAGGATAAAAATATAAATAAAATAACGAATGTATGAATAACGTAATTTTTTAAATGACGAATAACTATATATAGCGAGTAATAATGATTTCTAATAAAATCTAATACGTGCAACAGTTTATTAATTAAATTTATAAGCGCAAACGATCATTCACCGGTGACAGATTGATGTTATTTGCAGTATCCTATTTGAGCAATAATCAGCAGATATATTGGTGCTATTTTAACGGTTGCTGTATTATTAACAACATATATTTTTGTACGTTAAAATATTAAACTACAAAACACATATTATTTACAGCCAAATAGTTGCATTCCAACATGAGTTTCAAAGGCATACACAAAATATAATTATGAATAATGATAATCATGTTATTTCTAATAATCGTCGTGATTCTATATATGCATCGTGGGCAATGCCACAAATAATTAAACTACTGAATAATAAAAGTAGTCGAGGAGATACTTAAATTTTAATGGCGGTTGTAAGAGTCATACGCAGGATTATAAAATTAATCCACATCTCATCTTTACATTCTCGCTATAGGAATGAAAAGTCTTAGGCCAGTCAAATCAATGATAGTAAAAAAAGTCTACTGGCAAGAGGCAACGATTTTGTCATCTTCGGCACCGGAATCGAGCAGCTTGGCCGAGTCGTTAGTGAAGGTAGCGAGTTTGGGCATCGGGATGACTTCAGCTTTGCCAGTGGGGCTGTCAGCGTTGCCGTTGGTTATCGGCGGCTGTGCCAAATGATTTTCTATGATACGAGCGTTTCGCGTCTTGCGCTCGTATCGATGAGGCAGCGCGTATCGCAATTTGTCCCAAAACCACGGGTCACCCCACTTGACATAGGTGTTGTGGTTTAGGTAGGACTTGAGCTCCGGATCTAGACTGTCCGTGTTGCCTATCTCGCCGTACAAGATGACTATCAGACGAGCTCTCCCTTCTTTAAGCACCTGCTCACGATATATCTCACAATTACAATTCTCTTACAAAATGAACATTATCGGCAATTGGCAGTTGGCGAAAGGGGACGTACCTGAGTATGAGCAGCCCGGAACTCCATTCTGCCCCAAACGCTTTCAAGGAAATTAGGAGACAGGATGACGACAGTTCTCCTGGATTCTTCGACCGAACGACTGATCTGTAGCGGTATCCACTCGCCCGCAAGCCAGTCGCGATAGTGCAGACAGAGCTTGTACGGTCTGGGGCCTTCCTCCAACTTGGCTATAATCTCTCTCTCGACGAAGTCTTCGTCCTTGTGCGAGAAACTGATGAACGCGTCGTACTTCTTATCCTTGTCGAGCTCGTCCTCGGTGACGAGACAGAGGCACCAGTGTTTCGAGTACAACCAGACTTTGATCTCTTTTTGGTATCTGTAGTAGAACGCAGCCAAGCTGCCGATGACGATGCCGGCGAAAGCTACGAACAGGCTGGCGCCGACTATTATCGCGATGGCACCCTCGCACAGTTCCTCGGCGGTGACGGTCGAGAGTCGGCGATCGGTGCCGTAGCAGGCGATTCTGTTGAGCTCCCGTGGCGCGAGTTTCGCCTTCGCCAAGCCGACGAAGTTGCGAGACTGGCAGACGCACTCCCACTTGTTTCCGTGGAGCGTGAGATTGTGCAGAGCTTGGTCCTCGGACAAGTAGTCGATGAGTTTTTGGTCGAGGCGAGAGATGCTGTTATTGTGCAGTTTCAGTTGCTGAAGCTTTCGGGAGAACACGTCGAGCGTGACGATCGAAATGTTGTTGCTGGACAAGTCGAGGCTCGTGACGTTCGACAGGTACGAGCTGTTGAGAGACGGGGTTTGACTGAACTTGTTGTGCGACATGTCGAGCTCGATCGACCAGCCGTTCGCGTTCGCGATGGAGATTGGCAGTTTCGTCAAATTCCGATGAGAGCAGTCCACGGACAATATTCGTCTTTCCGGATACTCGCGACAGAAGCACGAGTTGCTGCAGGCATCGTCCGGTTCGTCCGACACCACTGGGCAGTTGAGATCGGCCGATCTGATGTCGGTGAGCTTTCGATTTGCAAATTCCTCGGGGCCGGCGCACTCGAAAGCCTCGAGGCCTACATTAATTTTGTTGCCTATACCAACAACATCTGCGTAAATCTCGACGTAACTTTTCACCCTTGGGTTCATCTTATTTTCGAAATAACGTAAGAGATCGACGAGATGACAGTCGCAATCGAGCGGATTACTGCCCAAATAAACCTTCATTCCCTTGTCAATATTATTCGTATTGAAGTATTGATCGGCGTCAATCTCAAGTCGACGCAAATCAATACTAGATATTTTGTTGTTCTGAAGATAAACGGTCACCTCGCCAGGCAGATGAAAGAGTACGGAGTCCTGTAAAGGTAAGTTGGACAAATGCATTCGAATTTGTCGCTTTGATTTGTAGAGTACACAATGCGATGACGATGCTCACCCCGAATTCAGTGATTTCGTTGTACCGAAGGTCTATCACTTCCAACCTTCCGACCCAGGCCCAATCCAGGAAGAAGCGAGAGATCTTGTTGTAGGGCACTATCAATTTGCGGAGAAAGGTGCAGCTTACTACAACCGAGACAGCGTCCGGGGGCTGTTGTTCCAAAGTAATCCGATTGCCCATCAAGTTGAGCTCTTCGACGACCTTGAGGTACTGGCAAAAATTGCTGTCTATGTAGCTGATGTTGTTCCAAGCGGCCTGCAGTATCTTGACGCCGTCGATGCCTTCCAAGATATCCCTGAAACGGCACGCGAAACCGAAGGTCAGCGTCGAGCGACAAGCGGAGGAACGGAGCAGCCTTACGACGTGATGTTGGCGAGGCAGTTATTGTTGAGGTACAGTTGCTCGAGGTTGTTGAGCTTTCGAAAAATGCCCCGGGGAAGATAGGCGAGCTGGTTGTCCATGATGCGGAGCTGGACGAGCTTGCGCGTGTCGCCGAAGATGGCCGGCGGCAGGCTGGTCAAGTTGTTGCCGGAGAGGTCGAGCAGCTCGAGGGCAGTGGCGCCCGCGAAGAGGTCCTCGGGCAGGCTGGCGAACCGGTTCTGCAGCAGCTCCACGGACGCGAGGGTGCCGAGGTCACGGAAGAAGCCGGCGGGCATGGTGGCGAGCGCGCCGGCGTTGTGGCTCAGCCGGAAGCTCCTCAAGTGGCAGTTGTCGATGCCGGTGAGCAGCTCGGCGGGCAGCTCGTCGAACCGATTGGCGCTCGCGTGGATGCCCTCGAGCCTGGCGAGCCGGTGGAACAGGCCGGCCGGCAGGCCGCGCAGCCGGTTGCCCGACAGGTCGATCCTCAGCAGGTTGGGCAGCCGGTCGAAGGCTCCGAGCTCGATCTCCTCGATGCGGTTGTGGCTGAGCCAGACGCGCTGGGCCTCCTCCGCGCCCGCCAAGTCGCGCCGGCCGATTCTGCTCAGCCTGTTGGACAGCAGGGAGATGTTGCGCAGGCCGCTCGACCACTCGGCGAAGAAGCCCTCCGGGATGCCGGTCAGCGCGGTCTGCTCGATGCGCAGGCTCTTGAGGCCCGCGAGGTCGTGGAGCGCGTCGGCGGGCAGCCGGCTGAAGCCGGCCCTCGCGATCACGAGCACCCTGACGGACAGGCCGCGCAGGTTCTGGCGGCTCACGCCCGAGCGCAGGTCCTCGAGGCTCAGGGTGTCGACGAGGCTGACGTTGAGCGCGCGCACCACCTCGCGCAGGCGCAGCTCCTCGGGCAGCTCGCAGTTGCCGAAGCGCAGGGTGCCGACGCTCCACAGGTCCAGCCGGCGCTCGGGGAAGCGCGACCAGGTGGCGTCGCCGCGCCCCGACCGGTTGCACCTCACCGCCACCTCGACCTGCTTGTCCCGGACGCCGCAGCTCACGCCGAACCGCTCGTCGCCCAGCTCCGCGCCCAGGTGGCAGTCGCGCAGGCTTGCCAGAGTCGCCGTCGCCGCGAGCGCGGCCAGGAGGCCGAGCAGCGGCGCCCGTCCCGAGCGAGCCATGCTCCCGGCCCTTCAGCAGCATCAATCGGCGCCCACCTGCAACGCCCCGATTAGCGCGCGGCTTTCGTTTCGGAGGGGATGCCAAGCGATCGATTGCCGCGCACTCCTCTTCTCGCAGCTGAGCGGGCGAGCGCGCGACGCCTGCCGCGGTCTGCGTACGCCGCGCTTCGAATTGACTCGACACGCGACGACGCATGGCGACTCCCGCGCGATTCGCCGCTGCCCGTTTTTCTTCTTCTTCTTCGTCTTCTTCTTCTTTTGCGCGGACTGCGAAAGCGCGGCAACGACGCGCGGATGATCAGCAAATAAAAAAATAAAGAAAAAAAACGGGGCACGCGGAGATAAGCGAATCTGTCGCGTTCTCAACCGTAGAGGAGCGATAACATCGTGTATTATTCCCCCCTTCTCCCAACCGAGATGAACGGAAAACGCACACGGACTCTATTTTCGGATGTTGCGAGGGCCAAGCAGCGGCCATTCGTCGCTTGCCGAGTCCAAGCAAGAGAAGGCCGAGAGACTGCAGCGAGCTTTGTTGTACGCAAAGCCTCGTGCGCAAATGACGAAGTCTTTTATCTCTTGCTATTGCGTTATCTCTAGCTATTGCGAATACTCGGCTGCATGCGTGTCGGAGATGTAGTCAACGCGCCAATAATTATCGTTACTGATTAAAATTGCTGTTTTGTTTTCTTGTTTTTCAGAGCACACGTGCGCACCGATGCGAACGGGCGTCGATACGCAAGTGGAAAAATTACCGAAACCTGCGGATATTCGACGTATACGTTATAGTCGAAGTAGCATGATTGCAAAGTCGTCCGAGAAAAAGTTATACGTATATAAAAATGCAAATGACGAGTGCCGAGCAGCAGCCGAAGAGCAATCAGCGGAGCATCCGCGCGTATCGGAAAACAAGCAAGAGCATCGGGCCGCAGTGCGTCGTAGGGACCACACGTTCAGCTTTCAGCCCAAACAAACTACTTATTATTCTATTCCGTTCGCCCATTACACCAATTTAAGTGACCGTAATCACCAATTCCGCCCGGCGAGCCCAGAGCAGAGTCTTTTTCCGTGACGACTTACGACTTCGGCGACGGCACTTCTAACCAAAACAAACGTACGTGAGCGCACTCACCTCGCCAATTTGCGCACGCTTGCTCCGGCCGTGCGGGCGATCCAATTTTTCCACGCCGGTCATACGCCACCGCGCGGCCGATAACATTGGACGCTTAATTTATTGTTTCGCCTTTGCTTGTGTTTACTTTTAGCGACTCGCGAGACGTAAAGCCACAGCAAAGTCTGCGGAATAAAGCAATTACCCGGGGGGTTCCTCGCATGAAGATACCATTGTGGAAATACGGCGAAAAGGTGAGTATTGATCACGGCACTTATGAAAACGGGCGAGCTAATAATGAAATTGATCGACCTTCGATTTGACCGAACGACAATTACGCAGACGTCGAACCCGACCAATGCGAGACCGTATTGCCGAAACGATCGCTTGTCCAAATACACGAACTTGCACGCGTAGAATTGACGCGAGAGACGATTTGCTGTCGGGAATGTATCGCCAATTGGCAATGATGTCGCGAAAAGTGTCTTCACGCTGACCTAGACGCGTTCCGAATGTACCGGATATCGCGCGAATTCATCGACGCGACCAAAAAATGCGCATAGCCATCGCCATTGTTGGGACTCGCACGAGGGTACAGCCACTTGCTACTGCACGCATGCACCCGTGGTGTTCCCTGGCCACTCGCGGATCTCGCGCCGAAGATAAAGCGTCGAGCGGTTGTTGTGTACTTTGTCGGACAATTAGCTGCGTACTCCCACTTTCCCCGCGTCGAGTGTCTGGTTTTCCGTTAAACAGTATAAAACCCGAGACTGTGACTCAACTCGCGTGATGTGTTTTCTTTTTTTCCGCATCCACATCAGCGCGCATTATCAAACGAAACGAACTCACCGAAAAGGGACTGGTTTTGCGCACGCTACACGACGGTTTCCAACGCCCGGACACACTTCTACGTCCAGTCGAGCATGCTTATGTTCGGAGCACTGCGCGCCAAAGCGACGCGACGACGACGGAACAGAAGTGGAACGGTGAAAAAAGCGGCAACTGGTGCGGCGCCGTATCGGTTCTTGATCGACGACGTGGCTTGGAACCTACTCGGCACCGTACTGAGACGATAGATCTTGGCAGTTCTCGACGAAAAATACGTACGACCAGCCGGCTCGTAGCTGGTGTGGAGGGGCAAGCGCCCAGTGACGTCACCATTTTTACGCGTACGCGCGTGCATGTGTGCGCGAGTGCGATCGCGATCGTGCATAGTGTGTGTGGTCGATGGCGAGCTGGAACGCCGGGAGCACCGATTGTACTGCCTTTCCTCCTCTCACTTTTTACTTTGCTTTATTAATTTCTTTTGCCGTGCGTGCCTGCAGCCGCGAGTGCGCAACCGCGCCGTCTTCAAATATGGATTTTCACGCATAGACACGTACGTTACCTACGTAGCACGTGGGCCTTTGCAACGTTTCATTTGGCTTTTCTCTGGGCTTTATCCGTGTTCGGTTCAATGTCGATAATTGTAATGATAACACTATGTTGCACATCACACGTTTTTGTTGCATCACGCGTCGAGTTTCAATAATTTTTCTAAATAAAAATGTCTGTATTAATTTTTCCTTACTGTTCTTATTTTATTGAGCATTGTGTTCGTTGTTATTTAACGATGGTAAAAACAATTTGTATATTACAAAACAATTGATTGCCGGTAAGTATCAATATCGGATTAATACATGTATTTATAAACGACGCTATTCCAAGTATACTTCATACAAACATGTGTGATAATATATAATTCAAAATAATGTTTGGCTATGTAGTCAAGAAACTGTTCCGATCGTAAGCAGTTGCGTACAATATTGCGTCAAATTTTTCGTTTTTAAGTGATTTTTTTTTATACTTTTTACTTGACAATCGAGCATTTTTGTGATTTGAGGGTTTGCTTCAAGCAATTGTAGATATTAATGTTTTTGGTAAGGAGTTGTCGCTGTCGCTTATCAATAAGTTTTTTTTAAGACAGTCCTAAAATTACAACCGACATTATGGTTACTAAATCGAGCACCGTTGTGCAGCCTTTATATTTTTATATACATTGTAAATATAGATTATTTTACAAAATTTACAATTACTATATATCAACAAGTCTGTTTTTCGAATTGACTCGAAGGCATTCTTTTAATGTGCAAATTGGACAATTCACATGGTTTTTTACTTATCTATATTACTATCAGAAATCTGATAGAGACTCTGAGGCAGTGAGAATAATGCACTGGTTGCTAATTAAATAAAATGAAGTATCAAATCAACCCAGAAACTGCGACCTTTATAAAAAGAGATTCCCATTAGGCGCATTCAACTGGCGATTTTTCTTATATTATGTTTCTGAAATCTCTTTAGGATTTTTTATTTTATAGAATTATACAATGAAACACTAGTGAGATAGTAAAGATAAGAAAATCGCATACGACACACGCCAAACTTTTCAAAATGGTGTGCAAATATGTCAGTTTCGACTTGACGATATAACGTCCTTTATATGTTACTTTTTTTATACAAGTGTTATATGTACAGTAAAAGAAAACGCAAGTAAAAGATAAGTATTGAAATATCACCGGTATATACATTATAATTTAAGTTTAAACGTAATTAGTTAGTATTCAACGCTGGTTGCTTTGGCAATCAGTTAAATTGACTATTCTCAACGCCTCTCAATTCTCGAAGCTTAGCACGAATGCCTTTACAATTACTTAAGTAAATTGGAAAAAAGTACTAAATATAGTGAACTTTTAACGACTTTTTTGATGAATGTAAACTTATTTGCATAGTTCCTAAAATAACAATATTACTAAATATAAAGACGATAGTTGCTTGAAATGATACTCGCCTACGTCGTAATAACACTGATCTTACGCGCTCGAAACCCTTATGCTCAATTTTTCAATTACCACAAGTTTCAACGTACATTCCTCTATTGAACACCGTATATATTTTCGAAAAACCCGCTGGCAAGTTTGATTTTACTTACATACGAAACAAAGTAATCTTGTTTTCACGCGCGAACAAAGTTTGTACACGCACTCGCGAAGCACCCTCGCGTTACTAGGAAGCAGCAGTTCTGTCGTCGACGCGCGGGTCGAGTAATTTTGCCGAGTCATTAGTTAGCTTCGACATAGATATTAGATCGGAATTGACGAAGGCGTTGCCGGTATGATTGTTGGCTGCTCGGCGTGTCATATGGTCCTCGATTATTTGAGCGTTCCGCGTTCGGCGTCTCGGCGGCTCGAACTTATGCGGCAGCGCGTACCTCAGCTTATCCCAGAACCACAAATCGCCCCATTTGATGTAGGTATTTAGGCTGAGGTAGGCTTTCAGTTCGGGATCGAGATCCTCCAGATTTTCCACTTCCCCGTAGAGAATGATTATCACGCGAGCTCGACCCTCTTTCAGTGCCTGCGACCATGGTTGAATTAGTTAAATGCAATTACAGATGATTGGCATCTACGCTCGGTTCGCGATCGACCGTTTACCTGAGTATGAGCAGCCCGGAACTCCATTTTTCCCCACACACTTTCCAAGAAATTCGGTGACAAAACGACAATAGTTCTTCTCGATCGTTCGACCGAGTTGCTTATTTGCACTGGTATCCATTCACCTAAACAGAAGGAAGAGTACAGATATGTACAGTTTGCAAAATATGATTCCAGATTCGTTACCTGCAAGCCAATCGCGATAATGCAAACAAAGCTTGTAGGGTCTGGGACCATGTTCCAACTTGGCCACTATTTCTTTCTCGACGAAATCCTCGTCCTTGTGCGAGAAACTGACGAAAGCATCGTATTGTTTGTCCTTGTCCAACTCATCCTCGGTGACAAACCAGAGACACCACTGTTTTGAATACAACCAGACTTTGATCTCTTGCTGGTACTTGTAATAGAGAGCTGCCAGGATGCCGACAACGATGCCAAAAAATCCGACGAGTACACTGGCAGCCACGATCACTGCGATAGCATCGTTGCAGATGTCTCTCACGGTCATTTTGTATAATATTTTATTTGTTCCGGCGCATGCTACCCTATCGCGGCTATCAATCCAAGTCTTCAGTTGTATCAAAGTGAGAAAGTTGCGAACTTGGCAGTCGCACTGCCAAGGGTTTTGATGAAGCGTGATGCCACGCATGGCTTCGTTAGCCATCAAGTGTTTGATAACGTGTTCGTCGAGTCTCGATATACTGTTATTGTGCAGTTTCAGATTTACAAGATTTTCGGAGAAAAGATCGATTGTGACGCTGGAAATGTTGTTATTGGACAAGTCTAGACTGCTTACATTTACCAAGTAAGGACTACTCGTGACAGATGGAAGTTGTTTCAGCATGTTGTATGACATGTCCAATTCGATCGACCAATTGTGCACATTCGTGAGCGAGGCAGGCAGTTGCGTTAAATGTCGGTACGAACAGTCCACAGCTAAGATCTTCTTGGCGGGATATTCACGACAGGCACAGGTACCGTTGCAAGCATCGTCCGTTACATTCGTTATCAACTGGCAGCTTAGTTCTTCTGGATAAACGTTGAAAATATCTCGATTTTCCATCTCTGCGGGTGATGCGCAGACCATACCTCCGTCAGACTCATAGCCGTCATCACCGCTAGTTAGTTTTACATATTGACGAGATTCACTCTTGTGCTCAGATTTCCAGTAACGTATCAAGTCTATCAGGTGGCAGTCACAGTGCAGTGGATTGTTTCCTAACATTACTGTCAAACTTCTGAGAGATAAATCGTGATTCCAAGCTTTGTAACGGGCCACGGCAGATGGAAGATCCGATAAATCTATCTTTGATATCCGATTATTCCTAAGATCAATTATTGTTCCAATTGGGTGCAGCTTGTCTATGTCATCAACCTACGAAATATAACAGATTAATATATAATATACCATTAGCAAACACGTATTTGACAGCATTATATTATTAACAGAAAGCTTCTAGGCCTACCGTTAATTCTGACAAGTGATTGTTCCTTAAATCAATATTTAATTGTCTGAGATCGAAATCAGTAAAAATTTTCGTGGCTTTGTTGTCAGACAAGGAAAGATTGTACAAATTATGACAGGACACAAAAATAGATGGGTTTTCACGTTTGTACGTATACTTTCCGGTCGCTTCAAAATTCAATTGATTAAATGAGAAATCAATCACTCGAACTTTTCCTAAAGATCTGCACAAACCATCATCAACTTGGATTAAATTATTATGCGAAGCATTAAGGGTTGAGAGTGTAATTAGCCCTGCCAACATATCACTGAAACATCGGGGCATCGACTAAGTTTAAAAGTAATCAAGTAATAGATAATTTCTATTCGATAAGCAAAGTGAAACACTTACGCACTCAGAGTGGTCAAATTGTTGTAACTGACATCGAGTACCTGCAGGTGGCTAAGTGTCTCGAAAATTCCAGCGGGCAATGCTGCGATTTGATTCCTCGCGAGATCGAGCTTTTCGAGTTTCTTCAAATCCGCGAAGAGGCTTAATGGTATGCTCCTCAAGGAGTTGTCCCTCAGATTAAGATTGCCTAGTTGCGTTGCCTCGGAAAATAAATCCGAGGGTAGAGTTTCCAGTCGATTGTCCTGGAGCCAAACGTCTTTCAGAAAATCGAGCTTTCTGAAAAACCCGGAAGGCAACGTTTTCAGTGAACCACGGATTGTATTCATCTGAAAATTATTCAGGTGGCAGTCGTAGATGCCGTTGAGCAGGTCACTGGGTAGCTCGTCAAAAGGATTTTGGCCGATCTGCAGTGTCGTAAGCCTAGCGAGGTGGCGAAAAATGCCAGACGGAATCGCGTGCAAGTGGTTCTTGCTGATATCGAGAGACACCAGATTGGACAACCGATCAAAGGCACCAGCCTCGATTTCGATGATTTCATTTCCAAAGAGCTGCAGTTCCTGAAGCTCGAGCAAATCTGCGAGATCGCCTCTGGCGATTTTCTGCAATCGGGTGCCCATGATATCCAGCCTGGTGAGCTTCCTCGACCAGTTCGCGAAAAAATTGCTGGGTATTCGGAGCAAGCTAGTGTCGTGGATTGTCAAGGTTCTCAGGTCCGAAACGCCATACAACCAGTCGAATGGTACTGAATCCAGGTGACTGTTGAAAAATGACAGTTCGGCCACCGAGATGCCTTGAAAATACTGTCGACCCGGAGGAGAGCGCAAATATTTGAACGTAATTTCGCTGGAGTAATTGACATTCATCATGTGGAACGTGTCGAGCAAATCGAGGCCTTCAGAGTAAGTGCAGTCGACGAAGTCAGTCCGCCCGACAGCGCTGCAGTTGAGTTTGACATCGGTGAACTTCATCCAGTCATGATTATCACGACAAGTGACTTCTATCTTAACGTTGTCTGCTCGCTCAGATCTGACGTAGAAGCCTCCTTTGGAGGCTCTGTGATGTGGGACCGAGCATCCTGAATCGTTGACGATAGCCGCCACCGCTGTTAGGCTGTAGATGATGACGCTTCCCGCAATGTATAACGCCACCACGTTGTTCATTCTCAAGCAAGCAGTGAGTTTCGATGCGTCTCAACTACAAACATCAAAATCAATCGACTGTCATAATTGGATTAACGCAATTAAAATTAATCAGATTGATTATGTGACCTGTGTGGTTTTTCTGTTAAGCGTAAAAAAAAGAATAACGAATATCAATTGGCAGGTCGTTTGAAAAAGCTTGATAAACTCAATTATTCTCGTTGATGCGGCGATTAATTTATCACTGAGTCGGCCGGCAATCGACAATGACTTATTCGATACAATTATCGTGAAAAATTGGCGATCTTCGGGGTGGAATTATGCGTAGGAAAACTATTATTTTGGATGTAATTTTGCAAACAATTAATTTTATGATCCCGAGCTTCAGTGACGGCTACACGAGTTTCTTAATAAATATAACTGCTGGCTACACGTGGAGAGGGCTAAGTTGAAGGTCAGGCCTTTCTCAGCGCTTCGCTCGCATCTGTTCAATATTTCAACTTATTGATCAACACACGTGCGTCGGCTGACCGTTCTTTTTTCTCGCTTAAATAACGTGGATATATTATTGCCATTTTGCGTTGATGTCTCGCAATCTTTTAGAGAGTAACATTTTACGTTATTTTTATTTATCGTTAATAATCAACTCGACGATAAGTTTATGATGTATATTTGCACAAATTCAAATTGCATTTTCGATTACGTGGATTGCTTTTTCATTTTTTTCTCGCAATATATATTGGCAGAAAAGAAAATTTTTTTTTTTATTATAGTTGTTCGTTCAATTGAGACTTAAGTGGTCCTTCACGAGCTTGTGTTAAAATATATGTACCTTTTCATAGTGATTAAAAAATGAAACCTGATTCGATGAGTCTTTGACATTACATTTTTATCGATTCATGCATCCAAGCTAAACATATGTAAATATAATGTAAATAAATTTGCTAGTCAAATTCTACTACGATAAAGCAGCGGCACTTTTTTTTGGGCGTAACCACAGCGTTAAGAATTTATATCGCGACGTCTTGGCCATGTACGCAAGGTTTGACGGTCCAAAAGCAGTGATAGCGAAACTCTTAGTCGAATGGAAAGTTGTCTAGTAATGCCAGTCGCATGCATCCGATGTTGAAAATTGCTGATTTGCTTCATATAACTCTTCGTTAATCGAAATTGTTTGCGCAATAACGCGGGAAAATTCAGTGAATCGAACGAGATAAAGTAAAATGAATTTTATTCTGCGTTCGGATATATTGGATATCGAATTATGAAACCCAATGCGCCGCATTAATATTTTCAACGAATATCTAAAAACAAATAGGTGGGAAAGGGGATACGAGGTATGATTACATTGATAGCACGAACAACAAAAAGATAGCAAAAAATGCCATTTTCAATAACACACGAATAAATACATATTCGGACTTCAATAGTGAAGATTTTCTTCTCGTGTAGATTTATCCAGCAGCTAATTTCGCTTGTAGTAGTTTACTTTATTATTATAGAGATTTTTGCCCGCTGCTTAATTTAAACACTAGCTCTTGGCAAAAATATAAGCGTCCCGATCTCTAAATATATATATCTTTTTACGCGAAGATTTACACTAATGTGCTATCCAAAAAAATGGTCATTCCGTGAGCTATCTTGCTGCTGCTTTTTGCGGTTCAATTCAACATTGTCGATTTATTTATCGAAGATTGATTTTGTAAATGAATGTAAATGGATTATTATCCACGCGATTAATTAGATTTTGAATCTCGTGAAAAATAAGTTTGAAAAATAGCCAGCGAATTTCCGTGTATACGTGTTATCTCCCAGAAACCATCTATTTGAGTTTATCAAGAAGACTGTTTTCGCAGCGATAATTATAAAGACAATTGGCGCTTATGTTTGACACTCACTTGATCTTATACCGACATCGGGCAGGAGTTGGAGAATTTCGTTCGGGATGTATGGAAGACCAAGGCATAGCTGCAGGGCTACGTGCTCAGGTTGAACTTGCCTTGCCACCGCGCGTGTACGCACGCACACGCACGAGCGCTCTCGACGGAATGGAAAAAGCACGCTATATATTATTCGAAACCGCGAGCTGCCGACGGCGACGGCGACGGCGTCGACGCGTCACGCAATCGGTCGCGCGTGTTTGCCATCCCACACAGCGGAACGAACAAGTGCCCGGCCGCGGTCTATCTCCCAATATAGCTAGCAGCCGACTGAAGGCAGTGCGAATTATCTTCTACACAGCGCCGGTAAAAAACCAGTCGGCACCGTGAGGGGCGACGCTGACGTCATCCAGTCTATACTGCGTGCGGATTGCCCGTCTCTCCGCATTGTCGCTTGTTGGCAGTGCTTATACTTACACACTCTGATATCGCTGCCAATATTTCTTTCTAGGTCACAACCGGACCTTTTCGAATTGATGCTTATCTGCATATCGTCGATAATTAAATAGCAGCTGTTTTCAAGCCTCCCCCCCCCCCTTCTCCAGCTTTTATTCGTTATTCGCCTTTGTGCTTGTATCTTTTGATTATGTTTATTTACAACCATTCTGGCAGACTGCGCGACAATGGGCTGTGTCGATCGATACCGTCTTTGTCAAAATGTGCTTCTTTGATATAACTGGATGAGAATTTTCAACCAAATAATTTCGACTTCCCACAAATTGATATCTTGAAAGACCCTATGACTTCGTCAACACCATAAGGTACCAAGAGCCGGAGCAGTATTGGAGGAAAGTCCTACTTGAAAGTCCAATTTCCTACAACGAAATTGCATTGTAGCTGGCACTTAATTGTGTCAGGCTCATGTACGAGCAATCTACGGATAAAATTGGTTTTACCGGATACTCGCAGCGGGTACTGCAAGCATCGTCAGCTAAATCTGTTTTCAATAACAAAGAGAAAGAGAGAGATAATTTTAAATATTTACTACCGCTGATGACAATGATATTACATTCCAACTTTTTAGAGATAAATCGTAATTAAGAACGAGCCACAGTAATGGGTTTTATCCAAATTCAACTATTGTTCCCATTGGATTCAACTTTTCTGTGTATTCAGTCTACCTGTTTTACCAGGAGTATGATATGTATTCACGAAAATTTCTTTTGTGATATTATACTATATACTACTTCCTCGGTCGGCGCTCGAACAGTATACAAGGATTCTATTGCTATCTCGATAGGCACACCATCGCCGGAATATCGATAAGCCCATAGCACGTATGTTTGTCAATTTACACGTGCGTATGGAACTTGCAAATACGGTCTTGGCCTTAGGTTAATACTATATGCTATTTTAGAGTTTGTCAATGAATTATAATTGTGAAAAAATTGCACATAACATTTATTTCTCCAACTATTCAACAACATTTATTTAATATACCTAGTTCTTTACAAATACTTTTCATTGTAAAAAATGCGTGATTTTAGTTTTTGTCCTCGAAAATTCATCCCATCGTATTATTTTAATGCAGGCAATGAAAAATTTATGCAATTTATTTACGTTAAAAGTACTAAACATCAATTAATATTGTATCTATATATACAAAGCATCACAAGAAATAAACTATCAAAGATTCAAAACGCACTATTAAGGCAAGTTCTACAAGGTGCTTTCGTGCATACGAATGTTTCGTAAACTGAAATCTAGCATCCTTAAAAATAAAATCTTTAAAGTATGTTACACGGTTAAAGTACCAGTTATACACATTTTTTTCATAGTCATTTTGTACAACTTGCGACCAGTTGCTTAACGAGGGACTTTATGGAGTTTATACCTCGTCAGCTTAATTTACACAAAGTTTGAATACTTTAGTAATGTAAAATGCACTTCTAATGCCAAAAACTATGTTATAAAAGTTAACATATATTAATGCAAATTTACATATACGTACAACATTACATGTATTGTTAAATAATTTGAGTAAAGTAAGCGTCATAATTGAGTACGTTCTTTATATTTATTATGTATAATCTGAGCGGTTTTACTGTGAATATTTCATCCTGTAATTGACTCATTTACTCTACATCCCTTCCCTTCCCTACTTTTTATCCTGCACTATGAGCCCTCCTGTTGCCGCTATACGCTCAATAGTCGAACGCTTAAGATCTGAGTGAATGAGTACATTGACCTACGAAATTTATTCTACATTTTGACTGGCTTTTAATAACATGAGAAATTGATTTAGTATTTTTTGTTGTTGTAATACAAGCTTAATAGTTTTTATAAAAAATGTTTTAATCGTGATTTTTATAGTTGCTCGTTCGAAAAACTTCCATACAAATACATGAAAAAATGTAAATGTTAACTCTTGTAAAAAATTTTTTTTTAATTTTCATTTCATATTGTTGCCTTTAGACCTGATGAGGGGAGTCCTGAAATTCCCGAAACGTTGTCGTTTGTATCTTTAAACGAATAAAAAATACTGCTCAGATAGATCCACGTGGTTGTTCTGAAGAACTGATTACACAACAAACTTATTTAAAAAGTAAGCGTTAAGTTGTTGTAAAAAACATTAAGCTCTCACTCAATGTAAGTATAATCTTCAAATAATTGAGATTTTCCAAAATTCTTACAAATAAACTTTAAAAAGTCCAGAAGCTCCTGCAAACACGTCCTCGGGCAGACTTTACAAAGAATTATTTAAAAGACAAATGACAGGGAACAGTAAGGTTTTGAAAAAAGCCATTAGGCAATTGTCGTTGAAACGAAGCACTTTCAAATTGATCAGATCATTCAAAGATGCAGGCTCGGTCTCGATGATTTTGTTATTGCAAAGATTGATATTCTTCGGATTGATTAGACCAGCAAAATCATTCTTATAGCTACTTTCCGTAGTTTGTTGTATATATATATATATATATATATATATATATATATATATATATATATATATATATATATCGATTTTTTTTAGCGTTTTTCGTCCAGCCCTTTAAAAATTCCTCGGGGACGTGCAATGGATGTTAATTCTTTCAATTAGCAAATCTTTCAGACCCGAAATATTGTACAGTATATCAAAAGGTGACTGACTCATGTCACTTTTCTCAAACTCGAGACAAGAAATCTCAAGTTTCTAGAAATTTTAGTCACAGGAAGGTGACTCGTAAAGTTGGTAAAGTTAAATTAAATTTTGTCTTTTAACGCGCATAATCGAGCTTGATGCTGGGAAAATTGAATCAAGTGTTATCGTAACATATTACACTTACGACTAGACTACCGTCATAAGCTCAACATCGTACTTCAAAATTAATATTATTATGGTTGATACTCTATTTGGCTATCGGCACTTGTACAGCACACTGTTCTAATAATCGCTATAACGAAGATAACGATGAAAAGCACTTCCTCTGTATATGGTATGGCTCACCCTTTAAGCCACGAAATTATCATTATTCATCTAAAATCCTCTTTGATTCCCGTGGATTCTCCAATAGCACTAAACTTGCAATTCTACTTTTACGTTTGTTTTTGATGCTATTGTTGTTCCTGAAATTGTTATTAAAATGTTGAAAGTGAGAGAGATAAATGTTCTTAAAAAGCACTTCATTGTTTAATTTTAGCAGGAGTGCAATATCAAATCTGCATTATGTACATTTTCAAATTATTAATTGCTTTAAAAAATGAATAAGTAGTTAACAATATGTTGAAATGTATGCAGTTAAGTGACCTACAATGGCTATATTATATTTATTATTAATGGTAATTTATTTCTTTATTTCAAAGTCATTATATATAATTGAAATAATTGATAAACTACACTACGCAATCGTAATCCACACAAGTCGATTTCGCCTTAGTCTCGGGTCAGAAATTTTATCATTTTGAATGTGTCGGAATAGTTATGTAAATATCTATACATTCTGAAAATATCTATACATATTTTGGATAGACGTTTGGCGACAGGAGAAATAAGGGATGTTTAGGTGCGTAGGGTGAAATTAATAATTATATCACACTGGTAATATATAAATATTACTATAATGTTGAGTTGGAATGGGTGTACTATGCGCAGACGAGCACTACAGAGTACCGCGAGTGATGCGCGCACGTACAAAAAGAGTGTAGCGAGACGAGGAGCTGGCGATGCTCACTTGATGAGACGTTGCGTCCTTCTGGTCATTCGCGGGGATGCAAGGATGCACCACCGAGCCAGGCTTTTGCTTCTCACTTCCTCCGAGAACACTCATTGCTTTTGCTCGTCGGAGAGGGAAAAGAAAAGGCGGAAATATGATGGAAAAAAAGTGCGCGCGCGGGCCTGCTACAAAAAAGGCCCAGCCGAAAAGGTTCGGCTGTCGTTTATTGCACTACGTGCTCAATAAGCTGATCGCTTGTCGGACACCATAAAAAATAAATCGTAAATCAACTGAGAAGTTGATTTACGATTTATCGGAAAAACTGAGAGAAAGGTTGAGGAACATGTGCGGTGCAGATTTTGGAAATGTCTGCGACCCCCCACACATACATATAAGTACGTGAGAATTCGACTGGCACGTGTCTCGTAGTCAGTTCATTATATTTACGTGCCGCGTTTGCTCGGCTATTACGCGACCTGCAACGCCACAACCATTTTAAATTCGATTGGGCGAAAGCCTCTCGTCTCCATTGTTAGCGAAACTAAAACATCTTTCGAACCTACCTATTGGAATTATAATTTCAGATCTAGCAATTTATCATCTGTGATCACATATCTTCATACTAGAAAGTATTCATGCGTGAGATGCATTAATTAGTTTTCATTCATTCATAGCAAAAATAGAAATAAAAACGCACGAATTGATATTAGAAAGTAGCTTCGTTTTGTATGGATGTTATAAAAAAATTCCTGTAATAAGAAAACTGTTGCGTGAACGTGTTCTAATAACATCAATATATTATATAGTAACGTAGTTATATATAGCACCGTATGCAAGTTCAGATTATTGACGAGACTTGTCTGAAAGCTCACGCTCTCTATCCTCTATCTCGGCTAATATTATTCTATCTTATTCAATTATTATTACCGTAAATATTATTACCACGACATTACCTGTCGCTGGTTTTCAATGTATACTATTATAAAATTAGACAGTAGATCAGTAGGTCAACGTGTAATCTATTATGTTTCTGTATTATCATTGACAATTTTATACCTGCAGTAGAATTATTCAAAAATTTACAGCTGCAAAGCTTGGTAATTTTAATTGTCATCTATTGATATAAAAACATATTTTCTATTTAAAAACCAATTATTCGTTTTTACATAAATGAGTTTAATATTTACTTGATTGACACATCTTAAAATGAGCTGTACATTATTTAAATTAATATATAAATTTCAAATGTAAAAGATGAACTGTTTTTCACCTTCGTAAATTTTTTAAGAAATCCCCATAAAACGTACTATTAAACTAATATTTATATTGACGTTTGACAAGTCTTCGACGACAAAAATAGAACAGGCAAAGTTTTGTGTAGATCGAACGTGACAACAACGCGTAAAACATAAGCCATAAATAAGTCTGGTCAATAACACGGCACGAAATTGGATCACATGAAATCGAAGCTTGAGTGAAATCGAAACATCTGTGAAGTTTTCAACGAAAGTATGCGGGCATGTCCAGACATGTGTAACACCGTCGGCTTTCGGCTTGTCATTTGTTCCCTGTGAACCTGGGCGCACGCTAGGCGTTACGGCCAGTTCATGCCTGCTGCTATTGCACTTTGTGTCGTACTGACAAATGAACTTTACTGATTTTTCGCACTTTAGTTCATTTCAAAGTGATTTTCATATGTAAAATCATGCAAGACGATTAATTAATCCATTGATTCGAAGATCTTTTACCACGTGATATTGCAATTACATTCATAATGAGTTTTATGAAAAACACAAAAGTGAGTGATTTTGAATAAATGTGATAATAGATGTACCTTGTAAATTCAAGGTTAAACTATTTTATAAAAATGAAGAGAGTTTAGTGTATTATTCGCTTTTACACAATTCTTCAATAAACGAAAGTAAAATTAATTCCACTTTCCACGACGATATGGATACATTGGATTTCTCAGAAGATGTTTTTGAGCTCGAAGAGGTTCAAAATATTGAAAATGGTGAGCTTGAGTTAATATTTTTGGCTTACCAAGTAATAACAATTTCTGCCCTTGTAATTCTAAGGTTCAATGCTTGCGTGAAGTAAAATGAACTGCATACATATTTTCATGCACGCTTGACTATATATATATACCTATGCAATAGAGTATTGCCGAAATGCTTGTTTTTATTTACTATAAATATAATATATTTGATCGTAGAGTTTCAATTCTTGAATAACGCTCTGCAGTTTGATAAGTAATTGAGTGCGTACAATTATCATATTATTATTTCTTATTTATTAGAACTTACATAAGTACAAAAAAATGTTTCAATAAATATCTCATATGAAACTAATATTTTTGAATAAAAGTTTTAAAATTATTTTTATATTTTATTCAAATGATTTTGTTAAGCGTTAGTTGAAATACAAATGCACGCATTTATTGAACTCCGGCTTCCCTTAAAATGGATAAAATACACGAGTGAAATATTTTGTCAATTATTGTACGGTCTGTCAATTTTTCAATGCATAATTCTCACTGAGCAAATTTAAATATTATCGAACAACTATTAATATTTTAATTGACTTTTTCTCATGCGCATTGAAAGAATAACATATTCAAAAAAAAAAAACGTGCTCATATTCGTAGCACAGCGACATAACGTGAGATATGTATTGCATACAAACGTAATAAGCATCACACAAACACAAACACGCATAATAACCAAGAACATGCGATAAACGACTCTAGCGCCATCGGTGAGCAAACAGCGGTAGTAGCCACATAGCTTAGGTAGACACAAGCGAAGACACCAGCTGCTTTTACATCTGCATTGTACTTTTGCCGTATGTGCAATTTGACGCATTATCCCAACCATTTGTGTGTGCCACAGCGACCGGAGCCGAAGATGCTGAAATATTTCTCCTTTGCATTTACTGCATTATATTGTGACTAGCCTGAGCTTTCTTAATAATCATCATTGTATATAAGTTTAAAACACATGTGCGCTCTTTGTCGTTGAGAGAGTCGTTGGTAATAATTTACTGTGAGGGGACGCAGTGGCGTGGGTGAATTTCGTAAGACCTTGGATGTAAAAGTGGAGGACAATGGGCTACTGATATAAATGGTTTGACTGTTTTTAAAAATTTTTTTTTATGTAATTATTTTGGAATAACCTTTAAAACTTTCATGAAGTTATATATTGGTATGAAAATTTTACTTTCATCGTGACAATAATACGCAATTTGCCTAGAGGAATGAAGAGCTACATGACGTCATTTCCTCAGGCGGAAACGCGTAACAAAATCAGACATTTTGTGTCGCAAATATAAATGATACACTTTTAGTAGATTTGGTAAATAAATATATTATAAATTATTTGCTGTACCTGTAACTAATTTATTTCTATAGTTTAAAATTAAATTTATAATTTCATATACTATTTTAGGTAATAACAATCATTTGTATACCAATGAACTTGAGGAGCGTAAAAAATATGTACAAGAGTTTATAAATAAGAGCTTCCAGTATTTTAAGAAAAGCTTGGATTTTCGTTACATATACCATCAAGACATGAATTATTATCAAGATACCTATGCTTATAACGATAACTATGACAGGCCTATGCTTGGACCTAGTGAAGATGAGTCACAGGATGCAGTCTCTGATGGTCCAGATTATGATCCTGATTATGATGAAGAGGTCAATCGACTATTGGATGAGGTAGAAGAAGAAATTTTACAAGAAAATTCTAACCCACCCACGGAAGAAGATTCAAAAGCTAGAAATGCTTATGCTGATCCCAAGAGAGAGCAATATGATGACTGCTATGACGAATTCCCTGAGGATATGCATCATGTTGGTCCAGTTCCTGTGTGGTATCAAAAGATGGTTAGTAAAATATACTGTTCTGTTATCTTGAGTATTTTTGCTACACAGTAAATAATGACTTCATCAATTTGCATTTTTATAGCTTGAAAATAAAATGAAACAAACAAGGTCCAGATTAGAAAATTTAAGTAATTTAGTTTGTTATGCTTGTACAACTGCAGGAGCTCACGTCAAAAGGATGGAACAAGATCATAGTTCTGTTTTTTGTAAAATGGATTTTCCGAGACACCCACCATTGAATAAGCCATGGACAAATTTTTGGAAATTTAATTGTTGATACTTTATTTCTTATCAATATTTAAATGTCTACCTGATTATATAGATATTCATTTTTTTTTATAGGTATGATTAAATGTAGAGACATAGACAAACCAAATCATGCTCACACGGCTGATTGTGAAAGTATTGTACTGGAACATGCTAATACTGGAGTGTCGACTTTAACTCAAAATATCTCTCAAAATGATTATCCTAAATTTGTTATGGATGCTGTAGAAGTAATGACTGAAAATTTTAATTTTTTGTATTTTCTTTTTAACGATGCATTCCAGATTAATCTGCCTCATTATTATACTTCTAGTTATTTCAAGATTTTGCTATGGAAACTACCAAAAGTGTACCATACTTAGATGCTACACAGGCTGTAGATACAGTATATGAGAAACCTACCTGGACTGAAATAAAGCTAAGAAGCAATTATAAAAATGAATTGATGATAGTTGTTCGTGGTAAAGGAGTTACATCATTGTTAACCAAATTAAGAAAATTTTTTGATTCTGGCCCAGGAAGAACTTCAAATGTCATATCAGTATTCTGCATCAACCAAAAGTGGTATTGATATTTTTTATTTTTATTTTGATTAAAAAAAAAATGGAAAATATGATTTAATTAAAAGATATGATATTTAGGTCACAAAAGAAAACTAATTTTCCACCGACATATGTAACTGGTCTTTTAAAATTGAGAGATAAAGTTGGACCAATATCAATAAATTATGAACCAAAAACTAATGTGGCTTTTAATTCTATTGAAGCTATACAGCTTGGGAAAGTAATACATGACTATGCTAATTTAACAGATGACACTACATTATTGGATATAGGTTGTAATTTTGGTGTATTAAGTCTCATGATGTCCCATGTAAGTTATTAAATTTACTTGATATAATTTAAATTATCAATAAAACATTTTGGTTATATTATTCTTAATTCAAGAAACTTAAAATTTTTATTTTCAGAAATGTGATAGAGTCATTGGGTTGAATACAATGCATTTTGCAAATTCTGAAATTAACCAAGCAGAAGAATTGAAAAAATATAATAACATTCATAATGTATCATTTATGGGGTGCGATCCAAAAGATGTATTAACTAAATGTTCAACAATAATCAAACGATGTATGACTGTTGCTGTTTTGAATTTAGCTTCGCCATATGGTAAAAGTATGTGCATTTATTATTATTATCTTCAAGTAAACATTACAACCGCAATAGTAAGCCTAAAATAAATAAATATCTTAACAAACAGGTATACACGTAATGCAGGCTTTGCGAGATTTACCGTCAATTTGGAAAGTTATTGTTTATGGTTCATTCACCAAGGAATATCATAGGAATATCAGTATGTTAACATACAAAGATGATCTTATGGGAGAGCATTATTTACCTATGCAATACTGTATTTTGGATAAATCTCCATCAATTGAACATGCGTTCGACATTGTTATCTTATTTGAAAGGAAATCTCTAATGAATCCAATAATAAGACCGTTGGTATCTCACCCAGCAATGAACATTAAGTCTGAATCTAAAGATTATGGCTCACTAGATACACGTCAAACGCAGCCTATTATGAAATTGGAAAAAGGTTTCGGTACATCTGATTTTCGTCCAAAGAAATATGGTAAGCCTTTTATAAAGTATAGGGGATCGTTAAGCAAGTTTGGTAAGTTTGACAGTCCAATGATACCATTGGAGAAGGAGCAGCCTGAGAAATCAAAAGATAAATCTAAAGAGGGGTTGTCATTGCCTCCAGTCGCTGAGAGAAAATTCGATTGTTCTGTACTCAGACAAAAGCCTCCTCCTATTTCACCTACTGCTAACACAAAAAAAAATAGATCCGTCTACCCATCTGTTAGAAAAGAGTTGAAGCGAATTTACGATAGCCCATCTTTGCCAATGCTAAAAGAAGAACAATTACCTGCAACAAACGAAGACAAATCACCGCCCACATTACTGAAAACAGAATCATTTGATTGTTCGTTACTGAGAAAAGAAAAACAGTTTGACTACTCAGTTATGAAAAATCAAGAATTCTTTTCTCAGCAGTCCAGAGACACAACAGATAAACAACTTCCCCTCTCTCGTCCTTTCTTATCTGTCAAAAAAGAGTTTCAGTACAGCTGTCCGACTCTATCCCGAGAGAAATATCCTAGTCCACCATCACCTCCTCCTCCTCATCTCCCTCCTCTTCCGCCCACTGAACACAGCATACTCGAGGAGTTACATATAAAGAAAGAAGAGTTTACTAACTGTCCTTTAACCACAGTGAAAGTTGAAACAATTTTGTCTGAATCTAAATTGTATGAAGAAAAAGAAGAAGGTGAACTAAGTTCAGAAGAAGACAGAATTCCCAGTGTTCCCATCAAATCAGAAAAATTAGATTCGAGTTACTTTGTAGAATTTTCAGAATTCAGTTCGCAATCATTGACGGTAAAATCGGAACCTGTGGATTCGTACGAAATTCCTTTTCAGTCTGTGGAAATAAAAACTGAACCCGAAAATATGCAAATTTCGCCATGTTCTGAAGATATAGAAAATATGAAGACGCCGATTCATAATCCAAGAGCGCTTAGCAATACCTCTTCACCCCTTGTAGTCTCCACAAACTTCAAGACCATAGACGGCTTTGAGTTTTCTGTCCGACCTAACCAGTCGTTCCTAGCATCTAAAACTAATTCAAACACTTCTTTGGAACAAAAAAGTGATATCGAAGTCAAAAAAGAGGTCGCCAACGATTCTGATATGGACGAAGAGATTAAGATTATCGATGAAAAGAAGATCTCTGTACAACCGAAAAAGCAGTTAAAGGGTTTGGAGCCAAGAATCAGAGTCAAGTCTCTGGATGAGATAATTCAAGAAAATAGCGAGTCAAATGACGATTTGCGTGCACTCATTGAGCAACGTAAGATGCTTCAATGGAAACTGGACAGAGATAAGGAGGCGCGATACTATAAGGAACATGGACGTTCGCCAACCCCTGAAATACCTCAAAAAAACAGGCATCAGTGGTCGCACTCTCCTTCCCCATCCTTTAAAAAAAATCATTGGTCACCTTCATCTAGAGAGAGTAAACATATTCGCTCACCATCACTAAAAAAATACTACAGATCACCTTCACCTCATAAATGGCATCGATCGCCAAGCAGTAGGAAACGTAGATCACCTATGAGGTGGATCGCAAGAGAAAGGTCATCAAGCATTGAAAGGTATAGAAGATCACCTTCACCAAACGGAAAACGTCGTAGAAGGTCACCATCGCCCAATGGAAGACGTAGAAGATCACCGTCGCCTAATAGAAGACGTAGGAGATCTCCATCACCCAATGAAAGATTTAAAAGATCATATCCCTCGCCAATACAATATAAAAGAGAGTACTCGCCATTACGATACAAGAGAGAATTAGTCTCACCCGTAAGCAGTAGATGGTTAGAGAAGAGTAGGTCACCGTCGCCTTCGTTATCACACAAAATTGATCATTACGGCCGATCCAAATCGCCAGTTAGGTCACGTCGCGATAGTCGCAAAAGGAGATCCAGGTCGAGGTCTCCTGTGGAAAACAAGCGTAAGCGCCGGTCGCTCTCGCCTATACCTCCGTCGTCATCTCCATTGAGGAAGCAGCACATTAACTCTAAAGATCGTGATCCTGTCAAGAAGAAGAAAAAGAAATTCAAGTTTAAATCAAAATCCAAATCCCCTTCTAAAACTTCGAAAAATAAATCGACAACCACAGCTGTCATAACAATTAAAGATGAACCACACGGGGATATTCCAGTATTGAGCACTTCGCCTTCGATCTCGAAAAGTCCGAATGAAGTTATACACAAATCAAATGTTGAGGCTACAACTGAGAACGTTCAAATTAGCCAAACTGAACCAATTAAGCAAGAACATGCTTCGAGGTCTAGATCTCGTACTCCTATTCCAGGGCTTGATGATTCTATTGAGATGGATATTGTGGTTTAATAAACTCAATGTAGGAGGCATGTTAACAGTCATTGTTTGAAACGTACAATCCTTAAATAGATTATTACCCTGTTCGGTGAAATAATCTTCTCAGGAGTTTTTGTACAAGAGGAACGAAATCAGCAATGCTGTATTTTTATTGTTTTGCAATTTATGAAAATTCATTTTGAGGAATAACCTTAATCGATTTCTCAAAGCAGTCTATCATTTTTATCATAAATACTCATCTAATCACTAGATATAATGAAATATGGAAATTTATGATGTCCCGGTCTATATTCAACTCTTTGTATACTTAAAAATGTTAAAACATTGAATTTATATTTTTATATGTGTAAGTTAAAATGTTTTTTCTCGTCTATTTTGACCAGTAATATTTTACTAATTATTTGTTTGGTTTAAATTAATATTCAGAAATCTATAAACGTCGAAATATTGCTTTTCTTATAAAAATTAGTGTATTTAGAAAACATTGACCTCGTTAATGTATATACGGGTATACGACTGCTACAAACTGTATAAATCGCGATTAAATTGAAGTACAATTTCAACTGTAAATAATGTTTATTTGTACGGATGAAATGTATTCACTTAGCGATTCAAATATCAATTTTTGTTGATGTAATTAAACCATTTAATTACCCACTATTGCTTTACAAGGAATCACTGTGCCTTGGCGGTATCAATAACTTTTATTTATCTTGTTATATTTTCACTTTAAATTTATGCAATTCGTAAAAAATTAGAACAGTTCCTAGTTGATCTGGAATTTGAATAAAATAGAGTAGTTTAGAATCAGTGTGATTTTCGAAATTTTTACGATTGTATTATATAGGGTTAATTCGATGCGATTTGATATAGATTAAAACTCATCCTAATGAAACTTTAACTAATATAATTTTTTTTGTCAGTTTATTTTTATAATTGAAATATTTAAACATAAAATTTCCTTATTGTACTATGGTGAATCTATGGTGTATAATATAATAAGATTTTCTGTAAATAAATTTTTTATATCAATAATTATCCATAATTTTCCAACTGATTTCTAATGTAATATTAATAAACCTGTCTTTAATCTTTAAGAGGGTGGAAAAACCACTATAGTGGCTCAAAGTAATTTCTCAAGTTGATCTGTAAAATAGGTTAATTCTGGGGTTTTTAGCATACTGATTACGGATTTAATGTCATAAGTAAAAAATTACGAAACAACCATAAACGAACCCTAAAATAAGGGTAAACAATCCTTTTAGTCGCGAAAATAAATTTTCTATAGTAAGGGAGTGTGAATATAGTTTTCTGAGGTATTTTTCAACGCTGAATCGAATTCCAAGGTCAAAATTACGAAAAAATCATAACTAAACCAGATACTAGTGCCTGTGCCAAATAAAACAATTTTTCAGTGTCAAAATTAGCATCACCCCTGAGGACGGGAAAGCCACTACAGTGGCTCAACTATCGATCGCCACTTCACATATGAGTACTCTCCGATATTAGATACACATATTATGCGTTTTCTTTAGAAAATATTGAGCAGTTAAAAATTCCAAATCCCCGTCCTCTAAAGGTTAATACATTTAAAAATGATTATACAATATTTCTTTTTACCTGCGGAATTTAGATTTCCAATTGACGAGCTTTCATTAATTTGTTAGTCTGAAAGATCGTTGAATAACGTAACGATATTAATTCTTAAGCATATGATGATATTAACTTACCACTTTACGATGGAGACAATAGTATTATTGACTCTTAATTTAATATTCTTATTAGTGGGAGAAAACGTAAAATCTGAACAAAAGATTAGCTCACAGACAAATTTTATAACGTTCAATTTTCAATGCCGACAAAAACGTTTCTGTAAGAAAGGAACTTATGATTATGTTGCAAATTGTAAAAACGAAATCCTTTACAAACAGAAATATACGAGTAAGGACGGGGAGCAAAAAGTAACAATGATATTCTTATAGCACATACATTTATTTATTATACGTAGATTGTTCATAGCTTATTATTTCGTCTATCCTTTTATGCAACAGCAATATTATTACAGTATTACAGCTTGGTCAGAATAACAAATTTTTTTTGTGTCTCGCCGTTCATCACCACATCTCGTCACTTATAGCCGTCGCTCGATCCCCTGACCGTCTCGCGAAACGAAGCGCGGCTTGTTTGAGATGCGATCGCGAAGTCGCCGTGACGCCGTTGGCGCGCCGTCGAGTGAGTCAAACGCCGGATGTATGGCGCGCCAACGGCTGAGCCCTGTGCACCGGCGAATTTGCGATTCCGACGGGAGACCAGTCAATAATCCGGGCACGAGGGTCTCCCGCCCTGCAGCTCCCTTATCGTTTTCCTCGCTCTTGCTTTGGCTAACTCTGATGCCACGCTCTCCATTATGCGACGCGTTATCTTTTTGTCTTTTTTTTTTTTTTTTTTTTTTTTTTTTTTTAGTTTTGTTTTTGCTTTTAATTTCTCTTTAAATTCGACCGAAAGCACTTCCGTTCGGGCCTTCGTCACATTTACGTATCTCGTTTTTCTTTCGATTGCGTGTGCGTGTGTGTATGCGTGTGCTCATTGTTCTGCCCGTATGCGTCTCTCCTTGGAGCTTCGAGTGATCTTTGCGTCCATTTCGCGCGCGCACTCGAGCGCTCCATCCTGTAACAGTCTCTCGCGAACGCACCGCTTTACCTTTATTTATTATTCTTTCGTTAAATATTTTTTGCTTACTTATCGACGTTTGTACATACGTGTGAAAATTTGAGCAGCAGGGTATTTGTTGTTGTTCAGGTGTACATCGCGTGCTCTATCAGCACGGAGATGTCCCGACGAGTCGCCGCTCGAGACAGAGCGAGCCTGAGTTTCGTCGACAGACGCGTTTCGCGCAGTCAACGAGGAGTCCTGGGTTCGAATCGACAGAGAGGGAGAGAGAGAAAGAGAGAGAGGGCGAAAGAAAGGAGCGCCTCGGAGAGCGGACGGCTCTGTTGCATCAACGTCGTACGATCCAGCGTATATCTCGTATTATTTACAAATCTATGTTTGGCACAGTGACACTGCCTCCGCCCCCCTCTCGCAACTCCGAATCTCTTGGTGCTCGCTCCCTTTTTCTCTCTCCCTCTCTCTCGCTCTCTCTCTCTCTGTCCTCCCTTCTTTAACGACCGCTGCAGGGGACGCGAGTCGCGACTCTTCGAGGCGATCGGTCTCCCGATCGACGCGACGCTCCTTCGTCCTGCACTCCGACAATGGGATGGCCGTGCTTTGCCCCGACGCGGCCGGAAGACACGGACGGGGCGCGGAGCCCTCGCGCGATCCAATTATCTTCGCGTCCAATTCGGCTGTCGACTTCTCGACGGCGTTCTGTTTGTTCTCAGGCAATCAATCGTGCGGGCGCGCCCGCTGCCCCGCAGTGTGCTTCACGTACACGCCTAAGCCAACGAAAAAATATATATACTATACGCGTATGCGCATATATATATACACACACTTGTGCATATGTATATTTATGCGTTAGCTCGCGTCGAAAAGCCAACCAATTCTCGCGCGCCGCTTCACCGCCTATAAATATAATATCTCATATAGAACAATGCAGTCAATAACAATCCGGCGTATCTTTCACTTTCGCTCGCTTTAATCTTTGTCATTATTTTTACATCGCGACGCGCGACTCGCGCGCCCTCGCGATCAGCTAAACTCTATATATATATATATATATATACATATATATATATATATCATTAAGTTAGGATAGCTTCGTCCTCGTAGCCGATCGCGTGCGATTCGACGATCGTTGAGGCGGAGAATTCGGTGGAAAAGAAGCGTCGGAAGGAGGAAACTCGAGAGAGCAATTGTCGTTTACCTGCGAGTGCAAAGTGACGCGAGTCGCGGAGCGTGGCCGCGTCCGTCCGCCAGCCGAGTGCCGAGCGAGCCGTGAGGTTGCGCGCAGGAGCTCGGCGGATACGTGCGCACTCCTGCGCGAGAGCACCCGTCGGCGAGCCGCGAGGAAAAGCGCGGAAACACAGGTGGCGTCGCCGAAAGCTAATCGGTGCGCTTGTAAGTACGATATGCGTAGCCTATAGGCGAACAGTGTCAATGCAAAGATCGTCGGCGAGTGCGGCGGCCAGACTGGAATGCGCGCGGCGCTGCACCGCGCGATCAACGATCAAAGGAACGAATCGCAGAAAACGCGCTGTTACGTCAGCAAGCTGCAGCTTCTCTCGCTACCACAGGGCTGCGTATCTACTATTGGCATTCTAGTTTGATTTGTCGGTTTTAAAAAAATAAAAGACGACCGCTTCTCGGCACAATATATGTATTTGTGGGTGTGCGTACGTGTGTGTCTGTGTGAGTGCGTGTGGGCATGAGTGTGTCTGTGCGAGTATGCGCCGATGTGTGTGTGTGTGTACTCTTTGGCAAAGTGAGGATTGCATCCCCAAAAACGTACGAGTCGGCGCGGTCGTGCGCGCGGGAGAAAACCAAGAGAAGATGAGCGAGCAGCAGTGGTGCGGTCTATCTTTGTCTGCTCTGGTTTGATTCTGGCCCGCCGCCGCCGCGGCGAGCCGCCAACGGAGTCGAGCACTCGGTTTAGAGGTCGTCGGCCGAGTCCGGGTCGCTGGGGGTGCTGCCGCTCCCACCGCCGGCAGCGGCTCCGGAGGTCGACGGCTGCGGGAGTGCGAGCTGCTGCGCCGTCGTGCCGATGCCGCCGCTCGACTCCGTGTTCCTTCGTCATTTGCTCTTCGGCTTCCTCAGCATCGTCGCCTACAATTCCACCACAACCACCACCACAACATCCACCAACGTGTATCATTTCTCGTTTTTTTGCTTTTTCTTTTTTTTTTGATTGTTCTTTTTTCTCTCATTTTCCGTCTGCGTTGACGCTTGTCGCTCGCTCGCTCGCTCGCTAGCTCGTTCGTTTGCTGCGCGCGACTTCTCTGTTGCCGCATCTCGACAAGCGAACTTTCCGATTACGGCTCTCTCTACCCTCCGGCCGGCTGTCCATTTCTCAACTTTTCTACGACTTTTTCTCTAGCTCGCACTCGAGTCGCTTGCCCAGATGCCTTCTCATTGCGTCCGATCTTTTCTTTAGCCTCAGTGTCGGCAAATTCGTTCGTCGTGATGCATTTATTTTCAAAGTCATTGCCGGCACTCTTTGCTCTTTACGACTATGCACGGATAGATAGAGGTCAAGCACAAAACTCATTTACTTACGAAAAATCACTGCTGAATAAAGAAAAATCCTTGCGACTTGCCGTAAACCTATTTTGACACGATTGAAATTGTTATTTACAAATGGCCGACTGCTTCAATTATTCCTGCCGTCAACAAATAAATCCAACCGTTGACTACTGAAGCGTTGGTACAGTGGCAATGAGACTTTATTGAATAGAATTCTATGCGATGATATCGACCAGTGATTTATCGTAAGCAGTGTACGAAAGAAAGAAAAACAGTGAATAGAGTTGAAATTTTACGCAACAGTTATCAGAGCACTAATAGCGGCTTGCAGCAATACAAACGAGCGATAATGTAATGAAAGGTCGAACATACGCAGTTGTGAAGAAAACTCAAAATATTATCTGAAGAGTATTATATATGCATGTATCCAAGTGTTAATGTGCCACAGATATACTTCAAGTTTTTACAGTCTACGTAAGTACTGGATACTAACTTGGGAAAAATACAAAAGAAAGTACAGAAATATGTTGTTCTACGGTGGAATCATCTACTTAGTAAGAAGTTGCAAGCGCACTTGAAAAATCTTTTGCTTTTCCCTCAACTTGCTCACTCTGTTAAATTGTACAAGAAAAAAAGGAGTACCGAGAGGAATAATTTTTCAAGCGCAAAAGATGCAATTCCATACAGGTGTGTGCGTGTGCGTACGTGTGTATAGTTAAAATACAGAGTAATAATCGTCTACGTCAGGACGCAAATAGAACGGCGACCTGAATGCTCACGATCGTCTACGAGAAAGATAGGCATGTACGTATATAAAAAAAGCCATGGAAAAGTGGAAGTGGTTGGCAGAGGATCGTTTCTCTTTTCCTTGCGATAAGAAAGAAAAACAAATAGATAAACGTGGCAAGTAAGGTTCGATGGCGAGTGAAAGCGTGAACATCTCGTCGCAAACGAAAACAGGTGAGCGTGTGTTTGACGACAATGCGCGTTGGGTATGTTTTTTTTTTTCATGTGCATCGTTGCAATTTTCTTCTCGACCCGTCCACCGCCGACGAGTGCGTCGCTCCCCGCCGAAAGTTCCGAATCGAGCGCATTTCGCATCGATCGACTCGCGAAGTACCTCACTCGGCAACGATCTTTGCTGACCGCCGCGGACGTTCGAAGCCAGTCGCGGCGAGCGTCGCTCCCGTGGCATCCACGAAAAGTATCGCGTCGGTCTCGAACGCCAACGTCTGTCAGCATGAACGAATCGCGATACGATTGTCGAGGCCAGTGGGCGCGTTCGTCCGCGGCGAACGACCGTAGGATCGCAGCGTTGATCGCGAGAGAAGTGGCCGCGATCGGGTCGCGACCACGTCGCGCAGGCTGCAAAGAGAGCCAATCAAATCCCAGACGAGGCGAGAAGCAGTTGTGCGAGAGCGCGGCAAATGAAGAAAGAGAGAGAGAGAGAGAGAGAGAGAGAGTGAGCGCACACAGGGAGTAACAAATAAAAGCAAAGTTATTATCCGTCATCGAAAGAGCTGACACTGTTTAGTGTATCGTACAGGGATAATCTATGAAGCAATCGATCGGAACAGTGTGGCGTTGATTGTTTTGATTGGCTGCAGTTATTGCGAGCGCGCACCCCCGAGAGAAGAGAGAGAGAGAGAGAGAGAGAGAGAGAGAGAGAGAGAGAGAGAGAGAGATGTAATGAGGCTGAGGGCGTAGCCCCTTTCCCCTTATCGCTTTACACACTACTTTGTACTCTGTTGAAATGGTTCTTCAGCGTATCAACATGATTGGTGTCATCGTCAAAGGCTTCGCCTGCTTCGCTCGCCTATTTACAATATTGATTGATTTCGGGGTGCATTCGTAATGCAATAACGTCGCGCGCGTCGCGCGCGCGCGTGTGTGTGTGTGTGTGGGTGTGAAAGTGCGTTCCTTTGGTTGTTAGCATATCTCTGATGCGCGAGACATGGGATAATGGATCAATCGATCGCGGATGCGATTGTTAATCGATTCGGGCAAATGGCGGAGAATAATATGCGGTTTTTTAGTCGTCGCTGCTCTTGTTCCCCTCCCCGTTTGCGGCCAGTATCGCCGGCTCGGTATTTCGACGCTTGACCTTATTTTTCTTCAACATCGTCGCCTGCGAGCCAACAGAGGAACACACAAGGAATGCTCTCATTAGTAGACGCGCAATTGCCAGAGATAAGCTCGAGGGGATAGCAGGCACAAGGATTTTTGCACGTTGCTCAAGGATTCGCAGCGGGACTATGATTTATTCACACGGGAGTATTCCTTGTCTCCGTACTGTTTACGAGATCGAGTCACACTCCCGCACGGCCCTATTCAAATTGACAAATCTTCGACTTTATGAATCATTGATTTTGGTCTCGCGGCATTCCCGAGAAACATGCGCCGCGGTCATGTATTATTCAAGCTCTGCAAATCAGCAAACCATCTCTCAGCTGCAACTTCTTCGGCTGCATCCATTTATTCATTGACATCGTAAACAGTATTTCGATTTGGAACACAGGACGGAGAAGAGGGAGAAAGAGAGAGAACAATTTTTCTTGGGATATCGGAAAGTTTTTCTAGAGCGTTGATGCTAGACGTGAACTTGATGAAAAATCGACGGTATGTGTTTGGTGACAGAGAGAGAGAGAGGGGGGGGGGGACGGGGTGGAGGGAGAGGACGTGACAAAAGAAGGGATGTAGTATCAGGATAAAAAAAACTAAGGAAAGAAAAAAACAACGTTCGACAGATAGAAGATTACCGTTTTCGAGGATCAAACATTGAGAGGGGGGATGCAATAATTGTAACGTGCCACACACAGATTTAAGTAGAATGCACAGGGCGTTTCTTTCTGCAACCGTCCGCGGCGGCGTTGGAGAAAGATACGACGCTTGCAGGCGGAACGGGCAAGGAGCGCCGGGGCGCGCCACGTACCTTGAGCGCGGACCTGAGCACGACGACGTCACCGGGACTCTGCACCCAGGGCTCGCCGTCCACCTGGACCGGCATGTCCGAGTGCAAGTGGATCTTGATGTGGCCTCCCTGTCGGGCGAAAGACAGCGCAAGGTTAGAGCAGCGAGGGTCGGGGCGAGGGTCGGCGGAGGTCGGCAAAGAGCAAACCTGGGCGATGCGCACGCCGTTGCGCAGGCCCGACTGGATCTGGCCGAGGTGTATGACGCCCGTGACGCCGACCACCTCGAGCACGCCGTCCCAGTGGTTGGGCTTGTTGAACTGGTCCTCCTTCTCGGGCCCCCACGGGTTGGCGCCCGAGCCCCAGCTGAGGATGTTGAGGATGATGATGCCCTCGACGGCCGGCAGGTCGACCACCTTGCCGTCCACCTCGAGGCGGATCTCGCGGTTGAGGTCCTTGCAGGGCTTGCGCCCGACCATCTTGCGCAGGCCCATCTTCACGTAGACGCTCTTGTTGTGCAGTCGGCTGTTGAACTTGTTGGGGTTTTCCTCGCGCGCGTTGTGGAAGTCGAGGCAGAGCGCGGCGTCGAGGCCGATGCCGAAGTAGTTGTTCATCACGTAGATCTGCGTGTTGTCCTCGCTGGTGGAGCCGGCGCCGACGGCGTTGTTGGGCCCGGGCGCGGGCCCCGGCGGCGGCTTGTCCTCCTTGTCTTCGGGGTGGAAGACCACGGTCCAGCGGTCCAGCCGGATCTCCTCGGCGTCGATGACGTCGCGCAGCAGGTTGAGCGGGTCCTCGCCGCCCGTGTAGCCGCTGCCCCAGCGCAGCACGCGCGCCAGGTCGTTGCCGGTGCCGAGCGGCACGATGGCGCAGGCCGGCGACGAGCACTCGCTGTCCTGGCCCACGTTGTCCAGGCACTGCAGCACCCAGCCGACCGTGCCGTCGCCGCCGCACACGAGGATCTTGTAGTTGCGGATGTGCCGGAAGACGTAGAGGCCGGGCAGCGGGCCGCCGTTGTCCAGGTCGAACACCTGGTAGGGGTTGAGCAGCTTGCGGAAGTTGGAGATGAGGTCGAGGCCCTGGCAGCCGCCCGACTTGACGTTCACGAAGACCAGCAGCGGCTGCACGTTGCCCGGCACCATGCGCGGCTCCACGCTCGGCAGCAGCATCACCAGCAGGTTCTTGTCCTCGTACTTGGACTCGCGCAGCGCGTAGAAGGCGCGCACCGCCGCGCCCGAGTCCTCGTAGCTGATCACCATCGAGCCGTACTCGTAGTAGATGGGCCCGATGCCGGAGAAGCGGTTCTCTGTGCGCAGGCCAGCAGAGCGGGGGCCGTGGGTCTGGGCGCTCTCGCTCGTTCCCCCCGTGTGCGCGGCAACTCACCTCTGCCCAGGAACTCCATCAGCAGGTTCTCGTACTGGCGCTCGGACAGGCCGGGCGGCAGGTTGCCCACGAACAGCGCGATGTTGGGCCCGTGCGGGTCCTGCTTGAGCTGCAGGTAGAAGCGCATCAGCTCCATCTGGCGGATGGACTCCCGGCCGAGCTGCTTGATCAGGTCGAGCGGGCGCTCGCTCGGCGCCAGCACGCGCTCCGTGACGAGGCCGCGGTCCAGCAGGATCTCGCTGCAGCGGTAGTTGTCGAGCGAGCTGCACTCGAGCCGGAAGCGCGCGATCGCCTCCCGCATGAGGTCGGCCACGGTGGCGCCGTCCGCCACCGGCACCGCCACGTGCGCCTGCTGCACCTGCACCTTGCCCGGGTAGACGCGCACCTCGCTGCTCTCCACGTCGCGGAAGCGCAGGAACACGGCCGGCCGCTTGCCCTCCCGGCGCTTCAGGCCGGCCAGCGGCAGCGGGTCGCTCAGCGGCCGCTCGTTGTCGTACAGGTCCGTGAGCAGGTAGTCGCCTGTCGGCCGAGCGCATCGCGTTACTCTCCGCCGCGCACCGGCCCGCTCGCTCACCACCGCGCCTTACTCGGGTCCTTGGTGATGTGGAACGCCTGCAGCGCCAGCGTCAGCAGCTGCTCCGTCGTGGCGCTCTTGGGCGCGCTGATCAGCCGGAAGATGCGCCGCCGCAGCGAGCTGTTGCCGTCGTACACCTTCACCGACTCTGCAAGCCCGCGAGAGCGCGTGAGAGGGCGCGTGAGAGGGCGCGTCGGAGCCCCGGCCCGGCCCGCCTACCTTCCTCGCGCTCCTTGTCCTCCTTATCCTTGCCCGGCCTGGGGTCGCGGCCGTGCGCCTGCGACTGCGACTGCGCCGGCGACTCGTCGTTGTCCCGGCCGCGGGTGTCGCCGCTGCTGAACTCCTCCGAGATGCTGCGCGCTGCAACGTACCAGCAGACGTGAGGTCTGCGATCAGTCAGCGCGCCAGCTCCGCGCCACGCCTCCGACTCCGAAGCCCGCGCGCCCGTCCGTGCTCGCGCGACCTTGCCCCTCCGCGGTCTGCGGCTCCCCGTCGGCACCGTCGTCGTCGTCGGCGTCGTCGTCGTCGTCGGCGTCGTCGGCGTCGTCGTCGTGCTCGCGTGCATGCTTCGTTTGCTAATCATTCCAGTGTTTGCAGTCCATCGCGCGCGCGCGCGCGCCACGCTCGTCGACTCCACACACCGTTGCGTGCTAAAGTCGGTGCGGGCTTATTGGATTTAGTCTGCGCTCGCAAGTCGTCTTCTGCTAGCGTCCACGACACTTGCAGCTGCTCCCTTGGCCGACTCGCAGCCATTTCGAGCACTTGTCGACTCGCGCCATTTTATTTGTCATTGTTAATTGCTTCTTTTAGTTGGTTGCTTTGAGCTGCGGCGACTTTCCTTGCGTTAACATTCAAAGCGAGCCTGGCTAAGGACTTTTCGCTTAGCGTGCATGAAGCAAAGGAAAGGACAAGTCACCAAGAAACACTGCCTAAACGATCAACTCGCTCTTTTCAATGTGCTCGTTAATTTCATTTAAGTTCGTTCGCGTATTACGGTTTTGCAAGCGGATCAGCGCATGAATTTGCTGGTACGGCAACAAGCTCCTCAATTCGCTATCGTGGAACAAGAGTAACAAGAACATACATACACGCATATATATAGGCGTGTTGATACGAACTCGAACGACAAAAACAAAGATATATATAGATATACGTGTAGGTACATGTACAATGAAATCTTGGAATGATTGATTGGGTGGATGTTATTCGCACCTCTTACCCGCAGTCGATCTCTACCTCGTCGAGTTATTGCGAAGCACATTGCGCAAACCGGACAGTGGTAAAGTCCAGTGCTGCCGACTGCGCCTATACATAGGGGATAAAGTACTGACATGAGGCATCAGCGTTCGTTCTATCACACGGTTTTGCACGTTACCGGCAGTTTCATTCGTTTGCTTGGCTCACTTTTGCTTCGGTAGCTCTCGATCGCGGAAAGCTCGAGCAGGATAGCTGGCCGTGATTCATGCACTGGAAGCGACACACGCGTGCTTGCATGCCAAAGCCAAGGGACGAGAGAGGATATCAACTGGACGGCAAAGGAAACTAAAGGAGTCTGGCGAACGCGCCGACAGGAACGAAACGTTGACGAAGATGCAGTCTGTGCGAGCCGCGCGTGTCGATGTGGCCGAACGGGCTGCGCAACGAAGGAAGACGAGAACAAGGACGGAAAAACAGCGATGCCTCGTTGTCGCTGAACACGGTAGAATGTTGCTCGCACACGGCACACACATTCTATACCAATCGTCGATAATAAGCAACCACGAAAATCAATACTACGAAGCACCTCAACCAGCGTGACATGAAAAAAAAAAAAAAAAAAATTGAAAAGAAATAGCGGAGGACGTTAATTTAACAGAGATTGTTTGTTAGAAAAAACATAACTGCACACTTTATATGCCAAGCGATCCAAGATACCACACAACTGCCATGTTATTTTCGTCCCGCTTCCTCGTTTGTCATGGAAGGGGCTCGCAAAATTAAAAAAAAAAAAAAAGTCTCAAGGTGCGTTCAAGAATGCTGCTGGTATGTATGCGCGTGTGGTAAAAGATGACGAGTGTTCTTTTGCAAAAGTCGTCGTTCATCGCCTGGCGGAGTCGACGGCTTACTGGTGTAAATGTTTACGACAGCGAGAGACAAAAGTGCTAATAAACAACGGCTCAAGAAAACAAGTCACACACATTGTTAAATATACTCGTTCGCTGATTCCATAATAAAAGTGAAAGTACACAGGATGTAAATATAGATGCGACACAAGCGCGATGTATCGATTAGTAAAGTGTTTGTTGATGCTTGTCGGTATGTTTTGCTGGTGGAAAATTGCTCGAAGAGAGCGAGTGTGTGCATGTGTGTGTGTGTGTGTGTGTGTGTGTGTGTGTGTGTGTGTGTGTGTGTGTGTGTGTGAGAGAGAGACAGACAGACAGGGAAGTTAGGGTTAATCGAGCGAGCGAAAGGGGTTAGTCAGACGTCCGAGATCCGGAGAGAAAGATAGAAAGTAAGGCGAGGCGAAGAGGTCGGTGGTGTCGGTGTTGCTGGTTGCTGTGAGAGCGTGATGGTATTGTGGTTGTACCTTGAATGTAAGGCGGGGAAGCGTGACAATTGCCGTGACAGCTACGTGGCAATACGAGCAAGAGCCGCCTGAGAGCCGCGACCAGCCGGCGGCCCGTCAACCTGCCGCCGCCGCTGCCGCCAACGCCGCTCTCCGCTAAATCATATTCTCGCTCGTCGCTGTACTCTTCTACAGGATGCAACGAGAACAACAACATACAGGGCCTCACTCTCTCGGTCCTCCTACGCTGCATACCCTCCTTCTCTCCCCCTTCGCAAGCGCGCCGAGGCGGCGCAATAACAGTTAGGGCTGTCCCGTCGCCGACGGCGCCCAATCGAGTCCGCTGAATAAGTAACGATTCGGCGCGGATAAGGAAAAACGCCGCAGCACGACGAGTGGGACAAAAGGCTGTGCGAGCTAAGCTCGTCGTCCAGTGCAGTTTTCATTGTCCCTAGCTTAGTTGCCTTTCTTATCAAAAATTCATGCGAGCTGCGCATCCTCGACTCTCTCCCTCTCTCTCTCTTTCTCTCGTTTCCTCGGCTCCCCTCTGGCAGTCGCAGAGGGGTTGCGAACGGGCTAATGAAAGAAAAGAGAAAAGAAAAAGCGAGACGCCTCGCGCCTCCGCCGTTAACGACACTCGAGAGCGCAAATCGCGTGTGGAGCGCTTTATGGAAAGAGAGAGAGAGAGAGAGAGAGAGAGAGAGAGAGAGAGAGAGAGAGAGAGAGAGAGAAGAAAAAGAGGGACGCAGGCAGCGAGATAAAATAAAGAGGCGCAGGAAATAAAAACACAGAGAGAGAGAGAGAGCAAGAGAGGGAGGAAACAGCGGCAACCGCTGACCCAGTTGGCAAGAATATTTCTATACCTTTAATACGTGTTACTTGCAATAGCTGAGCGCGCGCGCCGATAACGGACTGCTCGCACGAGAGCGCGCACGTACGACAGTTTGCCGTGCAGCCCGCTGAATTCATAAATGTTTACGGCCAAAAGGATTTGCGCGTGGTGCGAGAAAGAGCAGGAGAGAGAGAGAGAGAGAGAGAGAGAGAGAGAGAAAACAAGGGGCGGGGGGGCGTAATTCATGGATGCGCACTTCGCTCCGTGAATATACGAAACTAGCTTAGCAAATATGCCACGAGGACGTCCGCGTGCGTGGGTATGCATAAGTACGCATCCACTTCCTTTGTTGCCCTCGCAAGTTTCGCCGTTGCTGCTTACCCTTTTCCCCTCCACCCACCTCGAGGGACCCTTCATCTTCGCGAGCACTCGTTCGCCAAAGATCGTTCTCCTCGTCGATACTCGCGGCTTGCTTTCTCACTTGTCATTAATTCGTGTGTTTTTGCATCGAACAGTTGGTGACGAAAGGCTACGGCTGCTATATGGAAGAGTAATAAAAGCGGCGCAAAGTGTCGACCATACGAAAGGTGACGGGGCGAGTAAAAACAATTGCGTGCGTTCGCTAAGTGAGTGAAACTATAACTATATAGCTATATGGCAGAACTTGTCAAACAATTTCTGTTCAATTATCCAGCGCGTGTAATGTACTTTCGAGCGAGTTTTTCAAAACTCGACTAGTAATCTCACGCACAGGGCAGGTTAAACTACGTAGAATAACGAGCACGCAATTATTGGAGAGCGATCCGTAACGAAACAGGAAGGAAGAGAGAGAGAGAGAGAGAGAGAGAGAGAGAGAGAGAGAGAGAGAGAGAGAGAGAGAGAGACAGAGAGAGAGGACGAAACTGACAAAAGTGAATATAAAATGAGAACAGAAGAGTTGGGAAGAACTAAAGAGGGTCACATGGAGTTGCAAGCGTATGAATACGTATGTACACGATCAGAGATGGTATAATGTGTGTACGAAGAAACAAGTATACAAACGTGCGAAAGCTCGGTCGTGACTTTTGCAAAATGAACGATCACTAATTCGAGAGCGAGCTACGCTCGCGAGAACGCCTTTTATTTGCATTTTACCGGCTAGCAATTGCATCTCCATTAATCTGTCAATGATGGGCCAACTGTCACTTCTTGCTAAAACGGTGCAAAGCGCAGGAGAACTCGAATTAAATAGGTCGTGCGAAAACCGAAAATTGGCGAGTTCGCAAGTTAGCTAGTTAGTTGTCGGGTTGCGCTCGCTTCGAGAATAAAACGCGTTTACTACATGTTAATTGTAGCACATAGTAAATTTGTAGGCCTGGTAAAATTCAGTAGCTGTTTGAACCAATCTAAAGGCTGCACGACACAACCATTGTCTTACCGATATCAAATATACGCACGATATTACTTTTGATTTATTCGCATGAAGCTCGAAATATCGATCGTTCCTTTTAAAATAGAATGAGCGATCGCCATGTATGAGTAGCAGGTGATCATAATAAATTCAAAAAGTTAGCATGGTACAAAATGCATTGAGCGAATCAAACATCTTTATTTTCAACAGCCGTAGCGAGATTAATGAGGTACTTCACTAGCGCTGAAATCGACTGCTCTTGTCAATCGTATACATTACTAATCGAAAGAAAGACACAAAAGTGCGATGTAATTATGTGGAGGAGACTTCGAAGTCGTTAGTTTGGTCAAGTTTGAAAATGACAAGTCAAGGAATGAATCCGAAAGTGAGAGCTCTGGTGATGGAGGGTATTTCCGAGAACGAGGTGAGTAACGGAGCTGCCGAGAATCTTCAAAATCCCAATCGGCAAAGTGCGTGATGAGTAGCGCGAGGATCGCGCGTCAACTGCCGCCAGCAGCACACCGAAATAACGTCAGCCCCGCGCCGTCCCCACGCACGCCAACACCGTACCAAGCTAACGGCAAGTCCAGACCGACAGCTAGACCAATGTCAACACCATGCCACTACCGCAATTAACTAAATATCGCTCTCCAAGGATTTGATCGGACGCGTAATGTGTGGGCGCGACTCGACGACCAACTAACTTGCGAGCTTGCCAATTTTCGTTTGACGCGCGACCTATTTACTCGAGCTCTCCGTAGGCTCTGCAAGAAGCGAGCGCTGTTACGGCCACTGAGACGTCGAATCGGATGGTTACCCGAATCGAACGTGAAAGGGAAGGAGAAAAGGAAAAAAAAAAGAAGCGGTGCCGCGGGCGCAGCTTGTCCTCGAGCCGAGCAACTGGCTCACCCCGCAGATGCGGCGAGGGGGCTTCCGCACGCGTGACGTCCGCGCGATCGTGTAGAGTGAGATCGGGTTGGCAAAGGGCAAAGGTGGGGGGGGGGGATGCACGGAAGAGCAGAGAGTGAGAGAAAGAGAGAGAGAGAGAGAGACTTACGCGCCAGGACTTCTTTTCGGCGCACCTGCACGCCGATGATGGCCTCCATCGGCACCTCGGTCCTGGGGATGCTGACCGCGTGCGGCGGCAGGTAGATCGGCTCGAGCATGCCGAAGGTGCATTCCGCCGGGATGTCCTTGTAGCAGAACGCGTGCGACTGCAAACAGCGGGGTCGGCATCCCGGTTATATGCCGTGCGCTCTACGGCTGGCGCGCGGAACCGCCGTAGCGGTATCGTTACCGTGATGCCGCACCACTCGCAGCGGTAGCCGGCAAGGCACTCGGCGGAGTAGCAGGTTTTCTTGCAAACGGCGCACTTGGAGCTGCTGGGCAGGTTGCCCTCGCGCCAATGGTGGAGGTGCCTCACCGCCGCCAGGTCCTTGCCCGGCGCGTAGGTCGCGTTCTCCTTGCAGTCCGCCACCGCGAAGTCCTGGCAGTCCACGTGCACGAAGTACTCGCATACTGCAAACGATAGGCCGATCAGTGGCGCGGCTCCGTGGCTCGGCCCCTCCGCCGTTCTCCCCCCGCAAGCCCGGCTCACTTTCGCAGTGTATGGAAGGATTGTCGTCGAGGCGCTTGCGACAGACATTGCAGAACTTCTTCCTGTGGTGGACCGGCTCGGACCAGCAGTGCGCCACTGGATTCTGCAAGCCAAGGGAATTTCATCGGTCGGTCGGTCGGTCGATCGCACCGTGCCAAAGTCGGCCGTGCTTACCTTGATAAGGGTCGCCGAGATGCTGGAGCAGGGGGACACGACGCTCTTGATGCAGCGCTCGTGCACGCAGTAGTTGCAAACTGCAACGGCAACGGGAGAGTCGTTAGGCGCGGTCTCGAGGCCTCGGGCACAAAGCCGCGGTTTTTCCAGGCGCTCGCGTAGGAAATTTCACGCGAACGGCAATATCTTTCCGGGGAGAGCTGGCACGACGGAAACGTCAGGACTTTCAAAGGGCCCTTTCTCTCGCCGCGCACTCTCACTCTCTCGGCATCGACAATGGGAGCGGCGCGCTGGCGCTGTCCATTGTGCGCCCAGTCGATCATCCCCGTGCTCAAAAGAGTCGCCGCCGCCGCCGCCGTCGTCGCCTGTCTGCAGCTAATTCATTCGGCGGCTATATTTATACACGGTCAGGCGCGCTCCTGCCCAGCATTATTCTCGATGCGCGTAGCAGTTCCACTTTTCGCTCGCTGTTCTCTTTCCGCGCCAACGCGGCGAATAGAAGGATTCCATCGACTAACGAGCGGCGATCGGTCGACGGCTGAACGAGAGGGCGCGTTCTCCGACGCTGCAGCTTCGTTGGGGCGAAATTTCGTGCATCCGGCGCCGTAGTCCAGTCGTCGACGGGCTGACAGCGGCTTTTTTTTAAATGTATTCTCAACCGGTGAACACAAATTTGGAGGGTGACTTTTCGTCCGACGCTCGGATAATTTTTTGGAAACAATTTAAACGTTTAAATACCGTAAAATTTGAATATTTCCCCACTTGATTGTTAGATTATTTGTTTATGTATAAAGATTGTTTTACATCTAGATTAATTATCATTTTGACTTTTGAAGAAATATCGAATACGATTGAAGTTATTGACGATTGAATGGCCGTCGCAGCGAAGCACTAACAAAGCATATTAATGGCCGCGACCGATGAAACGCATCTCCCAAGTTTTTTTTCATGTATTTTAAATTGCATTGTCATTACGAAATCCAGTGGAGTAAACAAACGAATAGCGTTTATTCCACCAACGAATTTCAAAATATATGTTTTACCAATATTTTAGCCAGAAATTCTATTTTCGTTCGTATATTGAAAAATGGAATTTATTCAATTTAACATTTTATGGTTTCCATTTGTTTCTAACTGGGTATAAATGTTTTTTTATGACATAAATATGGGATACAGATTATCCTTTAAAATAAAACCACAGGCGACGAAAAATATTGACTTGAAGTTATGTCGACTTTTGACACTTAATCAACATCTCCGGTCCTCATGACTTTATCGAGATAAATAAAATAGGAATTTGTTTGTTACTAATCTCTTAAGCGTTTCTGTCCTTTTTAGTTCAAAAGATGCAGTGGCTTAAACATTCAAATTGTTTACAACAAATTATTCGAGTGCCGGATGGAAGGTCACTCTCCAAATTGGTGTTCAGCGGCTTAAAATACATGAAAAAAGCCATGGTGGGTTCATTTAAATTACAATGGATACCGTGACCCCTCTGTCGACAAAACTACAACGAGGGAGGCCTGTCTATTTAGGTACGCAATTTTTAGCCGCATTCGTTCCGCGCCGCCCGTTAGCGATGCTAATGAGTGTCAGCCGACGAGTGGAATATCGATGCAGATACCTTGAGCGCGAACGGCAGGGAGAGTCTGACCAAACCGACACTCGCGCTTCTTCAATCTCAAGGACCTTCCTTTGATGTCCGTTGGATCGAGATTCGAGCTTCGATTCACACCTCTGCTCTCGAGGACGCCGTTCTAATTTGCGATCGCGAGCTCCGACGCGAATACGATAGAGGCGACAGGTGCCGACGCTCGGTTCCGTTTAGCCTGACGGCTTGCTTCTTTCGGCAATTGGCCGAGTATCATTAATTAATCGAGCTTCCTCGGCGCGCGCGAAAAAGAAAAGGCAGGTGCGCGCCTCGCTCCGAATCAATCCGCGTGGCGCCGAAGAAGAAGTTTCGGCGTCGGTGAAGGCGTTGCAAGCTCGCGACCGGCGAAAATCCGGTTAGCGAATAATCAAGTCGTCGCGGTGCTGGCGCGCCGGAGATGAAAGCGTCGATTAATTCGCTGCGCGCTCGCCGATCGGGTTGGCTCGGCATGGGAAAATTGCACAATCAGCGCGAGCCGCGCGCGAGTCTGCGAAATTTATATTCGAAATAGCGCGAGTTCGCCGAGCATTAGTGTTTATACAGCGGCGGCGCCAACGAGAGAAAGAGCGGGAGAGGGAGCAGCAGCGATGATAATGAAAATTGGGTCAACCCTTAAAATCGCGCCTCTGCGTGTCGCCGCGTCGAAATTTTCATCGATACGAGTCAATTTTCGTGGTCGCGGTGTGGGCAGACGAGCGCGATCGCGTTCCCCCTCCTCCGCGCGCTCCTCGCCCGTTCGCTCACTGGCTCGTCGATTAACAACTTTGCCCTGCGCGCACCGGCATCCGAGCTTTCTCGTTTCTCGCGCGCGGGCTTGCCTGGCGCGCGAGGCACTCGAGAGAGAGAGAGCTCGAATCTCGCGCACGCTTGGCGGCAAATTTTTCACGATGGAATTTTGCCCGCGCGCTAATTACGCCTATGGGTTGTGTACGCGCGCGCGACAGAGGCCAACTTTTCCACGGGAGAGTTTCGCTCTAAATTGCGCTCTATTCACCTTTTACTTTCCTTTTTTCCTCGTTATGCGCGCTGGAAAATGGCATAATCAACTCGCGTTACTCGCACGGAAACGTATACGGAAAAAAAATACGAAGCCTCTAAGTAAACAAGTTTGCCGCGTATCGAGGACAGAATAAAAAGCATGCCGCCTATGGAGTATCGTAAACGAGTTATAGGTGGAAACGTGCGTGCAGCTTTGAAATTTTCACTGGCTGGAGCAAATATGATTGTTGCGCGTGGAGAACCGGAAGGAGTCGAAACGCCGAGGAGAAATAAGAGAGCCAAGCTGGCGCCGGGGGGTTCTTTTTTCAGTGCAAGCTCTCCCTTTGTCTACTCGAGCTGCTGGCGCTTGGGGCGCGTTACACGCTCGGACACACAGCGGATTGATCAAGCCGGACATGCGCGTTTCCGTTATTTTCGAATCCTCACTTGTTGTCCACTTTCGTGGGCCGCTCGCACGCGGAAACCCGTTGAGTACCTCAATAACCACTGATCGATCTACGCCGTTATTTTTACACGAGGAAAAAAGGCAGAGGCCGGAAAAAAAGAGAAGAGCGCCCGAGGAAGAAGAGAACGAGGACAGCGGCGTTTAGCCGTGGGAAGAGTCGTCGATGCATAATAGGCGAGCGCCTAAAAACTCGAGCGCTGTGGCGGCGGAGTCGGCGTCGCGAGCGCACCGCAGGGCCCAATTAGCGAGGCATCAAAAATGTAACAATTAGCTCGCGGGAGCAGCAGCCGCACACGGAGCGCTTTTAGGCAGCTTTATCTCTCTCTCTCTCTCTCTCCCTCTCGTCAACGCATGTGCCCCGGAGAACGAGAGAGCTTGAGCCATGCACACCCCCCGCGATCAATGCTTACAAGAGCAGCGACGACGTCAGCGCCCTCTCCCCCTACCCCGTCGCGCTCGCGCGCGACTCTCGTGCCGTGCGCACGAGCTGCAGCGCGCGATTTTCGTGCTCCCCTCGTTCGCCGCGGCTCGCCTACTTGGCCGCGACACGGATTACCGCGTCGAGCGACTGGCCCGTCGGCTGGCGCGACTGGTCGTTCGGCGCCGCCCGCCATGGGCTGCCAGCCGGCCGACCTGCACGCAGAAACAGCTGAATGAGCACTTCCCATTCATCGGCGCGCGCTCTCTCTCTCTCTCTCTCTCGCTCTTGAGGTCAGCCTCTATAGTTGCGTCGCGCACTTGGCCTATCAGCTCGCGGCCCAGCTCCGCGATAAACTTGAAATTGCGATTGCGAGCAGCGGGAGGAGGCGCGCTCGGGCCTAATTAAAGTGATGCGCGCGAACTGAGTGAAAAAAAAGAAAGAAAAGAGTACTCGGCTCGGTTCGAGTCGAGTCGCCGCTTTGTCTCGTGTTTCAAGCCAGCGCCGGTAACCGAGAATTGCGAGACTTTTTTTACGCTGCGGCCGCTTTAACGTGCGGGCGACGAGAGTTTTATCGAGGATTCGAGTGGCACACCGCCGATTAACCGAGTGCCCCGCGTGCACACTTTGCCACCGTCGAGCTTTCTCTCTCTCTCTCTCTCTCTCTCTCTCTCTCTTATTTGCTCTTAAACGTTCGCCGCGTGCATCACTCGTCGATTATCATTGTTACACGGGCGCGTTTCGCTCGAAGCTCGAGATCAATACTCGCACACATAGTTGTACGTAAGCTGCTGCTGCGAGGCTGAGAGAGAGTAAGAGAGAGAGAGAGAGAGAGAGAGAGAGAGAGAGAGAGAGAGAGAGAGAGAGAGGAAGTTGCTCGCAGTCATCGGAGCTACCCGTGTAAGAATTTCCAGCGTGATTAACACGTTCGGCGCGCCAAAGACTAGACAGCTCGGCCTGCGCGGTAAGCGAGCGACAACGCGAGCGAATCTGCCTCGGCTCGGCGACGACGAGAGCGCCGCGAGACTCGAGGCCACGAGGTTGCCCCGGCATATCGCGAGAGAGACGCCGCGTCGAGACGAGCCGAAACGGAGCTTTCGCCGCGGCGACGACGGCAGTGCGATAGTTACCCTCGCAGATGAATCCGGGCTGGATGAGGCCCCAGAGCATGTCGGTGCAGCTGTGGCAGTAGCTCAGCTTGTGAAAGGTCTTCTTGGCGAAGTTGTGGCCGTGGGCGGGCGGCGCGCCAGCGGCCGCGACAGCGCAGCAGGGCGACTGCAGCGGCTCGACCGGCGGCGGCTGTGCGGGCGGCTGCTGCGCGCCGCCGGCGAGCTGCTGCTGACCAGCGCCGCCGGAGGCCATGGCCCGTCGCTGCGCGCTCCCGCTTCCACCTGCTGCGACGCCTGCGCCTGCTCCTCCGCTCGTGCGGCAGAGCCCGCGCCAGATCTTCACCGTGAGGCCGCGGCTGCTCCTCGGCCGGCCGCCACTAGCCCCGGCCCGAGACTGGCCGAGCTGGCCCTGCGCTGCCTCGCCGTCCTCGTCGCTCGCTCTGCGCGCTCTGCTGGCTGTCGCTCTGGCTGCTGCGCCTGCACATCCTGGCGCATCGCTCAGCTGCTCGGCGCGGCCGCTGCGCTGCGCGGGCCGGCGCCGACGGCGGCGCGCGGGCGGGGGCCCGGCCCAGGCTGCTCCTGCTGGCGGCTAGGTCACCTCGGCGGGTGGCATGGCACGGCCGCGAGCGAGCCGCCCCCTCACGCCCGCGGCGCGCCGCCCGCGGCCATCGCGCGCTGCGCCAGCGGGCGCTCCACTCCGGCTCGGCGGCTGCTCGCGCGGCGCACGCTGCTCGCTGCCTCGGCGAAGCTCTCGACTGGGCTGTGCTCACTGGCGCTGCTCGGCCATGCTCGGCGCGCGGCCCTGCTGCTGCCTGTGGACCACCGCACCAGCGCGCTCAGCGACGCTTCTGCCCGCGCCTCGGCCGCGGCGCACCGCCCTCGCTGCTCGGCCGCGCGCCTGCGCCGTCGCCGCCGCGGCGGCGGCGGCGGCGGCGGCGGCGGCACCCGCGCGATCAATCGGCCGCTGTTTTATTCAGCGCCGGCCCGTCGTCGTCCGGCGGCGCGCGCGGCCCGACCGTCGCCGTCGCGGCCCGCCGGACGACGACGACGACGGCCCTCGGCGGCGATCGATAGCGCCCGCGGCGACGGACTCGGAGCGTCGGCCAAGGGCGTCGACACCCACGCGCGCCGTCGCGCACCTCGCTCCGCCGAGCGAGCCAGGCTTATTTCGGTCGGGCGCGCGCACTCGCGGCGGCTCTTACGTTACCCTTGGTCCGTGCGGCTGTGCCGAGGCGACGACGAGTTGCTGCTGCTGCTGCTGCTGCTGCTGCACGTTTGCGTGCGGGTGGGCAGTGCTCGGCGGCTGCGGGGGGCAGCGCGGGGCTCTGCTGGCGGCGGTGGTGCGGCGCTCTGGCACGCGCGCTCAAATAAAGTCATTCGAGCGGGCGCGACGACGAGCTGCTGCCTCTGGCGGCTCTGCTCTCCGCCGAGGCGAGACTCGGCGCGGCGGCGGCCTCTGCGTCGGCGCGGACTTGGCCGCGCAATGACGTCACGCGCTTTTCGGACCTCCCTGCTCCCGCCCCGCCCGCTCACCCTGCGGCACCAGTCGCGCGGCGGCGGATGCTCCGCTGCCAGCCGACTCGTCGATCGGACGCGCTTCAAAAGCTCCAAGATCCTTGTCGAGCGAGATTCGCTGGATTGGAATTCCTAAGTAACTCTCTCTCTCTCTTTTGATTCCAATCACGGAAAATCGATGGCGCTAACGTTCGTTGCCCACTCGAGTGTGCGCCCGACGCGCGCTTCTGCGTACGAAAGGCAAGCGAACGAAACGAGGCGCAATCACGCACCGAGCTGTTTACACGTGCACGCGCGCGATATCATCGGCGTGCCTATTGTCGTGGCTCCTTGCCATTGTTTTTTCGTCACTCCCTCGCCCGCCGTTCACGGGCTTTTCAAGCTCGCTGCCCAAAAGGCGTCGATTACGCGCACGAACTGCGATCGATCGCGCGCGCGCGCCTTTTTCCGCGCCTGGCTCGCTACGATCTACCGGAATCGTCCGCGCATACTCATCGGATAATCAGCGTTTTCGCTTTGGCACAATGGTTTTGCCGATCAGGCGGCAAAATGTATACCGCTCACGCGTAATCCGCACGCGTATCTGCAGAAGCGCCTCTGATTTCCAACTCAGTAAATGCGAGAGAGAGAGAGAGAGAGAGAGAGAGATTGGGGGAGGCATCAATCGAATTCGACCAAGCTAGAGAGTCGTGCTCTCGCAGTTGTCAGTAGGCCGAGAGTTCGAAATAGCCATATATTACGAGCGAGAGGGGAAAGGAGATCGGACCTTTCGACCGCGGCGAGAACGAGAAAAGAGCGAAGCTAAGCAATGCCAATCAATGCTTAATGGGAGAAAGAAAGGCGATGGGCAGTGCGCGGCTGGCTGGCGTCCGCCGCGGCGCGTTGTACAGTGGCTGACCAGCGCGCGCGTTCGTCGCTATATGCTCGGCCGAAATAGTACGAAGCGCAGAGAAACCAAGCGTCTCTTGGAACATCTCTCCTCGATTCAGACTCTCGCCCATTGTTTTTCTCTTGAATGTCCGTGGATTGACGCCTCGCAAATGAGAAGTCTGTGCGATTGTTTTACAAAAGGAAAAAGAAAAAGAAAAACTTCTTTATTGTACATGGCTCGTTGTCTTTACAAAAAGCGCCTAACTGGCTTTTTCTCTCTTCAAACGAACTCCAAGATGCTCGGCACGCTCCTCGAGGTTTTTGAGAGCTTATCTGTGTGTATAATCGAAGAATATATATATATATATATATATATATATATATATATATATACGTATATAGAGAGAGATGAGAAATGTGCGTGTGCGTTCATAGATGCACATTGAGAAAAATGTCTTTGTTCGTGTATATCACGCACGCGTGTTCTTTCATTATACATGTGGACGGAGCAGAAAGCATAGTCTATCGTATTACAACAGGTCAATCGATTCTACATAGAATACAATTGTCAATGCCAATAACGACTCTACAATTACAATGTTAGCAACTTTATCATTTTAAATTCTTTGAATCCCCTCAAGTCTATCGTGATTACATATAGCGCTTATTAATAATAGCATTAATTATAAACTGATCGATTAAAAATAGCACTAAGTTTTACTGCTCTGTATAACTAGGTTGCGATAAAAAAAGTATCCGAAAGGAAAAAACAAGAGGAGAATGCATAAGGAAACGATGCTGCAAAGCACTCCCTCGTAACATGCAATTTCAACGATCCTGTGGCTACAGATAAAACTCTGGTTCGTAGATAATCTTTTATATTGTGCGCGTGAGTTGGTTAATTAGTAAAAGACCAAACGGACGATAATTGTAGCAATAGTCAACAATCGATGCAACTCGGTCAATTTATCATTTCGTTGAATTAATCAATTCTTCAATCAGGAATGTGGACGATCAATAACAACCGGTCGTCGTTCAACTTTGCATCCCGCAGCTGCTTCTTGCTTCTGCCAAAGTCTTATCCTAAACATTGCTCGTAAGCGTTGCTCGACGATATATAATATGCCAATGGTTGCGGATGTCCAAATGTTCTGTCGGCGCGCCCTCCCAAAGTAACGATAAATAAAGCTTCTGAAAAGATTGTTCTGTCCGCGTTGAAATTGAGCACAGATCGCACAACATTTGCAACATTTTATAGTCTACACTGCTAAGGAACAAATCTGAGTACCAATGCTAAATAGTCTTGCAAGTATATGACGCGTCTGCTCTCCGGCTGCTCTAAGCTAGATTTGTTCCACGAATGTGCTTTGTCGTTTTGTTTTTAACGGCAGAGTCGCTGGAGACGCAGCGATTACGAAGCGAAAAGAGCAGCGATGAAAATTTGAGATTCCGGCGGTGACTTAGCCAAGCCCGTGATCCTCGAAGAAGCCTTGAGGTGTTTCCTCCTGAAGCAGAAAAAATGTGCAAAACATTAATGCAGCAATCCGCGAGAAGAGTGTTAAAAGTGGGCACTCCACGGGTGCTCGCAACTATTTTCAAAGTGCTGAAATATGAACAGGGATCAATTACTTTGACGCTGCTCTCGGAAATCGATACTTTTTTTTTTCAGTAAAAGTGCATGTTAAAGCTAACTTAGTTTATTGAAGAATAACATATCACGTACCTACGTTCTTCTTGATGCAGCTTCAAATGATGAACTGAACCCTTTTCATATAACACTCTTATCAAATCATTTGTTAGATAACACATAAGAATAGGATAAAAAGACAAAACAAGCATTTGATCGGCTTTCGTAACTCAGAAGTGTTAGTCGAATCGACACAATAGCACATTTCACACTGATTTCTGTCTAGGAGTTATCTAATGTATGATCTATCGACTAATAGGAAAGAAAAAGTCCAGAAACCCAAAACAAAAGTAATAAATGCACAAAAGAGACAGGTGAAAGAACAAAATAGTGACTACACGTTGATTTTATTTTTAGTCTCTACTTTCTAGAAGATTGCTTTATTTAACTGATTGTTTGAGAGGTGTTTGTGTGTTCGTGTTCATATGTTTATTATTCTAAAGTGCAGTCACAATGACAATTGACACAAATTGCTGTAAGAGCGCAGGTGCGATTTCACAATTCACATGGGTTAATTAATTTTTATTATGTTTCTCTCATCTCCTGAATCTACATCTACATGATTCGTCGTTGCGTCAAGTTACAATTATTGCCGTAGATTACATACAAACTTCGCGTTAGACCTACCATGGCTCACTCACTAAAATCTACGTTCTCTAAGTGGATTCATACATAACTAGGTTAACAAAATATATTACTGATTTTTATTTTTCGCTTTCCATACATCATTCTTAATTTCTTTTCTTCTTCATTTTTCCTTTGTCGAAATGCTATGTATTTTCGGGTTATAAATAGTTTTCAACGAACATTAGTACAAAAATATGGCAAGTTTGCGGTAATGAAAATGTCCAGTCTTATCAAAAACATTTTTTATCGTAACCATTGTTTTCTTTAAAAATTCACGTGGCGTTTTCTTAAAATGGTATGTCAATGATGAAACCAGTATTGTTCTCGCTACGAGTGAATTAAAATTGAACCGAAAAAAATTAATATTTATGTATTGACATATCGTTTTACAAAAGATACGTAGAAGCTAATTGTACATAAACAATTTCAAGAGTTAAATAAAAAGGAAAGGTCTAAAAAAGCGTTACCATATCGCAAAGCCACATCAAAAGATTTTACATTAAATTCGCATAAATTTTATCAAAAGACAAGCGGTCGACGTCCAGCTGTGAACATTGAAAAAGAAACGCACAATTTCGAATGAGACGTAGGCAACAAGGAAAAAAAGTTATTGACACATTTCTCGCATATAAAGTTATGTCAGCGAGATGAAAAACTGAGCAATACATCGACTCGCTGCCGCGGAATTCACGTACAATCAATAAACAGAGAATATCTGTTTCCCCGGGGCTGTCAGTCTGACGTTAAATATTGAACATTACAAGTTGCTCTATCTCGGCTGTTCAAACAGCCCGAGAACGCGATACAAAGTGCACAATTCCTGAATAAATGAGGCGACGACGGCGGCGGCGGTGGCGGCGGCGGCGGCGGCTGCGGCGACGACGACAAAAGCGTTGAGGACTCTTCTAGCTTTATTTTTTAATTGAGTGGCACGTGCTGCGGGGAGAGATCCATTGGAACGTTCTGGCTATGACTACAGTTTTGCTTTAGTTTCGCCCGAGCTGTTTGCCTATAAAAGCCCTATTTCTCGCAGCGCACCTTCCACGGCCTCGTCCTTTTTCCACAAAAACAAACACTCGTTCTTTAGCATCGGCGTCATTTCGGGACTCTCGACGTTTCCTTTCTATCCGAACATTCGCACGTGCAACTTCGCTCGACGCTCCGAACTCGCCCGCTGGTTACTTTAATGGATCGATCGCGCGACGGTCCGATCGCTCGCGCGACAATACGTTACGGTGAACTGACGATGCGAGCAGCGTCGCGCTTTTTATCTGGGCTGCGGACGTCAAAGGCGCGAGCAGATTTTTCACGACGAATATTCGGATATGCAAACTCTCGATCGCCCCAGGGCATGGATGCCGTTGGAGTGACGCGCGAAATTGAAAAAGTGCGCTTTTCCCGAATTTCTTTTCCTGCGGCGCGAGTCGCCCGAAACGCTATCCTGTCGTTGGGCGCGCGCGGCCGAACGAGGCTAGCCGTGTTTCGAGCCAACGATATGCTCACCGGCGCAAGCGAAGAAAAAAAAAAAACATCGCACTTGTTCAATTTCACTTGCAAAGATGAAAAATCAACAGTATAAAACGAATCGCGAACGCAGGATCGGACGTACACTGAGGAACATATAGGCAAATGAAAAAGAAAGAAAAAAACGATATAAAAAAAAAAAAGAAAAAGAAAGAAAGAAAAACAGCAGCGACACAGTACAATGGAATTTGCACGGAAAGTCTACCAAGCAGAAAATAACGTTTGAACACGACAACGCAACGACGCAAGTGAAGAGACACAAATATCAAAGCTCTGGTTAAGACGTTGTTGGTGAAAAGACAGTTTATTAATTTCTCCAAAACAACTTACATTGATTCCAAGCGACCTATTTGCGCGTGAGACGCGCGTAAACAGGCGCGTCTACGCACAGTTGATACAGGACTGATATTTTCGCTTTGTGTATAAAGCTTTTTGTTGAACGAAAGAATTGGAGGCTGTGCCGTAACGAGATACAGGCGAAGATAAGAAAAAAAATGTGTATTCGACTAGAATAAACTACTTGATCTACAACACACACGATATACAAATACTATAGGATTAAACACTTATAGAGCAGACATTGTAGCATTATCGGTCTTATTTTCCAGATATTTTTCACGTATTGGTTATGACGGTATAATAATCTTTGGACTTTGTTTAGCACTCTATTTTTTGTTAAGGTGTACTATACAACCACTTTATTAATGCTATCGATTATCATTTATGAACTTACAAATACGAATTGCATATTTATCCAATACTAACTAGAAATAGATATCAATGGTAATGGAGTACGTTCTCTTTTGGTCTATTTGATTGCACAAATTATAATAGCAATTAGTACGTTAATATAAAACTTTTTAAGGCTATAATGTCTGCTCTCATTTCTAAATATACAAGTACGGTTAAATAAACTAGGGCATGATCTACCTCGATTATACCACAATAGCTGCATTCTCGACAAACGCTGCGTAATATATAATATATCATGTATAAAATTATAACTGGATATCGTAACAATTAAGCTCGTCTAACAATAATTTGAAAAAGCGCAACAACAATCATATTTCTTTGAATCCTATAGAGATATCGGTGTTGTGTGAATGACGGCTCCATGAGTATTAGATTTAAAGGACGCGCGAACACACCTGACAACGGCTTGTTGTAACTTTGACAAACGATTTTTTAAATGTTTAAATTTCAGTTACGAACAAGTGAGAAAAGCTATTCTCCGATTAAGACATGCACCCAACAGAACAGCAGGTCGATACGCGACACAGTTTGGTCAAGCAAAATTAACCATAAGCTCGTCATAGTACAACACGGTTAGTTAACATATTCTCCTTCTAACGTATTAATCCGCTTATCACGGCATTGGTTGCGATTGGCTTGAGTGATACATTGGCAATAAACTTTCTTTTAATTACTTTAGTAATTAGGAAAATGTCGTGGCAGTAGCATAAAAAAGGCAAGTATTTAGAAACTCAACGTTATCAATAGAAATATAAAAAATATTATACTGCAATATATAAGTTAAAGAAACAATCTATAGTGATTATTAACTTCTAGAAATATATTAAAATATATACTGATATTCATCTTGTGAGTCAGCACTCTCACTGAACATGTAGTGCACAGTATACTAGTTCTGTCATATTAATTTGTATACTTGTTCATAAATATATTATGCATGCTCTGTTGCAACAAACAGTAATACATACATACACACTCATACACACAGAATAAGACAGTTTACACTGAAATTTTGAAAATTGACACAATTCAATCGGACTATTTTGTTATGCAAGAATACTTGCCATGCAATTTTTAAGATTTCTAATTTTATACTTTGTACAATTTTACGATGTTAAATTGAGACAAACATAAATTACCAGGGGAAAAAGATGGACTGTGGATCACTTTGGCACATAGGTATTGGCAAAAGTATTTCAATAAGGAAATATATATCAATGTTCAATACACCTTTTCGTACCAAAATTAAGAGATCAAGCAATTTGTACTTTTACTTCTACACTAACACAAGTGATTAATTCATTATTTATTATTAAGTACTTGCTAATAAATTGAGCCAACTTTTTTTCTATCAAACAGCTAATACATCTAATACTTAATTCATCTGAAATCTAGCCATAATGATCCAATAGCCAAAAGGAAAGGAAGACAAGAATGACATTCAATAAGACAGATCACAACTCAATGGGAACATCGCCGTGACTAACCTCCTGCAAAAGATCCTGGGCTGCAATAGCTTTCAGAACATTCTTTTTGCTAGTTTCTTGGATTTCTCCTCCCACAAGAAGCTCATCAAGTATGAAATATGCTTTTTCAAAATTGAAAATTATGTCCAACTCACACACCTGTAATAACAATATTAATAATATTTTTACCAAAGAAATGTCTGCAAAGCTCATTTCCACACATAAACTTACACTGCCAAAATATTTGTCTAACAATTCCACGTAACGATGAATAATTTCAAGGGTCAGCAATTCATTGTCATTTTGCTCTATTGCACAGCAAAAATATAAACTTGCATACCTAGAAAGTTTATTATTTTCAATTTAACATCACACAGATCAATTTTTTCTAAAATTGATCAATAGCATGCAAGTACCTTTTGTAAACGACCTTGACATCTTTCCACTCAAGGAAACTCGACATCTTTGGCTTTCGAGCGAGAATCGTTGTGATTAGTTCTCGAGTTATCTTCTTTTTCAGTTTGTCTGGGTGTGCAACGTACCATTTTTGTAAACGCAATTTTCCTTGACGGCTGAATAATAGCATAAATTGCATCTAGATATCAGATGGAAGCAATAACGAAACAGAATTAAATTTTCAAAAATATTAAACAGTTAATATACAGTGCAATGTAGATTTACCATTTTCAATGGTTTTCAATTAAATAATATTTTTAGTTGATAAATTTTATGTAAAAACAGTCACTTAAGGTGTGCCACGAAGCACCACCATCCTCTATTCATGAGGTAGCCATATTGCAGTACATCAGCAATATATATCAGCAGTCTAAAAAACTAACCTTTTATAAGCACAAAGGCGCTTCTTTTAAAATTCTAATCCAAACTTTAACTCATATCATATATTACCGTAAAACAAATTGTAATAACAATATGAATAATATTGTTATTGATATTGAAAAGAAACATAATTAAGAAAAAAATAAGATCGTTATAATCTCAAAAAGATTATTCGTACAAAAGAAAAAGAATTTAGACCACTATTTTTAGCAATTTTTTTACAAATTTTATTATTTTTCTTAAAACATAACTTTTGACAGTTGTTATCAATTTTTGAATTATCTACATGATTCACTTCAATTACTTGTTCACAAAGCATGTATCGTGAAAAACTTTTATGACATTAAAATGAAAGATGACATTTCGTTACTAATCTTAAATAAACAAGTAAGTTTATACAATAGATTATTGCATTGGAACATCTTGCAAAAGTTGTGTTATATTATCCTTTATATATTTTACACGTACCACAAGTTTATCTTTTATGTTAATATCTGAGTACGGTAATAAAAGTACTTTGTACCCTTTTAATGTCAATAATTTATTATAAAATTTTATAGGTCCTATTATTTCTTTTTTGTTTCGACAAAATTCTTGATAAGAGCAAGTAACAAGTGCTATCCTGAATACTTTTTTGTCTCCTTCTGATTTGGAATCGAGTGGTAATGGTGTGCAGTTACTATCTACACAAATTTCAGCATCTATAACATAGAATTAATAATTAAACTTAGAATTGTGAACCAATACAGCAATGCAGTTGGAGATATCAAGATTACCTATCAATAAACCCATGTCAGTAATAACATTTGTATTCAAATAAACAGAGTCAGATGGTAACAATATTTTTAAAGCACTAATTATTGAATTTGACAATTCAATTTTGTCCTTTGGTCTTGTTAGTGGTGTATTCAGTAAAGAAGAGTTCTCTGGAATAAAAGGCCCTAAAACATAATTTAAATATTATCCCTCCATTGAAGAATTAATGTGTCTCATTAATTATGATAAGAAACCTTGATAATCTTCACAAAAACGAGCGGCAGCATTAACATTCAGTAATTTAATCACCCTTGCTATAACAGTATCTGTTGTATCTATTGGATAAATAGGGAAGCATGAATAAAAGTTAACTTTTTTAACAAACACCTCTTCTTGTTACTTACCAAATATTCTGTTTAGGAAACTATCATTCAAAACTGATTCATAATGCTGTGAGGTAGCTTTATCTAATATAGTCAAAGCCCAAACAATATCCAACCATTCACTACTTTGACACATATCACTTTCTTTCAATGGCAACACTATGCTCTGTAAATTACAAACAGCAAGACTTGTATCATGGCTAACAAAATAGTTTAAATTGTAAACAAGAAAGATCTATACCTCAAATACTTTATTGAAATTATTAGGCGTGTAACCTAATTGAGCTAAAGTCATTAGCAAACCACAAATTTCATTTGACCGTATAATGTTTTCATTTTCGGCTACCCATGAAAATAATAAATCAAGTAATGCTTCATTTCTGTAACGCAATATTCCCAGAGACTTCAATAAGGATCGGATTACTGCAGCACTGTCAGTTTTAGGTACTAGCTTTGACAGTTCTATACAGACTTTTTTCAACAACATCTAGAAAATAAATAAAGTTCATTATTATCGCCTACTTAATCAAATGTAATTGTGACTTTAAATCTTACTTCATCATAAAAATTAAGTATCGCCATACTATATAAAATATCTGATAGCTGCTTAATGTTGAGGATATCATCTGATAAAGATATTTTTTGAGCCAATAATTTCAATGTTGGTGTTACCCGTTTATGTCTATTAGCTAATGCTATTAAAACCTGACGAAGTAACAAGAAACATAAATGCTTTTCAGATTATTCTTTTAAATATGTAAAAAATTCATTCTTACTGAGATTATCTGGCTTGTATTCAGATTTTCAATTTGTTTATTTACATTTTCAGTTTGCAATATTTGAGTGTAAGGTAACTTGTAATTTTCATTATTTGATGACATTATATCTAATGGATTTGCAGATTGTTTTTCAATACCTAGAATTCTGCAAACTTTCAAGTACCTTTCATCACTTTGAATATCAATCATGGCAACAGCTCCTGTTGTTATCCAGTTACACAAAACATGAACAACGTTTGATGCATTCTTTTCTCTGAATTCAGGATGATTAACTGTGTCCAACAACTGATCTACAGTTTTCGCTGAACGAATATTTGAATCAAGAAATGATTGTTCCCTAGTGTTGTTTTTCCTATTAGTTGGCATGTAATGATTATTTAGATATTTAAATGCAGCTGTAACCAATGTTTCATCACCAGGTAATTTTTTGCTTGGATATTTTACTTTATTAAAAACTTTGATTGGCTCCTGGAAGAAATACCCAGATTTATTATTAATTTTGTAATAATATTATCTCAGTTATTTTTAAAACAAAAAGATTAACAAATTATTTAAATAAATTAAATTAAATGTCATTAGACAATTTAAACTTTACAGATATGTACTTATTTTAATTTTCAAATGTATAAAAACAATGAAATTAAATAAAAAATTAATTCAATGCAACTACCTTGACTGCATTCTCTACAGCATCAGGATTTGGTGCCACTGAGCTTACATTTGCAAAATGTTGAGCTGTGACCCACAAAGATATTCGTGGACATATTCTCACTGTGGTATGGGAAAATGCCCCACCAAGTTGTAACATTGCCATTAAACTACAAAGGATATTATTTATATAATCATAATTCACAATGGTATGAAGCAGACCACAGTATGACCACAACGATTTGATTATAAAATATACCAACTCTTAAAATTTGATTGAAATATTTTTTAACTTTAACCGTTAACTTACTATATTGAACCAATTCCTTAATTAATAATTTACTTTGAAATTAATTAATCGTAATTTTTCGTTTATTAGTATATGAATACATATTTAGATTGAGCGAACCATGCACGGTGGACCTGACCATAGGTTAGGTAAAAAAAGAGACACACTATACGTACTGTACGGCTGCAATCTCGCACACATAGATGACGTATATTTTACACTATGTATACAGCAGAGATTAAGTAGGGTATACACACAGGCGTACGCATGTGCGCACGCACGCACACACACACACACGCGCGCGCGCACACGCACGCACGTTCTGAATTACATTCACGTTTTTCAAATAGTTATTATATATTGTACTAGAATTTGACCATAGTGTGCTTCGCGCACATTAACCTACATTTTTATTTTCCATAATCAAGTTAATAAAGTTAAACATGATTAATAATTATTGATTGATTGTTTGATCGATATGTCATGAAATATTTTGACAGTGAAAGAAATTTTACATTTATAAAATATCAATAGAATAAATTAAAAAATTTTAATAATCATAAATATAGCTCTTTATTTTCTTTTAGATAATCACCAAGATAAATTGTGAGAGGATCCCAAGATCGAATCTGCGAGACATGGGTACATGTATAGAATGCTGTTTGTGATTAAAAACATTCCTTCGTAGATCTATAAGATACCAATTTTATAAAAAGTTTAACCTTATACTTCATTTATTGTGATCGCAAAGACTAATTTGATTGGAAACTATCTCTGTTTGAAATAGTGAAAGGAAGTACGTCTTCACAATATAAATAAGTTGTACGAAAAAAATATCTTCACTTTATAAAAGCGATCACCTTTGGCGGGTTTCTTTCAATTTTCAGAACTAATTATGTTAGAAATACAGAAATGTTATGCTTTCTAGCAATAACCAGAGTAGAGGAAATAGCATTTTCCTTAAAACTTATTAATAAAAAATTAATTTTTTAAATAAAATATAATATATGTACATGCAAATAATTTGAATAAAAAATATTAAGTTGATTTTATACAAAACAGAAATAAGAATAATTTTCATGGAACATTTTTAAATTAGATTAGGTTAGATTTAAATAGAAACATGCGTACTGTATGAGCTAATCAGATAAACCAATAATTTGATACATGTACATACATGTAGTTTTTCATCAATAATTATAATATTTTTATTTTACTTATTAATAAGTTTAATAACATTTATTTATAAAGCTTAAACATTTTACATATTTTGAAAAAGTGCTTCTATATTTAAGGTAAATAAAAAGAAGTAAGTTTGAGTGAATATAAAGAGTTTATTCTTTAAGTTTAATTTCTACATACTAAATAATAATATAATTGGAATAGTGATTAGATATAACGCTAAGTAGTAGATAATAAGTTATATTATCTGTCTTTGCGACGAATAAAATATTTCGTCTGTTAAAATGGAAGTGATTAGTAGCGACCACGAAAACCACCACCTCCATAGCCACCTCTACCACCTCCACTAAAGCCTCCCCTGTAGCCATCTCCGCCTCCTCTGTAACCATCTCCACCTCCTCTGTAACCATCTCCGCCTCCTCTGTATCCATCTCCGCCTCCTCTGTAGCCATCTCCGCCACCTCCTTCAAAATTATTGTTTCTAAAGCTTCCTCTGCCACCAAAACCGCCTCTACCTAGCCCAAAGCCACTGCCACCACCTCCACCTTCTGTAAACATTCTCTTAGGTGGTGGACCTCCCTCGTTTCCACCAGGACGAATGCCTGTTACATGTCCTCTTGGTGGCCTTCTAGAGCCAAAACCACCTCCAGTTATTGGATCCATTTGGAATCGACAAGCATTCATACCACAAAGATTTCTGACAAGTGCAACGATCTAAAAAAAATGAATTATTTTTTACTATATTGCACTTGTGAATAAAATAAAAAATTTTGAAAGTTTAATGTACTTTTTCATCCAAAGGGCTTAGTTCGAGGATGGTTTCTGGATCTTTAGCAGCTTTGACGACTAATCCTTCTAAAGCTGGTCTCAAAGCAACAATCGCAGCAGCATGTTCGGGGTTCATGTCGAGGTTGACCCAATTGTCTAATTTGATTAAATTATCTATGTATTCTACTTTACGAGAGCCAAAGAGCAAAAGGTGCAGAGGAGAAACCATGGTCATCTGCTTACAAGATACAGCTCTTGTACGAATCTGTAAAAAACAAATGAATCAGCATAAATTTCTTAAAAAATGTATGAAAAGAGAAAACAAATTTACCTTTTCTCCAAATACGAAAAATGGGAATGGAAAATTCTGTTCAAAGTTGCTGCAATTGACGGAGGTCTTGTGAATAAGGGCAGCTTTAGCCTCGGTCGTCAAGACTTTTCGCTTTTCTTTGTGGAAACATACATTTGGATAAAGACCCATGCACAATAGTGCGGTTATGGTATCTAAACGTACATCTGCACCAGCCATGTAATTTAAGGGCGTTGGCATAAGGGTTTCTTCTGGGAATCCAGCGCTCTTCAATAGTTCTTGTAGTTGATTCTGAAACGAAAAAAAAACTTTCATTTTAGTAACTGGCGTGCTTTTGTTGAGTTCTTGAATGCTAATGTTAAATTACTTTTGCCTCCCATGTAACACGGAGAGTCGGCATGCTCAAATTCTTAGACTCGCAAAACGCATTTTCAGCGTAATCTCCGCCAGTGCGAACTTCTTCCCAGCATTGGAATACATGCAACATGGCTACATGATCACTGTAACGAGCGCCAGCAAACCACTTTTGCTGAGAAGATAATCTACGCATATCTGGAGACATATTATATACTTCGGGGAAAGTTGAGCTATTTGCAGCCATCGTTGACAAGGCATCTCCTACACGGAACATACAGCCGAGGATCATCATTTTACCGAGTCTCGGTTCGATTGGTAAACGAGCGAGAATCTTGCCAAGTGGTGTTAATTCATCGTTTTTGTCCAAACACTTCATTTCTGAAAATGCCATTCTGTCATTATTAGTCATGATATACAATTATAAAAAGAAAGTCAATCAATTTAAAGCGCTACCTCACCTCTTAACATGACTTCTGCCTCGATAACAGCATCGATTGGAGGAGGCTCAATGGCCTTTGATAAGAATTGTCCAATGCTTCCAAGTCTCAAAAGTTTGATACTCAGTGCCAACTCATGAAGCGGTGTGCGGAACATCTCCGGTGTCATGTGTTCGTCCATTCTTTCGAAACGAGCTTTTGAGCAAAGATGAAAACAGAAGCCTGGGCGTACACGACCGGCGCGTCCTTTTCTCTGCTCCAGATTTGTTTTGCTGGCCCAGACGGTAGCATAATTTGTCATATTGTTATGAGAAGTGAAAAGCTTCATTTTAGCTTTACAAGAGTCAATGACGTAGACAACATCATCAATAGTAATGGAAGTTTCAGCAATATTTGTCGCTAAAATAATCTTTGTCTTTCCTGATGGAACTGGATCGAAAACGCGTCGCTGATCTTCGCGAGGCAATTGAGAGTGCAACGGAATAATAACATATTCTGAACCACCAAATAGCGGATGTTGCTGAAGGTGTTTCAAAAGAGCAAAAATTAAATTCCATCCTGGAAGAAAAACTAAGACAGCCCCGGGTACCGTTTGATCTCTGATGTATCTCAACAAACTCTCAATCAGTTCGAAACTAGTTTCTTTTTCTGACATCTGACCCATAGAGTTTCTAGTTTGAATACTGTACCGCTGATCAGCGATTTTATTTAAGTTTTCTTCGACTTCTTGTTCTAATCCTGTGTCATCACTGTCGCGATTCTTACGTTTCTTCGAATCTAAAGGAGGCACAAACTTAGTCATTTCAATACAATCTTCCAAGAAGTATTGTTGCACGGGATATGCTCGGCCTGGTATTTCAATGACCGGACAATTGTTGAAATACTGACTGAAGAGAGTGGTGTCAATAGTAGCAGACATAAGAATGACTCTCAAGTCAGGATACATGTGGATCATATCTCTGAGCAAGACCATAATAAAATCAGAATTGACGTCGCGTTCGTGAATCTCATCGACGATGACGTGCGACACACCCCGCAATCCTCCTTCTAATTTTCTCAACAAGACTCCAACGGTGCAGAACATGATGCTACCGTATGGTCGAGGGAGACATGACTCGAAGCGCACGGAGTAACCGACGCTTTGCCCAAGAGCTTCGCATCTCTCTACGGAGATTCGATCGGCGACCGAAACAGCTGATATTCTTCTAGGCTGAGTCACGCAAATAGAGCAGTAGGCACCTTGACCCGTGGAAATGTAGTCGTCGAGAATAAATTGACACACCTGGGTAGTTTTACCACAACCCGTGTTACCGCGGATGATAATGACTGGATTGTCATTGATGGCGTTCATGATTTCGTTCTTTTTGGTAAAAACAGGCAAGTTTGATCTGTTCTTCAGACTCTGCTGGAGATCATGGTTTTGTTGCATACGCTCTCTACCTTCTGCCTCTAGATCAACAGATAACTGCTCCAATGTCATAGTAGCAAGAGGACCTTCGTCGATGTTGCAACCAGTCCATGGGTTCCAGTTTGGTTGCGGTGGAGACCAACTTACTACACCTGCTGGTTGAGGCTTGGAAGAGATGAACTCTTCTAATACATGATCTGTGACTAAAGATATTCCTTGGCTGTTCTGATTTTCTGATGGTCCCTCCTGTTTTGCAGATTGCTGCAGTTATATTACATATAAATAGTTATTTAGTACAACAAATCCTCAAATTAGATTTGTAGCTAGAAAAAAAAATATTATCAGTCTTACAGCACAAACGGCCACAGGTTGAATTTCTAAAGCATCTAGAACCGAGTGTAATTCTTCTACAAGTTCTGGAGAAATATTCACTGGGTAGGGTGGTAATTGATCTCCTTCTTTCTTGGTTTTTAGTGTCCCACTAAAAGCCTCAATGACACCCAGGTGATACAACTGTCTTACAAGTGATAACGCACAACTCTTTGATGCTGTCTGCTTATTGGATCCAGTTTCACGCCCTGTGACAGCTATGGAATTGCATTTTAATTAGTACACATTTAATTGCAATAATTAAAGTAAACATTTAATGAAATTAATGCTTACTTCGACCAAGCTGTTTGACGTAGAAAGACATTTCAGCCATGAAGCTCCTACACAAAACATATTTAGTCAATAGTAAATACCTCAGTAATTTTGCTAAATCAATAGCAAGATAAAACCTTTGTTGTTAGAAATAAAAGTATCATGCAAAAAATAAAAAGGAAATACTCACCAAATTGCTTTATTTTTATCCGAGACCAAATTGGAGCACATGGATTATGTATCTGCAAAGAGCAATCCCAAAACAGTTATTGAATCAGTTCAATAAAAGTCTTGGTCATACTGTGCTAGCAAAGTCAACAAAGAGCCGATGTCTCCATTGGATACCACCGAAAAATTTTTTTTTCGATAGCTTTCAATGGTAAGATTAATTGGCTACTTTGATGCTATCATATTTGCAGAATTTATTACTGCCCTCAGTGTGCATAGCTTTGGTATTGTACTCCAAAATGGTCTCGTTTATGATTGAAAACATAATCATGCTTTGAAAATTTGCTCTTTAAAAATTCATTCATTTAAAATTGATGTTTAAATGAACAGATTTTATCAACCAAAAAAAATATAGTTTTTCTACTTTGAAAGGCTTGCTTTGAATGATATTTTTATTCACTGTAAACCTTTCAAAAATAATCATACTCGTATAAAAACTGATCACAGATATATATTTATTAAATACCTAGTATGATCCGGACCAACTGGTGTATACTTATAATCTGCACTTATTTTATTAATCTGTAAAAACTGATGAAGTTTAGACTTGGCATTTTCTACAGTCCAGTTTCCATGTATTCCAGCATTAACATCAACATCTTCGGCTTCTTCAACTCGCTTTTGATCAGCCAATCTGTCCATGTAGGTATAAGGTCGTTTCTGGTCTCCCCCTTCATTATATGGTCTATAAGCTCGACCAAAGTCGTTAGGGCCTTCACCTTCTCTAAAAACTGATCTATTGGGTGTATTAGATATTGGACCTCCTAAATCTCCATTTCCTCCTACTCCTCCACATGGGCCACTATCTGCAGGTACATCATTAATATTAACTTTGCCAATGCGAACTAAATAGTTGATGAAATCTCGAGAGGCATTTCCTTGAGCGTCTTTTTTATTTGTAGAGTTGCCAACAGCAACATAGTCAAAGTTATTGACGCGCAATTCACAGAGGAAACGTTGGCGGTGTTTAGGACCTGGGAAAATATATATTATGTAACACTTGTATTTAAAAAATAATTCTATCTATATGCTAGTTTTATTCATTTATTATATTTGTTTATTAAACATTCAATCTTGTGTTTCACATGTTTTTCATAGCGGGAAATGCAATAGATAATAAGATGGCGGACTCACCAGTAGTTCTAACTTCAAATGCCGGTTCAACAGCATTTTTACTACACCATTGGTGCAAAAATGATTTTATGTCACCCATTTTGTATGTTATGTATCCCAAAATGTGTAATGGCTACTCCATTCACAGTTATGCTTCAAAAATCAGCAAAACTTCGGTTTGCTCAGATCTCAAACTACGCAACGATGAAACGCACGTCCACGCCCGAAGGGAGAAAGTGAAATGGTCGTCATCGGCGTCATGCGAATTGGACGAAAGCGTCCTAATGTGAGCAAGTATGGTGGCGCCCTCAAAAACAAACTGTAGAACTCATATAGGGATATTTGGTGGTTAGCAAATGTTTAACCTGTTTTATCGACTAACTGTCGCATATTACTAATTTTTACATTTTTCTCAATTATGGATAGAAAATTGACAAAAGGAAAATTGTTTCGTAATCCGGAAATAAGGAGCTATCATCCGGTATCGATATTATTTCTTTTTAAACAGGAGAAAAATGCTTAATGCATATTGCACGCTGTTCGAACGCCCGATTTTTTTTCGCAATTTTCTTAAAAACAGAAAATCCGGGAATAGAATTTCAAGCGGAGACTTAATCCGGAAAAAGGGAGAAAACGTTTTAGCTCATGAAAACTCAAAAATATGTTTGAAAAAAATGTTTGGGCGTCAGATTCACAAGTCTAAAGTAATTTGGCAATAACGTTGTGACATGTCGGGGTCAGAACATGTAAACATAGTTATTGATTAAAAGAACGTAACTAATTAATTTACTAAATTAAATTATTTCATTGTTATTGTTATTTTGTGTAGTTTTACAGATCAACATTATTTTTATTTATACATTTTTGTCTTCTAATCAACTGTGTTTACATGTTCCGATCCCGACATATCACCATGCTATTGCCAAATTGCTTTTAACTATTGTTAGTACAAAATTGGAATAGAGCGAAACAGCGGACTGTGGCAAAATACCGTGCGGTTTTCTGATTCTCGGATTTTTATCTGATTAGACCCCGGTCCCATAGCTACGTATGAATACGGACGGATACGGACACGAATCGCAACTCTAGTAACATCACTAAAAATATCTAGTTCGATTATTTAGTACCAACACTACCGGTAGTGAGCAAAAGTAACTGTTGTTTAAAACTGTAGCGCCGAACGTACACCCAACGTGGATTGAATCGCGACCCCCCCAGTTAGGTTGGTATGAGAATTCCGTCGTTGCATTGAACGAAGAAACCGCGGGAAAATTCAAAAATGAAAATTCGTTTTAAGATACGATAAAAAGCTAAAACGTTACTAATTTGTTTTTAGGTTTAAAATTAATTGTTTGCCGAACAATGAATTTAGATGCATGATTATTTGATTTTAGGTTTTAATTATATAATTTAAGAACGAGCGTTATACTATGGCCGATCAGAAAACCACCGTTACGGACTGAAAGTAGCACTCATAGTCTCATTGGGTGTATGTACATACATACATACCACATTTAATGAACGCTTATTTAACTTTTACATTATTGCAGTCTATAAGATGGCAAATGATAGAGAATTGATAGATTTTCAACTACAATTAGTGGAATTAGGCCTTAATTTTATGGAAGTACTTGAATATATGAGAAAAAGAAGAAAATATATATAAATGATATGTATTAATCATCCCAAAAGCTTTTTTTACATTAGCATACTCATCAATAAGCAATATTCATGAGAATTTGAAAAGTAAATTGTAAACCTGACATTTGAACATTAAATGTGGTATGTTCGGCGCTACAGTTTTAAACAACAGTTACTTTTGCTCACTACCGGTAGTGTTGGTACTAAATAATCGAACTAGATATTTTTAGTGATGTTACTAGAGTGGCGATTCGCGTCCGTATCCGTCCGTATTCATACGTAGCTATGGGACCGGGGTCTTGGAGAAACAGCCTAAGTTTTTCGTGGAAACATTTGCCGGAAGTACGCTTGCCACTTGCTCTTCTTTCGCGCGAATTCCGTTGCACAGAAACCGTTAAAGAATATTATTTACCTATCTTTGTGGTAAGAATCTGAAAGAGTGTTAATATTAAGTGCGCATTTCGTATGAACTAAATTAATTATTTTATTCACTGATATATTACATTTATATTGTATTTGATTTGTTTTTTAAAACTTATTTGTTCCACGTGGTATATATAACCTACTGAAATAGATTTATCATTTTCTTTTGAAACATATATTTGAATTAATTGCCTTTTTACATTTAACAACTTTTTAATTTAAGCTTAAGCATTAACTTCCACCAGTTATTACTTATTTTGATTGTTTATTATGGCTTAAATTGCCTACAACTAAAAATACATAAACAATTTTTTTTAATGGATAGTTCTAAAACCACCTCAAAACTTAATTAACGTTTGAATTAAAAGTAGAACAATTGATAAATGTCTACATTTTATTAAAACTATACTGAATAATTATGTTTTTTTTTTAGACTATAGTATTACCAAAGTTGATATTCTATCACAGAAACGTAAAAAGAATAAAAAAAAATGGGTGTACGAGATGGTTCAGTAACTAAGAAGACGAATCAATCAAATAAATCAAAAAATGTACCAATGAAAGCTGGAAATAAAGGGAAAGGCAAGAATGTTGCAACACCGAAAAAATCAGGCAAAAATAAAAATAACAAACAAGGCTTGAACAAAATGAAATTAAAGTTAAAAGTCAAAGAACCTGAAGATGTTGATTCAGAAATAGAATCAACTGAAGATGAATCTATCGATGAATCACCACAAAAAAAAGGAGTTAAAATGTTTGAGGGTTTACAAGATAGTGGTGACAAATCAGAAGACGATTCTGATGTTGCTGAAAGAAATGCAGATGAGGAAGATGATGAGGATGATGATGAGGATGATGATGATGATGATGAGGATGACGATGATGATGAGGACGATGACGAAAAAAATGAGGAAGATGAAAGTGGTGACGAAAGTTCAGGTAATTTGAAGGCTCTTCTGACTGAAAGTATGAATGATGAGGATGATGAAGAGGATGATGATTTTGACCTGGGTGGTGAGAGCGAAGATGACTCTCATGTTGAGTTACTCAAAAAAGGTGCAAGAAATGAAGATGAAGACGATGATGAGGATGAGGATGATGATGAGGATGATGATGATGATGAGGATGACGATGATGATGAGGATGATGATGATGAAGATGATGAAAAATCTCCAGGGTTAAAAGCTCTCCTTGGTGATAGTTTAGCTGATGAAGAAGATGATAGTGATTTTAATGATGAAGGCCAAGATGAGTCTGATGAAGATATAAGTGACGAAAGTGAAGAAGATGAAAAATCTACTCCTAAAAAAAGAAAGGCTCAAGAAAAATCCACTCCTCAAAAGAAAAAGAAGACACAAGAAGAAAGTCCAAAACCTCAACACTTATCACCCAACGAACAGGTTAAACTGGATGCTCGAACCATCTTTGTAGGAAATATACCCAAAGATACAACAACCAAAGCTATAAAACAGTTTTTTAGATCTTGTGGAGAAATAGAAAATATACGTGTCAGAGGAGTAGTCTCAGAAGACAGTAGGGTTTCACCTAAAGTTGCAACCATCACAAAAAAAATGCATCCGAAGGTGCCAACAGTTTATTTTTATATAGCTTTCAAGGATGAAGCTTCTGCTATAAAAGCACTTGAATTTAATGGCAAGAAATTTGGTAATAACACATTGAGAGTTGATTTATCAAATAAAGGCAAAGAACATGATCAGAAAAAAGCAGTATTCCTAGGAAATTTGCCTTTTGGTAAGTTTTAATTAGCTTTTCTAAAAAATCAATGTAATAAAATATTTGAAAATTGAATGACTAAATGTTTATTTCAGATATTACTGAAGATGAAATACATGCTCATTTTACATCTTGTGGTAAAATTGATTCAGTTCGTCTTGTTAAACATCGTGTGACAGGTTTGAGCAGAGGCATTGGCTATATTAATTTTGTTGAACCAAACTCTGTTGCGTTGGCCTTAGAATTAAATGATACCAAGTTGAAAAATCGTCAAATACGAGTAAGCCAATCTAGCCCTGATAAGAAAAATAGAAAACGAAAACAGGGTAAAAAGCAAGATAATGAGCAGTTTGGACGAAAAAAATTTAAAACTACTAAAGGAGAAGCTGTAGATACAGTAAGTTTTAATTTCATTTCTTTTTTTTTCTCTATTTTAACAATTTTTTTAAATCTGAAATCTACTACAGGATGGTGCTGGACCAAGTGACAAGAAAAAGAGATCACAAGGGGAAAAGAAAAGAGAAAAATCAAGCGGTAGTGAAAGTTCTTCCCCAGCCAAATCGCCATTCCAAGGACAACAAGCAAATGAAAAAAAGAAATCTAAAAAAAATAAATTAGATAAGAAGAAAAAAATAATGTCAGAAAAACTAATGTCCACAAAAAAAACAAAATCATCTGATTAAGGCAATTTAGAGTTTAGATATTTAAGTTTTTATTTTGACTCGAATTTTTGTAATATCTGTCTATTGAAGCATGAATGTGTGCACAGTCTAACGTGGAAATAATTCAAATTAAAAAAAAATGTCATGAAAAATCTAAAAAATGATTGTATTTAGTATACTGGATGTACAAAATGAAATGCGTTTTATAAATTAAATCTTAAATGAATTTATTGATTTTTTTACAAATCCTATTCATCATTTTTATTCATATTTGTTATTCTATCTTTAAGTTTCGTTGGAAAATAATTAATATGTTTTAAAGCACATGATTTGCAAAATCGTTTAACATAGAATAAGCTACATTGCATACACACTGAATTTTCACAAACGCTGCAATCTGCACCAAGTATCAAAATTTCACCTCTATTGGGAGGACTAAAAGGATCCTTCATGATGTAACAATCTTCAAGAAATTTCAAATGTTTTGAAAATGGGGGATTATTTCCTTTGTAGTCATAGCGCTCTTGTAAATTACAAATAAAACATTTCCATAAACTTCTAACTTTTTTAATAGAATTCTTTTCATTTCCAGCTACTGGTACATCTTGAATATCTAAAGATGATTCTTCAGTTGGTTCTTTTGATTCGCTAATAATGGATTCCATTCTAAAAAAAAATTTACATTTTTAGTCCAATACAAAATAGTATTAAAACATTAATTTAAAACTGCAAAAGAAATTTAAGATTCAATTTGATATTTTATAACTAATATCATATTTTGTCTGTAAAAGTTTGCTTATTCAGAAGCTTGATTAAACCAAAAGAGAAAAAAATAAATAAGGGTTTGTCAATTAAATACTTGCTTCATATTAAAATATTTATTTGAAATAAATTAAATGTATTTACATGAATAGAAATAAAGTTACAAATGTTTAGATATTAACTTTTGTCAGATTTTAATGTAGCTTCTACTTTTTGGGATTCCATTGGCCACCATTGAGGCTTGACAAGTTTTAGGGTACAGTTTTTAACTGTTAATTTCTTTGAAGCTAAGGCTTCTATAATTCGTATTAATCCTATCACAAATTTTCCTTCTTGATTCCTAATTTTCCCAACTATTTTCTCATTTTCATTTATAATTTTTTCATCTGTATCAAACTGTTGATTTTCATTGCCATCCAGTATTAGTGGCATTATACGTTTTCTCACAACACCTGTATGATGTGTTCGAGCAGTTAATTCTTGACCAATGTAACAGCCCTTATGGAAACTAACACCATGTAAATAATCACAATTTATTTCCAAGGGAAATGTTACTCCTGGTGGTAAATCTTGAACACCTTCAGCGACACCAAGTTTATAACGAAAAGCTCGATAATCAGAAATATTTTTGGACAGTATGAAATTTGAGTCTGGGAAGTTTAGATGTTTAATAATTTCATTATGGGAAACATTAGATTCTGTTAATATTCTTAAACCTAATTCAGATATTCTCGGATCAGTGTATATACAGATGTTTTCAACTAATTTGCTTGCTTTGCTGTCATTACTTCCACAAGGAAAAATTCTACCGATTGATTTAGATTTCACTCTAAATTCATCAATGTTTTGTGAAGCTGAATTCTCATCATAAACTATCCATACTTTCATTTTATCATCCATAGAATGAATGTCAACTTTTCTTCGCAACTTATACATTTTTAGATGTTTGGATAAATTATTTATAATTGCAGTATCGCACTCAACATAAAACATATTTTCTCTTTCAGACTTGTAAATAATTGTATCATATAAAACTCTGCTTTTGATGTTTAAAAAGACAGAATATATGCTGGTGGCTCCTTCTTTTAAATGCCTCATGTCGTTTGTAATCAAACCTTGTAAAAAATCTGACACTTCTTCTCCTTCAAGACGTAATAAGGATCTTTCATGTAAATGTATAAGACTTTTTGAAGTTGTATGTGCTGAGCGGTATTCAGGAAATCTTTGACAAATTAAATTTCTTGTACTTTGAAACATAGAAATTCTGAATAACTTAATCATTATGGTTTATCTTATGTCTTATATAAAAGATAATATAAATTTTGATCACAGATAGAGCACGAATAGTGTGGTACAATAATATATAAAGTATTATAATTTTTCAGTAATAAGCAAATTTTTACAGTGTAAAATGAAACATTTATTTGAAATACTCTTCAAAATGTACTTTTGTTTCTTAACCTTACTATATAAATATAAGTATGATTCGAAAATCTTTGATGTTGCTATAATATTACATTCGGCAGTATTTTCAGTTTATGTTTAACAATTTTTAATTTAACATTTTATAGAAATAATAACTATTCAGCCCGATATAGTATATACAATATTATAAAATTAAAAAATACTATTGGATTTCTCGCACGTAATAACAGAAATGAAAGAGGCGCTGACAAGCAGACGACAAATTAATCGCCTGAGCCAAACTAATGAAATCTTTTCTTTAAAATCGCAAATTCATAAATTTGAAATTTACGAATAATTTAAATCGTGTCTTGTAAGTATCATGATTTTTTTAATTATAAATAATAATCAGTATTAGATATGATGTAAACAAGACTATACTATATAAACTTTCATAACACTAATATAATATACTAAAAGAAAATAATTACCCTTAATATTTTATATCTGCATAGATTAATAATAGACTCAGACAACATAGATATAAACAGAGAAATACTAAGAAACCTAATTGTTTTAAAAAGAATGAATGTGACCGAAATATAATTTTACCGATTCCGTTTATTCATGACTTTTTTTACAAATGTAGTAATAGTTTCAAGAAATTTAATATTAAATGCGTTCCTATAGTTAGTCACAAATTAAATTAATGTTTAGAAAGACAATGTTTAGAAATTGTGAGTGCAACTATTGTTAATCTATTGTTTGATATTTTAATAATCTTCATGTATTAATAATTTTGTATATTTTTATAATAAATTATTCCTAAAGAGGCCATGAACAAAATGGCGAAACGTTGAATTAGTTTGAAGTGTTGAAGTTTTGATTTAGTTAGTTTCTGGGATATTCCTCATACCATTGCTTTATAATTCCAACATTATACTATAGTATACTACAAGCCAAGTTTTATAGTTAAGAAAGTTTTTTTTCAAAATTGCGAGAAAATTAACTAGTCGATATTATTAACTGAAAGATCTGCGAAAATGTTTTTCAAATAAAAAGGTCTAATTGTAAGGACTGCTTGTACTTATATCAAATAATTTTTATAAAATGATTTACTTATAGAATATTATTAGAGAGCTGTTATACAACAAAATACATTTGTTTGCATAGTGATTGTTTGCGTCAGGTAGTTGAGCAGGAATTATATTTATAAAAATAATTTGAAATGCTGCAAACTTATTAACTGAAACGGGGGAATCGAACGTTTTGTCGCAGATTTACCTATCGGACATATCAATGTATGAACATGACTTTGAAGATTAGATGCTACTATAGACGCCGACATCGCAATAAAAAGTAATCCAAGCTTTTATTCTCGCGAACGAGATCAAAGACGACTTACTTATTTCTCTAGGATTTTTCTTGTTACGCCGTGGCTGCATGAAAGAAAAGGCGCCGTTGCCGAATCTTCGCTTGCTCGCAACTCATCTCATCTGTTCGCGTCGCTTTTCCGCACAACGGCTTCTTATCGTTTTCGCAATTTTTCAATTTATAAGCTATACACTAAATTTTAGATCAGCAACATTTTGATTGAACGCTCATTCGTCTTATTTTTTACGTTATTAAAATGACTGACCATAACAGTGATATGTAAAATATTAAAATAATTAAGTAAAATATATTAATTTTTGCCATCTCTATTGTTTTTTTAGTCCTATAATTTATATCAAACTCTTTTTAAATTTATCACAAATAATTTAGTTTAGCGCTTTAATTGTTAATAGTTTAGCGACTGATTCTTTCATTTATCGTTAATTTGTTGGTCACATCACTGAATGGAATTGGTAAAAAAAAACATGAGACAATAATGATTCCGTTGTTTTTTATTTTTAACAATAGCATATTGTCAATTTTAAATAAACATTGTCTAAAATTAAGCAAACAAAGTCTTAATTTATAAGAACATTTAATTATTTACGTAAAGAATGTGAAGACCGATAAAAAAATAATTTCTTATTATAAGATTATGAAGAATATTAATCTGAGTTATTAATTGCATTTGAGAGCATTGCTTGTCTTTATTTCCAGTTACAAACATATAAATTTAAGAAATGATGAGTTATTGCTTTGAAAATAAGAAAAAAGTTGATCAAAGACTTATTGCTTCGTTCGTTAGGTATTCACTTGCAAAGCATCGCCTAACGAATGACAAATTGTTTTGGCAATATACCGTTGTATAGTGGAGTGTGAGAAGGGTTGCAGGTGCACGTGCAACATTGCATATTCGAAAGCGGTGCAGCGGTTCGCTATGGTTTATTTGCGAAGCAGAGCTTGTTTGGATATGAATTAGAATGCAGCGGTGTACGTACGATAAGGGCCTACAGCAGCATAAAATTAGGTCAGCGATGTTCATCGAGAGAAAGAACGAGATGGCAGTATATATAAAAAAAGGATCAGCGCGCAGTGTGCGAAACGCGCTTGGTCGTCAAACGAGTGTTGCGTAGAAAAACAAAGCTGTTTGCTTAGACCTGATATATATACGCGGTTCGCTTCGCAAGCATGTCTGAAAATAAAAGTGCGAGGGCTATTCTTTGCATGTTGAACGGAGTTCGGCTTTTTTGCGCGCACCCTGCCTATTGAAAAAGCTCGCAAGCTGCAAATCATACGTTGCGCTAATTCCCAGCTTTTTTAGCTGCTCGTTTCGGAGCGTTTGCTTTCGCGGTGTATTATATCTCGCTTTTGTGCGCATTCAAAGGATGACTCTGCAGAGTTGAAGATAAACGATCGGCAGGCAAAACAGAGCCGCAACTGTGATAGTTGGGACGAGCTATGGGCATTAAAAACGTGTTAGCGTAATCACTCACGGCGAGAGAGCCGATAATGATCGAGGCAGAAAGTCTGGCGTCCATGGGAACATCCTCCGTAGGTTTTGTAAGAGGCGGATCTGGAGATAGATAAGCGCGGCGCGCGCAGGTATAAGCGGCAGTAGTACGCAGCGCAGTACCTTGTAGTACTTTGGCCTTGAAAGGGAAACGTTGACCTCGACGTTCCGATCCGCGTGCAACCGGTCACAGGGCTCGCTTCGCGTCTCCCTCGCTCTCCTGCATTATCCGTACACGAAAACGTTACGTGCCTGCGCGCTCTTTCTTCTCCCCTTGGCTGCTCGCAGCGGCAAGCGATTGCCAATTTGAGGCGATCGCCGTACGTTGATCTCTACCACAGGGCTCGCATAGACTGAGTTCTATCGTTTCCAATTCAACGACGGAATTGTTGCGTCGAACCTGCTGTTATCCTGGCTCTTTCATGAGAACTTCACGCGCTGCGTGTAGCCCAAACACCCCCACGACATTTCCTAAATGTCGGCCCCTCTTTGAGAGCTGTAAATCAGACGATAAGGAAAAAAACGCACTCTGCAGGTGAAGGCACAGGGCGAAAAAGACAAATATAAATCAGCAAAGAAATGTTACGGGAAAGGTAATTAAGTGCAGAGAGCTCGTGGGAGGTCTCTGCTGATTAGGATGCCGCTGTTTCGCTCGCTCTCTCTCTCTCTCTCTCTCTCTCTCTCTCTCTCTCTCTCGCTCGCTCGCTGGCTGCAGGCCGCCCAGGGATTTGTCGTACAAATACGACGTGTGCAGACGACGAGCGAGGGACGAGCCAGCGGCAGCTCTATTTCTCTCTTGCGAGCCCAGCTCTAACAAGCGAGCATTGCAGAGCCACGATCGACTCGCTGCTGCAACCTGGCAACAATTCGCTTTCTCCCTTTCTGCACCTATACCTATCCTGCGATTCCTATTCCTCAACGCTGTCACGACTGCTTGCGTAGCTGCATTTCGCCGCTGTCCTCAATTTTTCTTTCTTTTTTTTTTTGTTTTCTTTTTCTACAAGTATGATGCACCTATAGCTACTAGCCAAAGGACTTCTTCGATTGGATGTCCAATTTTACTTAATCCAGTTCGAACGTAACTGCTGGGTTGCGACTTTTTGAACAATTTCAATTGATCGTCAGAATATGTTTGATAGGATTCCTTTCCGAATTTCAAAGTATTAGCTATGTATTATTGATAATCGTAAATAAGTGAAATTGTGAAATATCCAGACGACAATAATTTGAATACACTTGTAAACATTTTTTTTCTGTCACTTTTTACCGATTTGAAAATTTTGCAGTTTCACTCAAACAAGACTATCGATCGAACTTTTGACTGGATTCGTTATAAAAAAATATAACGCATACCTTATTTGCTGAAAATTCATTTCTAGCGAAGACAATTTTGTAATTTTAACGAATATAAAGTAATCGATGTTTTCATCGGTTTTTTGCAAAAGTAATAAATGTTCCATTGAAAATAAAGCAGAGTTGCATTAATGAATAATGAATATGGTCAAATTCGATTAAAACACCAGGTTGCTATTTCATGTTCTGTATACTAAAAATCGATGATTAAATAAATAACAGATAACTTTTTTTCTAAAGCATTTTCGATAAATAAGCAATTTTATATTCCATATAAAAAACTATTAACATACGCGCTATTCCCAGAATTTAACAAAGAAAATTATTTATTTTAATAAATAATGCGATGAATATTTCTATACAAAGAAACATATTTTGCAACAAACAAAATAACAACCAACGATGCACAATTATTAATTTCAATTAAATAAAAACGTAAAAACGGGAAGTTACCATTTCCTTTCTGTTATTACTACTTCAAGAACTACATTAGTTTCGCTATAGCTATGAGAACTATGAAACCATCCTGGCCTCTACAAATAAAAATGAAGAATCTTTTTAAAGAATATACTTTCTGATTTGAAGTCTGTTTTATCATTAGCTTTTATTATTGTACCTTTAAATTTTCGAGATAATACGCGATATTTTTAGGGAAACAGTACATCCAGCTATGTCTTCAGAGAAAATGAATTTCTTTATGCTATAACAGAAGCACACTCTGTCGATGAATAAAAAAATGTGCACATGGTTGAGTTTCACAATGAAAAGTAAACAAGCGAAAGTAGCGCTAATGGCAAAAGTTGCTCTATGCAAAAAGGCAATTACAAAATAAGAAGCGAATTAAAAGTGAAAATGAATATAGGGATAAAAGCCAAGTAAACTTTGGCCACATATAACTTTTGGCGAGGAGATAACGATACGAAACGAGGATTTTCACGAGGATCCTTAAACATACAGCATCCAATTAAAGACGATGACAAATGGAAATTAAGTCTGAAGATGGCTATGCGATGAG